ATTTTCGAGAAAAAAATTCAGTACGGGCGGAACTTTAAACGTTAATAACTTTTTAACGAAGCCTCCATCAACAAATTGGTATTCTTGATTTTCATCTTATTTTGTATATTGTAAATAAATAATGTATAATTGAAGAAAATATGTCTCTTGAATTCTTTTAATTTTCAACATTTTCATAATGATCGGTAGAAAGATGTATATGTATAATCTGTTGACAATTGTGCATAAAATCACACTGCAGATGTCTGTATTGAAAACTGGATGGAAAACAGTCTCAGATTAAACACTGAATCGAGTTAAAGGACAGAGTTCAATCATAACTAGTTCGGTCATCGCCGAAGAAACAATTATCTATTCGACGCGTTGCCCAATTAGTCTTCAAACGAGATTCTACTATACACATTTACTATATGCATAGTTCTCACTACAATGATTGTAGGAACCATAAAATACAGAGTGGAGCAAATTTTATTCGTGAATAGGAAATAAAAATTTGTAATTCGTTCGTAAATTAGTTTTTGTTAGTTAGTAAATTCTAATTTATGAATAAATTTAGGAACGAATCTTAAACGAACATTAATTTGCGGATAAAACATTTTTATTTGTTATCCAAATAATAATAAAATAATTACCTTTATCCATTCGAAGTAACAACTTTTCGAAAGTTTTTGTAAACTTTTAAAAGAACACGATTGTTGAAGATCACTTTCACTCGTCTACGCGTACACGCGAAGTTATGGTTAATTGTTACTATAAAATTATAGATTCCAGAGAATTTTTCGACGCTTCGATCACATTTAACTGTGATTAAAAAATGTTTACAACAACGATGGAAATATTAAGTTTGCAATATTTTCTCAAATATTTTTACTTGGATTTGATGAAAAAGAGATTTTATAACGAGGGAATGTATGCATATCATGTATTTCAGTAGGATGCAAATGCATCGAAAGCGAGGGGAAAATGTGGGTTTGTGACACAATACATATGATCGAATGCCGATCGATTTCGAAACTTGGGGACAGGTTGGTGACGTACATTTCATTTTGATCCTTAATTGCTGACGTATAGTCAAGGTGGCCTCGTTGTATTTTCTTTCCCATATACGAAAGTGGAACGGTGCTCTTGTTTGAATCTTATGTATACGTTTATAACAGAAACTAACCTATAATACGATTATACGTAACTAACCTATAATAACGATATACATAAAGCCATATTAACTTGACACAATTAGCTTATCTAAGCTGCAGGGATATTTTCTTAGGCTTTTAGCTTATAATTATAATGCAATAGGCGATACCACGTATCAGTTATGAACGTTGCTTCTGGGTATCAGTGTGATAACTAATAAACAGTGTCTTACGTTTCGTAAATATAGATTATTACTTCAATTACTGTAACATTTATTTTCTATGATTAAAAGACCTAGCAATTTTGAATAATTCTTTATTAAAGTAATAATACCCACATTTTTTAACAATACCTTTTTTCTTTACAGAAAATGTAGCTATTCAGAACATTTGTGACATTATAGGGAATGTGATCTGGTGATAAAATAATGCAATATAGTGATAAATACGCAATGAAGTAACTAGGGTATTTTTGACCAAGTAGATAAGGGTTAATTATTTCTAACTTGCGTTTAGGATGAAATCGAAGAATATTGGTGATTCGTATAACGGGTGATCGGATAAATATAACCTTGTCCTGATTCTGTCATTGAATCTAGATTCTCTTGGGAGAACGATGACTCGAAAAAGTTCGTCGTTGAATATCGAAACGTGGTTCGAACGTACGACCTTAATTTCGTTCAGTTACTTAATACGTTCACTTCCAGACTAAATTCGTAAAATGTTCTATAAAATCAATATGTTTGTTTTTAGACAATTGTGGGTACTGCTTAATCTAAAATTCTGGCAGTATCGAAACAATTGTAGTCGACAATCTTTGTAAAAACGAGATTTATACAAGTTAGATAAAAAGAAAATGGTGCGTGAGATCGAAAAGAACGTCGATAAACGTTTTGGCGGGACGTGTGATCTTCGTCACGGTTATATCGATACATATCTGGAAGAAACCATTTGTTTTCTTCTCGAGGACACGTTCCCTGCTGGAACCGTGACTAACAATACTAAAATATTATTGTTACTCCAGAAAATATTTTCATTCTTGTTGTTTGGATCCCCTGGCTTATTATTACGAAAAACCGATGGAGTACCGAATGCCGAATGAATTTTTCATAAATGTTGATAGTATTGGGAAACTAGGAGCATTTGGCTACTCTAAAATATTAAAATAACCAATTAGGCAAAATGCAATTAGTTTCGCTGCTAGTAAATAATTAAACCCGATCCGTATCATATTTAGGTTATAACTTTATATCAATGAAAGCGAATAAGTTTGTTTTAAATAGTATTTCAAATAACTCGTTGCTTGTTTCGAGGTTATTTAAATTCTGAAATGCAATTGCGTTGTCTTATTTCATTGACATTTTCGATATGAATGTTCACTCTATCAGATGTCGATAAATCGTTTGTTATCGACCTATTGACCAGTTTCCGAATTTGGTCACCAGGGGCGCTGCAGGCCTGGTCACGTGGTTAAATCTAATCCACGATTCGAGAGGTTAAATTCACGATTAACGAATAAAAATTTTAAATTCATTCTAAAATTAGCGTTTGCTCCTTTGCATATCCCATTCCTTTATTGTTGAGACAAATAAAGTTTATTAATTTAATAAAAGTTAAACTTTACAAACGAATATAAATTTATTATTCGTTAATCTCGAATTAAATTTGGCCAACTCTCTATTCCCAAAAAAGTGTGTCATGTAATTTTGGAAATGAGTACTGTTGAGCAAAGTCATCGAAGAAGAAATGTTAGGCTCGTTATCCTTGAAAGGATGCACGTACACGGAGATAGTATGCGTGTCAGGTAATCAATTCCAACTAGATTGTATCTGCTCCGTGTCAGTCGGTGCCATTCTACCTCTATTTTCCACGAAAAGCGTTTATTTTTCTTTTCAAGGTTAAATAAAATGTCGCTTTTTACGAAAAATGTTTTGTTTAACTTTTAAAGACTAAATAAAATGTTGTTTTCCACGAAAAGACGTTTATTTATCATTTAAAGACAACGTAAAATATTAGCAACGATATAGAAAGCTAATCTCAAACTCAGATTTTGTGTTTTTAAATTTCTTTGTGTGGTGAAAGCTAGATATTCGAATTAGATAACGCTGAGATTCTCGTTTAGAATTAGTGAAAACTCGCATTGAAATTTTGTAATTCGCGCGATTATAATTGCTTGCATACATGCAGACTCGATTGCCAACCGTCGTTTGTTTCGAGAATTTCGCAGAAAGTCTGTATTGTAATATTTGTAATGTCTGTGTATTGTTACAGCCGACTCCATTACATACTAGACACACTGAACGAGAAACAATAAAACAGCGAGTCTTATTTTGCACTTGATAAAAAGAGTACGCAACGTTTGTGCGTTTCGTCTACTCAACGCAAAATCGAACTCTCGCAGCTTATTTGCCTCTGGCTCTGCATGGCTCAATACTAGAGATGGCGTGCAAAATCACTAACATTGATCACAAAATCACGATCACGCTCGTGATTAAACTCCATTCGCGACCGTGATCCGAAAGATGGCGTTTTAGTAGCGGTTCACGTCAACTGTGATCGTTAGTGTTTCTCTATCACCCCTCAGTGGAACTTCAAAGAATTACAAATGCGCCAAATTTAAATTTATATTTTAAGCAATAAAAAAGGCTGCTTAATTGCATATTTTGTTCATTTTAAGTGTCAAATTGTTTTGGTTGATTATTTAACCTCTTCACACCCTTGGCCACATATGTGGACGTTTAGTTTTTTTTTTTTATAATTATAGTTACTATCAATAGTAAATAGACAAAAAAAAGAAAAAAAAATTCGTCCCTGAAGAGGTTAAATAAATGATAAGTTTGTTGCCACGAAAAAGAAGTATTGCTTAGGTGTAAAACACTCGCTTTAAAAATATGAAAAAGTATAAAATATCAGTAATGAAAATTCTTGTGTTCATTTATATATTATACATTTATATACGTTTTTATACATTAATATACGTTTTGTATATATTTATATTATATAGAAATAAGTTAGAATTTAAAATTACAAACAGGTTCGTTTTGCGTATACATAACTTTGTTGAAAAATTCCTTTTCTTTCTCCTAATAAGAAAATTATGTTAACATTGCTTTTAGACCATATTATATTATAATACATATACAGAACATAATTCGTAAAAAGTGAAAAGAACGCTCCCCACCAATCAAAAGCGATCACGAAGAATCACGAGTGACTCAAATGTAGCAGTTCGCGCCATCTCTAGTTCATATTAGAGCCGGCTAAGAGTTATGGTAGGATTTTCGCTGCACTATGTTTGTCAATTAGCAATTATTATTATTGTTTAAGGTTTTGTAACTTTGTATTGTTCCATAAGTGAAATTTGAATTCCAAAGTTCTATAGGTGACCATCTTTTGCCATCTTCCACGAGAAGACACAGCGTGTTTACATCCCCACTCCTGTTGCAGTCCACTAACTCACAGCTATTGGTCGAAACGGTGACAAAGATCGGTGACAGCCAATCAGCGGACAGCAGCAAGAGTGGGGATGTAAACACGTTGTGTCTTCTCGTGGAAGGACGATACATTATTTTAATTAGATCAAAAGCAATCGTCGCGATTCTTTGGATGGATATAATTTATTTGTAGAATTTTCTAAATAAAGAAAAAAAAAAAAGAAAAGGATTCACGACTGTTTTTATCTTAATCTGTTGTTTTCGAATTGTTGCTGTTTTAAAAACATTTTGTAAGGAATTTGTAGCATTTGACGTTTTTGTTTATTGGAATTTATATTAATCCAGCTATGATGATGTTTAAGAAAAATTTTGTTGTTAGTATTGTAAAATAGTGTTTTTACTAACAGATGAAAATTTCTTTTCATTTTTCCAGCTGATGATAGCGACTGTGGAAACAATAGTTTCGGATGTCTCAATGGCACCTGCATACCATCTACTTTGGTCTGCAATTATCAAAAAGACTGCGAAACTGCAGAAGATGAGTTCCAATCATGTCGTAAGTATTATTTTCCCTTCATTTTTTATGTTGACTTATATCATTTTTTAACAGTTGAAATGAAATTTTACTGTTTTCACAAAGTTTTATTGTAGACTTTTATTTCTAATTTGGAAAAAATATTTATTTCAATTAGGTACTATTGGGTCGTTCGGAAAGTAGTTTTGTTTTCTTACCAACAGAGATGTTGTTCAAACATTTCGTTTGTTTCTGTGCAATTGTGTTCCTTTGGTGTCTCGTTAAATATGGAAAATTGAAGGTGCATTTTCAACATATTTTGCTTGTTTGTTACCAAAGAGGTAAGAATGCTCTTCAAGCAAGAATACAATTGTGCGAGGCGTGTGGAGAAGATGTTTTAACAGAATGGCAGTGCTAAAACTCGTTCACAAAATTTCATTCCTGCAATTTTGATATCGATGGTGGCCCATGTTTTAGAAGGCTAGTTAAAGCCGACGAAGACGAAGCAAAGGTATTAGTTGAAGCACACCAACGAATAACAACACGAGAAATCGTTAATAGGTCAAATTTGTTGAATTAGACCGTTTATGATCGCATGAAATGACTTGGTTTTGTTTCAAAGCTCGACATTTGGGTTCCACCATGATAATGCTAGACCTCACGCAAGCTTAGTAACTCGTCAGAAGTTATTACAGTTTGGATTGGAATGTGCGACCACACCCATCATACACGTCAGATCCGACACTCTCGAATTATTACTTGTTGCGGCTTTTAAGAAATCTCTTAAACAGTAAAACATTTACTTAAAGTGGCGATGTCAAAACTCACATGCATCAGTTTTTTATAAATAAAGATCAGAAATTTTACGAGCATGGAATCATGCTACTACCAGGAAGATGGAAAAAGGTGTTGGACCAAAATGAGCAGTACACAATTTAATAAAATATTTATATATTATAAGAAAATTGTTCCTTTTCACGAAAGAGAAAAACAAAATTACTTTCCGAACAACCACGAAACACGAAATACTTCTATTTTTTATATTATTTCTGTTGTATTATATCAACATTATATAACTTAATTATTTACATATTTCCAAGTATTAACAATCAAGTTTTCCAAAATCAAGGATCATTTATGTTAGATAAATCATACTAATGCAAGTTACATTTATGTTAATATATCTTTCACAAATCATTTTATAGTAAGAATAATAATAAGTTTTTATCAGTACTAAATTTATATGCAGTTTTCTATTGATCAATAACTCGTAAATATGATTTATACAAAGTACAGTTAATCAATAGATCAATGGAAGTTATTTATACAGGGTGTTCGGCCACTTCTGGGAATAATTTTAATGGGAGATTCTGGTAGCCAAAATGAGACGAAAATCAAGAATACCAATTTATTGATTGAAGCTTCGTTAAAAAGATATTAATGTTTAAAGTTGCGCCTGTAGAACGGCAATCTGCGAACAGCTGCGCACGCGCAATAGTGGTGCTCACTCAGAAAACTGTAAAGCTGTCGATGAGTCAGTAAGTAGAGTTTCTCACGCCGAGTGGGAACCACTATCGCGCGTGCGCAGTTGTTCACAGATTGCCGGTCTACAGGCGGGACTTTGAACGTTAATAACTTTTTAACGAAGCCTCCATCAAAAAATTGGTATTCTTGATTATCGTCTTATTTTGGCCTCTAGAATCTCCCATTAAAATTTTTCCCAGAGGTGGCCAAACACCCTGTATGTCAGAGTCAGATTACCCTTTACAAGTAAAATCATCATTGTGGATAGAATAAACTATAGTTTTGTTGATCGATTTAATTCTTGTTTTCCAGCACCGCCCGACTGTGATGTTGGACAGATCACCTGTGGCCAGTATATTTTTAATAAGACTTATTGTATTCCTCCTCATCAGCGATGTGACATGACTGTCGACTGTGTCGATGGAACTGATGAAGCTGGCTGTAGTAAGTAGTTTTATTGATTTATTAATCATTATCTAAACTTAGAGTCCATATTATTTTCTAAACACTTGATAGCATAGGAAATGTAATCCAATGAAATACAAATCTAGTGCTTCGAATTCAGTCCTTCATCTTCCAGTAACAACATTTTTTTATTGATAATACTATACGTTCATATGAAATTCACGATGCTAAATTAATCACATTTCCTGTTCTAATGATACAGAAATATAATATTCAGTATTTGTTGACTCCATGAATCAAACGATCTATCCATTTTCCAAAATAATTCTTTGCTTAGATGTTGATCAATTTAATTTATAAAAGCAACAATATCTAAACTAAATTCTATGTTACAATATTTATTCCATGGTTGGCCAGAACAAACTTTATTTTATTTGTTTTCAATTGTAGAAGCTATGATCCAAAAACTAATGTCCATATCATAATAATATTTATCTGTATGACTGCCCGAAACTTTTGCATTGTTTGCTCCATTCTCCAAACAAGAATCTCACAGAAAAATGGGATAAATTAGCTTGAAATTAGCTGCTGCGAGTGAAAAAATCTCCCCTCATTAAGATAGATTCCATTTGTAGTAACTTCATTTCCTATTTTACCAAAACAATGAACAAGATTCGAAAGTTTCAGAAAGGTGACTGAAGTCACTGACTAAAAACTATTAAAAAGAATATAGGAAATGCCAGCCAGATGACTTCCGCTGCGGTGGAACGACTCCAGAGCTATGTATTCCGAAGGAGAAGAGGTGTGACGGATACTTGGACTGTCGAAATGGTCGAGACGAAGAAAAGTGTGATTCTAGCAAACCGGCTTGCAGATTGGACCAGTTTAGGTGCAATTCAACGCAACGTTGCATCGAACAATCAGCCAGGTGCAACTATAAGGACGATTGTGGGGATAATAGCGACGAAGAAAATTGCAGTATGTTCCATTTTTGTTAAATATTATCGGCGAATGATTCAATGAGACAATTACAATAACATTGTTGAAAACATTTGTTGAGGTCATCGAGGTGTAAATCTAAGTAAAAAATCAAGTTAATTTATTTAACCTCTTCACGCCCTTAGCCACATATGTGGACGTTTAGTTTTTGTTTTTTTTTCATAATTATAGTTACTGTCAATAATAAATAGACCAGAAAGAAAAAACAAATTCGTCCCTGAAGAGATTAATGATGTTTCGTTGGTATTGCATTTAATGTTGTAAAAAGTATTGCCAAATATTGTTCATTAATGCTAGAACTCTATTTCTGATCAGGGGATGTTCTTAACTATCGAATATACGAAGAAAAATAAAGATTTTAAGAGTAATGTAACATTTTTTTGTGATAGAGAGATCAAATTGTAACGGACAAAAAGAAAATACTTTGACGTCTAAAATATTACAAGGTCATAATTCATTGTTCGAATGACACTCATTCAAATCCTTTACACTAATACTGAACTAAAAAGAAATAGTTGAGAGACTGTTAAACTGTCTGTTATGATAGTTTACTGGTTACATAGAAACTTTCCTATGGCGTAGAAAAAGTGTGATATTTAGAACGGAGGATTTTCAGACTTTCAACCGTGCACAATCAATCAGTTCCGATGCGCAAACGCCATGTGCATACCAAAGTCATTTCACTGCGACGGTTACAAGGATTGCCACGATGGTTCTGATGAGAAGTCCTGCACCGTGACAGTGTGCCCTGGGAACAAGTTTATGTGCCCAAAGGGCGCACCAGATGGGAAACCCCTTTGCATAGATCGCTCCCAGCTCTGCGATGGGAAACATGACTGCGAAGATGATGCTGACGAAGAAGCTGCATGTTGTAAATATTGTTTTCTTTCACTTTATATTGGCATATGCTTTTTGTTTTGGCGATCAGTCTTTTCAGGAAAAGTCTGAACTTTCTAAAGCAAATATTAATGTTACGTGTCTTGTAAGCGATTAGTAAGTGGTTATTAGTGAATAAAATTTGCCCAATTCTGTCTGACAGTATCATAAAAATGTTAAGCCAATAAACTTTTGGAATTGCATGATTTTTGGAAGTTTAAACATGTTGGAGATTATTAGTGTACTAAGAAATTGAAAATTTAGTTAGATTGGTCAATTGTTGAACTTTACCAATCATATATAGTCTATGTAATCAAAAATTACTGTTGCCTATCTAAGAACGTTTCTGATATTTTGTTTCAATCGATACAATTGAATGGATCTTCAGAGAACAGGTATGTGGATTGTAAATTTTTAAATAGGTAATATCCAATTTAAGATAGACATATTAGATTTCTTTTTATTTAATAGAGGGAAATAGGTATATTCGATTAATTTTTATCAAAAGTATTTGATTGTATGTTCGGCATAAGAAGCATCTATTTTCATTATTAGTAGTGGTTTTAAATTTCTAAGTATTTTTATTAAAAGTATATGTTTATAATAAAGAAATTTTCTTTTCTATATGAAACATATATATAGAAGTGATAAAATTATCCCTTATCAATAATTAATTACATTAAATTAAAAAAGACGAAGAAATTCCATTGAAATATCCATTGAACTTTATTGAATTTGATAATCTTTCCTTTGTTTTACAGCGGCGAGTATGTGCAATCTGTTAAGATGCCGGTACAAGTGTCAGGCATCTCCGATGGGTGGAGCTTGCTATTGCCCGGAGGGTAGGATTCTTGCCAATGATTCGAGAACTTGCATAGGTATGTCTAACTTTCTTCATTAAATAAAAGTACTCAATCTTAGAAATTTTTAACTTCTTGTTGTCACTTGGAAGTTTAATGGAAGGGTTTCTCGAACTTAGACCCTTTTTACACATTTATCTTGAAAAAGAATTTACTTTTTAAAACATTTTTAATATTTGAGTATTCTGTGCTTTGTAATCATGTTTACAATAGCAGTTTATAATCCTCATAATAATACTTGTCAATCTTTACAATACTACATTCCAATCTTCACAACACTCCCAAATTCTCACATTTCCCAGACACTCCAACAATAACACTCTCTCCTATCCGCAGATCGCGACGAGTGTTCTGAATGGGGCTTCTGCGAGCAGCTTTGCGAGAACACGGACGGTTCTTACATCTGCAGCTGCGCCCCTGGCTTCGTGCTCCACCCTCCCAACATATGTCGAGCCACGTCCCACGAAGGAGTCTCCCTCGAGCTCCTAGTGGCCCAAGAACGTGCTATCTGGCGAATGTCTCCATCCGGAGAAGATCGAACAATAATCGCCAATACAACCGGCGCCAGTGGTGTGGACTACCTCTACTCCAGGAACATGCTCTTCTGGAGCGACGTAAAGACCAGAAAGGTTCACATGGAGCCACTCTACGGAGAAGGAACCGGTTCCAATGTAGATATCTTCTTAATAAGCTCCTGGGGCCCAGTGTCCATCGCGGTGGACTGGATAGGCGAAAAGCTCTACGTTGTGGACTCTGTGGTCCAAAAAATAGACGTGTTCGAACTAGATGGAAGATACCACGGGATTGCCCTGGGTTCCAATCTGACAAATCCAGCGGACATCGGTCTGGACCCCACGCTTGGCCTAATGTTCATAGCAGACAGCAAACAAGTCCTCAGGGCAAACATGGACGGCACAAATGCCTTTCCAGTCGTTTCGGAAGCCGTTTACGAGGTCTCCGGCATCGGTGTGGACGTGATCTCGCGAAGGATCTTCTGGTGTGATTCCCAGCTCGACTATATAGAAACTTCCGACTATCTAGGAAGAAATAGAGTCATGATCCTCAGAGGATCGCATACACCATCTCCAACTAGGCTCACGCTCTTCGAGAACAGGATTTTCTGGACGGACAGCAAGAAACAAGCTATAATGAGCATGGATAAGACTCAAGGAGTTTATTCCCTGCAAACGGTTTTCAAAATGAGGGATGCAAAGGCTATAAAAGCTCTACACCTTCTCACACAGCCCACAGTTTCTAATCCCTGTGGAAATAACAACGGGGGATGTCAGCATATGTGTATCGTAACCGCAGCCAGCGATCAGGAGAACCGATTAGGCTACCGGTGCGCGTGTCACATAGGCTGGAGGCTCTCCATGGATCAAAGGAACTGCAATCTCGTCCAGGAGTTTCTGATGTACTCGCAACAGAGATTTATCAAAGGAAAGGTTTTAAACCCTGTGATGGAGGGATTTAGTGATGCTATACTTCCGGTGGTGTCAAGAACGGCCAGATTCGTTGGACTGGACTACGATGCGAGAGACCAGTACATCTACTACAGCGACGTCCTCCAGGACGTCATCTACAGGATTAAACAGGACGGAAGTGGAAAAGAAATTGTCTTAGCCAGTCAGAATGAAGGAGTAGAGGGTCTAGCCGTCGATTGGGCTTCTAAGAACCTTTATTATATTGATTCCAGAAGGGGTACCTTAAATGTTCTCAGTACTCAAAATGTTACTTATAGGAGAACTCTTCTGAAAAACCTGAAGAGACCTAGGGCTATTGTTATTCATCCTAATCACGGGTTTATCTTTTTCTCTGAGTGGGATCGACCTGCCAATATTAGCAGAGCTTATACCGATGGTTCGAATCTCGTGGTTTTCCGGAATTTGACCTTAGGGTGGCCTAATGGATTGGCTATTGATTTTATGAAGGACAGATTGTATTGGTGCGATGCTTTATTGGATCATGTGCAACATTCGAATTTGAATGGTACGGATGTCAGGACTGTTAATTCCAGACTGATCAGGCATCCATTCTCTATGGTTATTCACGAAGAGTGGATGTATGTTACTGACTGGAAGCTGGATGCTATTATCAGGTTGAATAAGGAGAGTGGAGACCAGGAGGTGGTTTTGGTGAGAGAACCAGCGAGTAATAGATTGTACGGAGTGAAGGTTTATAGCAAGGATATTCAGACTTCGTCGCCGGACCATCCGTGTGCGATTGGTAACGGGGGATGCGAAAAACTTTGCTTTGCTGTTCCGCATAATAATACCAACAGGTAAGGAAAGTTTTTTCAGGGGGGGTCGTAGTGGGATTTTTCAGTTAGTTTGTAAAGAAGGAAGGGGGGGAGGGAGTATGTAGATTGTTTAGGTATAGAAAAAGAACCTCTCAAACTAAGTAATAAAAAAAAAACACATAAATTTGTTTACATCAACAGATACGGAACAGCTCGCTTAACGCGTTCCTGTGGCTGCCCGTACGGCGAACGCCTCCAGCCCGACGGCCGATCGTGTGCCCCAGATCCAGAAACCGAGCCCCCCCTTGAAGCCTGCCCGAACGGCTGGGACTTCACTTGCGCAAATCAGCGCTGCGTCTCGAACACTTGGGTTTGCGACGGTGAGAATGACTGTCTGGACAACAGCGACGAGCAGAACTGCACCACGAAGCCCACCTGCGGCCCCAACGAGTTCCAATGCAAGTCTGGCCGGTGTGTGCCGATGAGCTTCCGCTGCGATTCGGAGAAGGACTGCGGGGACGGGTCCGACGAGGCAGGATGCCCTAACGTGACCTGCAGCGCCAATCAATTCGCCTGCGCCAACAACAGGTGTATTCCTAGCACTTGGAAATGCGACTCGGAGAACGATTGTGGCGACAGTTCCGACGAAGGCGAGTTCTGCGTAGCAAAAACCTGCTCGTACTTTCAGTTCACCTGTCCCAGGTCGGGCCATTGCATTCCCCAGCCGTGGGTCTGCGATGGGGATAACGACTGCTTCGACCAGCAGGATGAGATGGACTGTCCGCCGGTTACTTGCCTTAGCACGCAATTCACCTGCGCGGACCAGAAAATGTGCGTTTTGGATTCTTACAAATGCGACGGAATCTCCGACTGCAACGACGGAAGTGACGAGGTGGGCTGTCCCACACTGGCGCCGGATCAGTGTAACGGAGAGAAACAGTTTCAGTGCGCGGGAGCAGCTATTTGTATCCCCAGGAGCTGGTACTGCGATGGAACTCCGGACTGTCCGGACAGGTCCGACGAACCTGGACCTTCCTGTGGAAACGTGGCTTGTCAGCCTGGGTTCTATAGGTGTAGGAATGAGAAATGTGTGTTCAAAGCTTATATTTGTGACGGGAAGGATGATTGTGGAGACGGGTCTGACGAAGATGTGGAGCTGCACGCTTGTGCTGCGCCGGAGTTCAAGTGTGGGGGGATGCAATGGAAGTGTCCTAATGTGACGGATCGGTGTGTTAACGAGTCGAGTGTCTGCGACGGGAAGATGGACTGTCCTAACGGGGCTGACGAGGGACCGGGATGCGATTTTCAGGTAAGGATTCCGGAAAAGTTTATTGGAAGGGTTTATAAATATTAGGTTTTGTTTGTTTGATTTTGAGTAAAATAATCATCATCTTCAACTTCTTTCAAAAATTTTGCTCCATCAAATCTTCTTTTTCCACCCCTGAAACTCTTAAACATCTCAATTAACCTCAGCCCTTCATTTCCAGGAGTGTAAATACCGAGGCGGCTACTGCAGCAACGGTTGCATGCAGACGCCTATGGGTAAGCAGTGTACCTGCCCCCCTGGCGAGGAGCTCAGCAAAGACGGTTACAATTGCCAGGACCTAAATGAGTGTGATCCCCCAGGAAAATGCTCTCAAATCTGCGTGAACATCAAAGGCGGCTACTATTGCAACTGTGAGGACGGTTACAGTCTAGAAAAAGACAAGCACACCTGCAAAGCTTTCAACCACAGTGCAGCATTTCTAATAATCTCCAACAGACACACAATTCTAGTCGCAGATCTACAAGACCAGGCTTTAGAAAGAGTTCCGATAAACGTAGAAAATGTCGTGGCGACGGCTAGTAACATGCATACAGGCACTATCTTCTGGTCTGACATGAAATTGAAGAAAATCTCTAGATTGGACAGGGGCAGCGACCCACAGGACGTAATATCCACTGGATTGGACCTGGTTGAAGGCCTGGCCTACGATTGGATAGGACAAAACCTCTACTGGCTCGATTCCAAACTAAACACCATCGAAGTTGCTAAAGAAACTGGCGCGAGTCGCATGATTCTTGTCAAAGAAAACATAACTCAACCTAGGGGGATGTGTTTGGATCCCAGTCCTGGGGCCCGCTGGCTCTTCTGGACGGACTGGGGCGAAAACCCTAGAATAGAAAGAATTGGAATGGACGGTACTAACAGATCTATCATAATCCACACAAAAATCTACTGGCCCAACGGTCTGGCCCTAGATATAGCAAATAAAAGAATATATTTCGCGGATAGTAAATTGGATTTCATTGACACTTGCCTCTACGATGGAAGCAAACGGATCCAGGTCCTAGCTAGTTCTCACTATCTTCTCCATCCGCATTCTTTGACTCTATTCGAAGACACCATGTATTGGACTGATAGACAACTAAACAGAGTTTTGTCTGTTCATAAATTTTACGGTGCAAATCAGACGGTGGTCTCCCATTTGATATCCCAGCCTCTGTCCATCCACGTGCATCATCCAGTTTTGCAACCAATCACGCCCAACCCCTGTGCCAACACCACCTGCGCTCACCTCTGCCTATTATCTCCGTCCAATCAGCAGGGTTACAGCTGCAAGTGTCAAGTGGGTTTCAGGCTGCTTCCTAGTGGGCATTGCTTGGAAGAAGAGACGCCATATTTGATGGTCCTCCGGGGTTCCCAAATTGTGGACGTCTCTCTAACACCAGGGAGCAGTAAAACAGGTTTTATAACGCCAGTCGTGGGAGTAGAGGGTGGCAAATTTATAGATTACGACAGGAAAGAGAGGATTATCTATTGGCTACAGACTAGGGACGACGACGACGAGAATGGAACAATTTACACGTCGCCTTATACCGGTGGAAACAAAACAGAATTTCCCAGCCCGAGTGGGGACAGTGGAATTGTGGGTGCCCCATCCGCCATGGCGTTCGATTGGCTAGGAAGAAACCTCTTCATAGGGAATAAATTTGCTAACAACATCGAGGCTATAAAAGTAGATGGAAAGATTAGATTCAGGACTATAGTTTTGGCCAACGATGGGAATAAGACCTCAGTGGCGAGGCCCAAGGCTCTATGCGTGGACCCACTTGAGGGTCACGTGTTCTGGGTGGACGAGGGTAGCTTTGGAATCCCAGCTAAAGTTGCTAGGGTCAACATGGACGGCTCCCACCCGATGATCTTGGTGAAAAACGTGGAAAAACCGGAAGCAATCACTATAGACATCCCTAGCAAGACTATTTACTTCAGTTCTTTGTATCCTGCCCTAATCGTGGCCATTTCCACAGATGGGAAGAATCGGAGGACCATAGTTTCCGAGAACATAGCCTCCCCCAAAGCTCTGGCTGTCCACGAATCAAAACTCTATCTTCTGGACCCACAATACGATAAAATAGAAAGGGTGGACCTTCCAGAGGGCCTAAATCCTACACAAATAGTCGACAACGATTCGGAATTGAAGACCCTAACCATTTACAAGAAAAGAATTACTGGTGATCATCCCTGTTTTGTCAACAATGGCGGTTGTGAACAGATTTGTTTGCCAGCCTCGGGGGGGACCAGAGTGTGCGCGTGTGGAATGGAGTACCACAAAGTGAGCGACACATCCTGCGAGCCTTTTAAGTCGTTCGCAGTGGTGGCTCAGCTTGATGTGGTCAGAGGTTATAGTTTGAAAGATTCCAAGGAAGCTATGGTTCCAATCACCGGACCCGGTCACCACATTCTTAGCGTGGACTTCCACTACGCACAAACCTGGATCTACTGGGTGGAGTTCACTAGAGGAGGTCTAAACGGAATTTTCAGAATAAGGCCTAATGGAACTGAGCTCCAGCACATTGTAGAACAAGGAATCGGTTCTAACGGAATCAGGGGATTGGCTGTGGATTGGGTAGCTGGTAACCTTTATTTCACCAACGTTTTCCCACACGATAACTATGTGGAAGTGTGTAGACTCGACGGAAGTTACAGGAAAGTTCTAGTAAAAAAAACCATGGACTCTCCTAGGGAATTGGCTGTGAACCCCATCAAACGGATCCTTTATTGGATAGATTATGGACAGTATCCTAAATTGGGGAAGGCTTATTTGAACGGGAGCAACTGGGTACCCATAGTTACCTCTGGGATCAGCGCTCCTAGGGATATTACTATAGATTTCGCCACCCACGATGTTTATTGGGTAGATTCTATCCAAGATAATATCCAGAAAGTCTCCTATACTGGAGGAAATAGGGAAATCATCAGAAGAAATCTACCCAATCCCATGGCAGTTACCGTTTTCAGAAACGAAGTTTATTGGGTGGATAGGAATTTAGCCACTGTTTTCAAGGCTGCCAAACTGGCCAATAATAGTCGATCAATTACCGTCAAGTCCAATTTAGTAAATGTTAGAGATATTATAGTGTTTGACGGGGAAAACCAGCCGGAAGATTTGGGGAATCCCTGTTTGAAGAACGGGGGATGCTCCCAGCTCTGTTTTGCCATGCCTAGAGATAATATGGTGGAATCCTGGTGCGACTGCGCCGTAGGCAGGCTCGGGGAGGATGGGAAGAGTTGTGAGAATGTGGACGAGTTCCTGGTGTTCGCCACAAGAACGGAAATTAGATCTATAAGCCTGGATCCAAAGAATACTAGTATTCCTTTTGTTTCTGTGGGAAATTTGACGAACGTGGTAGGCGTGGACTTCGATTACCAGGATAAGAAACTACTGTTTACGCAAATTAGACCTTGGGCGAAGATTGCCTGGTTGCAAGCGGATGAACCTTCAACTTCAGAGATCCATACGCTGATCAGCAAGGGGATAAATCCGGAGGGGATTTCGTACGACTGGACACAGAAGAAGGTGAAGGATATTAAACAACTTTTTTTAAACAATTCTATCTCTTTTTCTCATATACTAAATCAACACATTCTTCCCGAACACAGGTCTATTGGACAGACTCCTCCAACAACAGCATCTACGCAATGGACATAGACGGTTCTAACCTAGTGATGATCGCCCGAGTAGACAGACCTAGAGCCATAGTGGTGGATCCTTGCAACGGGTCCCTTTACTTTACCGACTGGGGCCGTTTCGGGACCTCTGGAAAAATCTTTAAAACCACCATGGCGGGTTCTTTGAAAACCCCAATAGTGGACAAAGACCTCTCCCAACCCAGTGGCCTGGCCATAGACTACGAGGATCGGATGCTCTACTGGACGGACGCCGTCCGCGAAAAGATAGAACGTTCCCAACTCGATGGAACCGACCGCCAGGTCCTAGTTAGCGCTACAATCTACCCATTTGCCATAACCGTCTTTAGAGAACACATCTACTGGACAGACCTTCAACTAAGGGGCGTTTATCGAGCAGAAAAACACACAGGAGCCAATAAAGTGGAACTAGTAAAACGCCTAGAAGATTCCCCTAGAGATTTACACATTTATTCCCCAGGTAGACAACGTTGCGAAATAAATCCTTGCAACATTTCCAATGGTGGCTGCGATCAGTCCTGTCACCCTGGGGTAAACAACTCCGTAGAATGCAAATGTGACGACAATAGCAGACTGGTAAACGAAGACAGAATGTGCGTCCCAAAAAATGTGACCTGCGATTCCACTAAATTTGCTTGTAGAAATGGGCATTGTATCTCTAGAATGTGGGCCTGTGACAGTGATGATGATTGCGGAGACAGGTCGGACGAGGATCCTAATTACTGTTCTTACCATTCATGTAGCTCTAACGAGTTCAGGTGCAACAATGGCAGATGCATCTTCAAAAGGTGGAAATGTGATCATGAGAACGATTGTCGAGACGGAAGCGACGAAGAAGGTTGTGTTTACCCTCCCTGTGCTGCAGGGGAGTTTACTTGCGCGAATTACCGCTGTATCCCAAAGTCACAAGTCTGTAATGGAATTAACGACTGTAAGGACAATGTTACTTCGGACGAAACCCTCGAAAGATGTCCAAGAACCACCACTTGCCCTCCTAACCATCTTAAATGCGATAAGACTAACATTTGCGTGGAGCCTTACTGGCTATGTGACGGGGACAACGACTGCGGGGATAACAGTGACGAAAACCCGCTCCACTGTGCTCACAGAACTTGTCCACAGAACAGTATTAGGTGTTCTAATCATAGATGCATCCCAGCGACTTGGTACTGCGATGGAGATGACGATTGTTTGGATGGAAGCGACGAACCTGCGGGTTATTGCCAGTCTGAGGGCAGAACCTGTTTTGGAGATCTTTTTACTTGTGATAATGGCAATTGTATACCTAGAATTTATATTTGCGATGGAGATAATGACTGTTCCGATTACTCTGACGAGGATGAAAGGCATCAATGCAATGACAGAAAGTGTGACGAGGAGACTGAGTTCACTTGCGTTGCGAATAAAGTGTGGAACAGAGCTCAGTGTATTCCTAAGAAATGGCTGTGTGACGGGGAACCTGATTGCGTAGACGCTGCCGATGAGAATGTGACTTTGTTGCACTGTCCAACGCCTACGCCTTGCTCCGAGGAACAGTTCACGTGTGATAACGGCAGGTGTTTGAATAAGAATTGGCTCTGTGATCATGATAACGACTGTGGAGATGGAAGCGACGAAGGGAAATTCTGTAACTCTAGGTATAAGCCTTGCAGTGAACAGGAGTTCACTTGTCATAATTTTAAGTGTGTCAGGAAGCAGTTTAGATGCGATGGGCAGGACGACTGTGGTGATCATTCGGACGAAGATGGATGTCGTAAGTTTTGCAGAGATTCGTGGGGGTTTGAAGGTCGAGGGAATGGGTTGGAGATATGACGGAGGATTCTGGAGACTGTTTTACAAACGGATGCTTTTGAATGTTTGAGGTTTAGTGAAGGGATTTTGGGAGAGAATTTTTACCCAGAGTCCTCTTCTCAACTCTTACCCTCAAATGGCCCACCCTTAATGTTTAATTTAGTATCGAAAGTTCTAAAACCCCAGTATTAACGAATATTTTTTCTCCAACAGCTTCAAAAGCAAAGAACACAACCTGTCCAAACCCTGGAGAGTTCATGTGCGCCAACGGAAACTGTATAGATCAGCGTCTGGTCTGCAACAAGGAACCCGACTGCTCCGACGAGAGCGACGAGCCCCCCCACTGCAATGTGGATGAGTGCGCCAGAGTAGAATTGAACCAATGTGGTCACAAATGCGTGGACACTCCCACAGGCTACTATTGCGAGTGTAATCCTGGTTACAAGCTCCTGAGCGACGGAAAAGCTTGCGAGGATATCGACGAGTGTACGGAAACGGTGGAGGTTTGCAGCCAGCAGTGTGAAAATACTCCAGGAAGCTACTATTGCAAATGCAATTTGTTATGGTACGAACGGGCGCCTGACGAGCACACTTGTAAAAGGAGAGACAACTTGAAGCCCTGGATCATCTTCACCAACAAGTATTACGTCAGAAACATGTCCATTGATGCCTCTAATTATAGTCTGATGCATCAGGATCTAATCAACGTCGTTGCTCTGGACTCTGATTACACGGAACAGATGCTCTATTTTTGCGACGTTACTGCCAAAACCATCTTTAGGTGAATTATTGTTACCGATTACAATGGTTTTTTTTTGTTATTTAGGAGATTTGCTTTAGCAAAAAGAAGCTTAAGATCTAGCGAGAACTATAATTATCAAGATTGCTTCCAATAATAACTGTCAATCAGAATTGGAATTCTTAATTTTGATGCAGAGATTTCTTTTAGGGCACCGATCGCTGGAGGAGAGAAAGAAGCAATTATCGGACACGATAGTCTCGGGTTAGAAGGAATAGCTGTTGATTGGATTGGTCGCAAGTTGTACTGGCTGGACCGACATGCTAAACATTTGGACGTAGCAGAACTTAACGGAACTAATAGAAAAACTCTACTCACTGGAATAGCTGATCCACGGGCCATTGTTGTTCATCCTGGCACCGGATATCTATATTTCACTTCTTGGTATCTTCAGGTAACAATATTCACAGAATATTATAACATATGAGATAATTCTGTTCATTTCAACAGTGTTCCTAAGTAGTCTACAATTTTCTATGTATTGCTATAAGGTTTCTTTCGTTCTAAACAATATTATGACTCGAGAAAAATGCGAATTAACGATCCCTGGGTATCAAGCATACAGGGTGTTCGGCCACCCCTGGGAAAAATTTTAATGGGAGATTCTAGAGGCCAAAATAAGACGAAAATCAAGAATACCAATTTGTTGATGGAGGCTTTGTTAAAAAATTATTAACGTTTAAAATTCCGCCGGTACTGAATTTTTTTCTCGAAAATGCGCAAGATTTCGGTGGTATGCCTATTCACCAAAAATGATTGTAATTGACCCCCGCAACCGAAAATAATTTTTCCAAAACGACTTGAAATTATTTTTTTCCGTCGAAAAATTTCACATCTTCTCGAATTTTTTCCTAGAAAGTGGGTAGGGTTTCGGAGGTATGTCTATTCACCAAAAATGATTGCAATTGACCCCCGCAACCGATAATAATTTTTCCAAAACGACTTGAAATATTTTAATTTAATTGTTAATAACTTTTTAACGAAGTTTCCATCAACAAATTGGTATTCTTGATTTTCGTCTTATTTTGACCTCTAGAATCTTCCATTAAAATTTTTCCCAGGGTTGGCCGAACACCCTGTATATTTATTTTTTGATTTGTGGCGCCAACTAGTGGCGAAAACAGCGTTTGTGTTTCTCGGCTTGTAGTGAACTACTGTTTGTTAATTTACTGATGACTATTTTCCTGAGATTAAATTATAAACTTTCAAAGTTTAAGTATATATTAGGTGTACAAATGAGTAATCCAAACTAAGCCTCGCGGATATAAACTACTTGTCACTGAACAGAGGTAAATTTGAAGTTTCCTTTATACATATATTTGTATTATGAAGAGATTGTTAGAACGATTGAGAAATACATTTCGATGGGAAGATCGTATTCTTTAGTTACTTATCAATTGTTACCAAATGAAAAGTAAACTGAATCAAATTAGATGAAATCGAACCTTTCGTTATTGAATATTAGAAAAATGGCAGCGTTTTGATAGACGATTGAAATTTCTCAGGCGTACATAGGCAAGATGGGAATGGACGGAAGCAATTTTACAAGGATCCTGACTCTCGAGGATGGAATCGCTTGGCCAAATGCTTTGACTATCGACTACTTTACTGACAGGATCTTCTGGGCAGACGCTCACCTGGATTACATAGCATTTGCAGATTTAGAAGGCCACAATCGACATAAAATCCTCACCGGAGCCTCAGTGCCACACGTTTTCGCCATCACAGTCTTCGACGACTTCATCTTCTGGACCGATTGGAACCTGAAGGCCATCAGCAGAGCGGAGAAGTTCTCCGGAGCCAATTTAAGAGTCCTCCGCAACACTACGCACAGGCCATACGACATTCACGTCTTTCATCCTCTACGCCAGCTGCCTTACAACAATCCTTGTATAAAAAACAATGGCGGTTGCTCTCATCTGTGTTTGATATCACCGCCTGCGAGTTCTTATTTGTTAGAGGACTACGGACAACCAGAAATGACGTCGTATAAGTGCAAATGTCCTAACCAATTTGTGCTGGAGAAAGATGGAAAGACTTGCAGTGCTAACTGCACCAATGGCCAGCATCGATGTGGACCTCCGGATGAAAAATGCATTCCGTGGTACTGGCAGTAAGTATCTTCTTTGATATATTTAAATTAAGAACTTTGTCTTGAAGATTAAAGTCCAACTTTCACCGATTCATTCAAAATATATCTATATTTGAAGATTTTCATTGGAAATTCTCTGTATCATGAACTAAAATTCCAAGTTATTGGACCTTAATCATAGCTATCCCAGTACCATAATCCCTGAAATAAGAAATATATATTAATAAAGAATCTTATATTTCATAGATGCGATGGGGAAAAGGATTGTAAGGATGGTTCCGATGAGCCAATTAGTTGTCCACCGCGTCTTTGTCGTCCCAGCGTTTTCCAGTGCGCGAATGGAAATTGCAGACCCAGTGTAGCCGTCTGCGACGGCGCTATTGACTGCAGCGATAAGAGTGACGAAGCTAATTGCTCGTTGGACTGTGGAGAACTGGAATTCAAGTGCAAATCCAACGGAAGATGCATCCACGAATCTTGGAAATGCGACGGAGACGCCGACTGCAAGGATGGAAGTGACGAAGACCCTGCAATTTGTCGTAAATGCTGTTTTATTTACTATCGTCACGATGCAAAATCTGTTTTATAATATATTGAAAGTTATTCAGGCATCCAGGTTTGTGGCTTGAATAACCGTCTCTTTTTGTACATAATTATTGCAATTAAACCATAAACCTGGAGTGTTAAATGCTGCAGTCACAGCTGTCGCGCCGTTACCATAACTAAATTAAGCCTGATCTAAGTTTCTGCGTTTGATTCAGTTTTCACGTTCTATGAATCACGGATTTACCTTCTAATCGATCCATATTTTGGCCCAGATAATAGACCATGCGATCCAGACACAGAATTCACCTGTAAAAACGGTAGATGCATCCAGAAAGTCTGGATGTGTGATTCGGACAACGATTGTGGCGACGACAGCGACGAGCCGGCGTACATGTGTCGCCAGAGGAATTGCACCATCGGCTGGGAACGATGCCCAGGTCACGCGAATTACCGCTGTATCCCCAAATGGCTGTTCTGCGACGGGAAGGACGACTGTCGCGATGGGTCCGACGAACGACCCGAGAATTGCCCTAAGTGCGACCCTAAAATGGACTTCAAGTGTGCGAACAATAGGTGCGTGCCCAAGCAGTGGCTCTGTGATTTTGCTGATGACTGCGGTGACGGCAGCGACGAAGCCGAGGCCATGTGCAAGGACCGTTATAGAGAGTGCTCGGAGTCCGAGTTCCGGTGTGACAATGGAAAATGCATTGCCTCCAGGTGGAGGTGTGACAATGAAGACGACTGTGGGGACAACAGCGACGAGATTGGGTGTCAGAAGTTTGTGTGCAAGGTATTACACCATTTTTAATTGTATAATACCACAAACTTTAACTCTACAAGGTTGGGTAGAATGGAATACTTTGTATCAAGTAAAATAGTATATTTCATTTACAATAGTACAGTTAAATTCCGATTATACGGCGTATTCGGGACTGGGGCAATGCCAGAAAATCAAATATGCCGAATAATTGGACTATACCTACATATCAAGTGATAAAAACGAGGAATAGAATCATAGACAAGGTATAGGAGTAGACCTTACATTTGATGTATTTTTTTGGGTCTCTAGAGCCACATTGTCATTTTCATGTCACTGGAGACATTACCAACAGGTTACATTTCTATAAAGAATGTTTTTCTCAAAAGAGCGTAGGATTTCGGGGGTACGTCTATTCACCAAAAATGATTGTAATTGGCCTCTGTTAGAAATAAAGCGCCATTTGTTTCTGCGCCACCTAGAGTTCTTCTGATTTACTACTATTGTACTGTGTACCTTTTGTCTGTAACGAAGCCACGTGCTCATTAAATGTGTGTTACTGAGAAGAAGTCGAGTCTTGAACCCCCAAATTTTCACAGGGGGCAGTGGAAGCGTGCTAGGCCCATAACCTGTGGAAATTTTGGGGTTAAGCAAAACTCAACTTCCTCTCAGTAACACACACTTAAAAAGCACGAAGCGTCGTTACAGACAAAAGGTACACAGTGCAATAGTAGTAAGTCAGAAGAACTCTAGGTGGTGCAGAAATGCTTTATTTCTAACAGCCGTTATTTCTATTCACCAAAAATGATTGTAATTGACCTCCGCATCCAAAAATAATTTCTCAAAATAATTGGAAACTTTTCAATTTCTCTGAAAAATTTAGGCACCTAACTCCTGTCGATTTTTCTTAAGAATTCGTTTTTCATTTTTACTAAATTTGTTTAACGCCGTACGGAAATGTGTTTTAATACTTTTTTGTAAGTATCCACGAGCTCTACTTCCTTACTAAATTTCAATGAAATCCATTGACTATTGCAGGAGTTATGGTTGTTTAAATCTTGGACCATTTTTATGGAGTTTTTCTCACTTGATGTGATTAAGGAACTGTTAAGATTCGTGTATAATTAAATCAATGTTCTCTGTTGTTTAGATATTGATATTCATAAACGCTTTACATTTTAACGGCTCTCCGAAGTAACTTTTTATACCACGTTTCTGCTATTACGTCTTTTCAAATGCGCGCTTCGCTCGGGGATTCCTCGGTCTCCCACTCACACACCCAGTCGCCGAGCTGTATGCGCACTCGTCTACTGCGCATACTGCTTTACATTATATTTTATAATTTACGGAACACGACTATTCTCAATAGGGACAACTTTTCGAATGTTCTTAGAATTTAGATTTCATCCAAAAACTGTTCGCAGAGATATAAACCTTTCATCTAAGTCTTGTATCTGTGACTGTTGGGCTTTCTCAAAGTATAAATGTTGTTTGATTGCAGAACTATACGTTCCAATGTGCAAGTGGTCACTGTATAGCATCCTACCTACGTTGTGATGGAACACGAGACTGTAGAGACATGAGCGATGAGATTGGATGTCAACCGAAATATCCAGGCGGAAGGTACTGTCCACAGTCTAGGTTCCAGTGCGATAACAATCTCTGCGTATACCTGATGGACATTTGTGACGGGAGCGACGATTGTGGTGACGGTTCTGATGAAAACCCAGCCATGTGTGGTAAGATTGCCTTTCTTACTTTCCATATAAAATAGAACGAAAAACATCTAACTTTAATGGAATATTCCCCCAGCCAAATTCAAATGTGACACGACAAGGAGGTTCCATTGTGCGAACCACAAGTGCATCGCCAAATACCAGTTATGCGACGGAGTGGATAATTGTGGCGATGGATCAGATGAAAACAATATTACTATGTGTGCGTCCAGGGTTCGACTTTGCGATCCTATACTTGAGTATACTTGCGCTAATAAGAAGTGCATCGAGAGATCCAAGTTATGCGACTTTGCTGACGACTGCGGAGACTCCTCTGACGAACTTGGATGCCGTAAGTATTCATTCTGTTAGATGTTATGCTAGGAGTGTACTCTTGAACAACTTCAATTTCTCGCAGATCATAACAAGCCGTGTTTGGACAGCAACAAAGGCGGCTGTTCGCACTATTGTCACAACATCACCGATGGAGGTTACATCTGTGCCTGCTATCCTGGTTACATAATCTCATCCGACAATAGAAAGCACTGCGAAGATATAAACGAATGCTCCACCGGACAACACCAATGTTCCCAACTGTGCACTAACCTAAATGGAACCTATTCCTGTTCATGTAGAAAAGGTTTCGAACTCTCTGACAACCGCAGTGGAGTCTGCAAAGTTCAGGACGGCGAAGCCATGATTCTGTTCGCGAATGGGCCAGAGATCAGAGCGTACGATCTCCAGAAGAAGGATGAGCTGGAAGTCGTAGCAAACGAGAAAAGAGTTCAGGCTGTCGATTTCGATCCCAGGGCTGAGTACGTGTTTTGGATCGATAGCCACGATCATTCCATCAAGAGGTCGTACATGTTAAATGCTAGAGGTGGACAGGTCAAGATTGGATACGCGCAAGATCTCAACATTAAGAGTAAGTTTATTTATTGTTTATCATTAGTATTAAGAAAAATATCATTCGTTGTGACTCTTCCTTGAAAAACAAGGTGGTTTGTTTTTATCCGTCAAGTTGAAAGGATCCTTCTATATTTTAACGACGGATGGAGAAGGGTTTCACTATGGTTAATACTTTCCAAGAACTTAATTTGCAATAAAGTCTCCGATCATCAAATTAACACGCAAGGATTTTGGTTTCATAACTGTAACGTTGCACTATTAATATGATATGTGATGTTGACGATAGAGAATTGAAAGAGAATAAACATCTCAAATTAGAAGAATTGAATGGTATTGGAGTCAATTTTTGCCAAATATTTGTTTCAACCTCTGTATTTGGTAAATTTTTAACGACAAATGTTAAACGGTTCTAATTTGATGGCCCAGAGACTATAAGAAAGGAATTTAATAGTTTTGATATAATAATGGTTCTTTCACAGGCGCAGCAACTCCCACGAGTTTAGCAGTGGACTGGATCTCAGGGAATCTTTACTGGACCGAAATCGATTCGTCGGGAAGAACACCGTTGGGTCGAGTGATGGTTTCAAAAGCTGATGGAAGGTACCTTAGAAGTTTGGTGACGACAGGTTTGGAGATTCCAACTTCTATTGTTTTGGACCCGGAGCTTGGCAGAGCCATTTGGACAGATGTTGGCAGTCAGCCCAAAATTGAAATCGCTTGGATGGATGGCGATAAGAGGAAACAACTGGTCACGGAACGAATTGAACAACCCATTGCACTTGCTATAGATTATTCGATGAATCATGTCATTTATTGGGCTGATAGCAAACTTAACACCATCGAATCTATTGAACAGGTAACTAAACAAGTTGCTCTTTTTGGAAATTCATAGTGCTCCTTTTTGAAAATTAAAAATCCTTTCCCACTTTCCACATGAAACTCCTGCTTCCCAATACTAATACCATCAATTCACTTCCGTAGGATGGTTCGAACCGCAAGGTATTATTGAAAGGTGATAGCCTGAAGCACCCAGTATCACTGGACGTTTTCGAAAGTAGTCTCTACTGGACGACTAGACATACTGGTGAGCTGATCCGTCAAGACAAATTTGGCAGAGGCGTTCCCCAAAGTATTGTGAAGAATATTCCTACCCCTGGAGGGGTCAGAGTCTACCACCAGCTGCGATACAACACCACTCTGCGAAATGTTTGCCATGATGATCAGTGTACGCATCTCTGCGTGCCTATTCCCGGAGGAAATCGATGTCTCTGTTCAGATACCATCGGGCCGCTTCAGCAGAGAACCTCTCCTTTATCGAACGAGAGACACTGTGACGCTACAAACGAAAGACCTTTGCCTGCGCCTAGGATTTGTCCTTGCAGAAACGGGGGTCTGTGCCAGGAAACTGAGGATGGAAACAAATTACTGTGTTCTTGTCCAGCTTACTTCCATGGAGAACATTGCGAAACTGGTTTAATGGCCACCAGGTCTGGGAACGCCACGGCAGCTATAGTTATTCCCATAGTAATCTCTGTTCTGGTCCTCCTTGGAGCTGCTGCTGTCATCATGGTGCTAAAGAAGCGACCGTTGTGAGTATTCCAGTTGTGACAACACCTATTCTTTACTCGCAGAAGTTGTGCTTGCGCGACGAGTATTCTAAAGACATTAGTCCGTAAGTAAGCTTTACGATTAACAGTTTTAAAATGTTGTTTGCAGTGGAAAGCCTGGAGGTCTTGGCAGTTTAACTGGTGCTCAAAGCGTGTCTTTCAGACAGGGTAGCAACGTCGAGTTTGGAGCACCTGCTCACGAAAGAATGGTACGCTAATATTGTTTACTCTATGATTCTTTGGAAAATGAACATGAGGTTAAAAGCTTTTTTAACAAAATATTGGAGAAACAAGAAGTTAGCTTTCAGGAAATGCAAAAAACTCTTGTTTTAATTACTTCGGAGGATAGTTTTGTAATGTTTCTTTGGGGAAAAAGTGTGGCGTCGCCTCCCATGCTCTCCACCAGGGGGGTTCTTGCTCTCACAAGCGCTCGACCGACCCCTCGGTTGTTATATGTATATTCTTCGACTGACTTCCCAATATCCCACTCATCTAAGGCAGAGCCTGCTAGGCAGTGATTGACTTTTGTGGGAATTTTGTGATCATGCGCACTGGAGCGAGCGCTACAGTCCTCACTGCCGTATAGACATAACTTAGAATTTAGGGTACCGTTGGATCCCAGGAAGGATGAATGGGAAAAGTAAGAAGATATAATAATATTCAAGAATGTTATTATAACACTAGAACTACCGACAATTATAGTGTGTTTATTTGTACCAAAGAAATTGAAACGATAGATACGCGAAGAAATATATGCAATGGAAATAAGTGTTTATATATTCTCTTATAGAAAATTACGATAAATTTTCAAAAATTCAGTCGAGTAAATTTTTTACAAGTTTTATTAGAAATTACGAATGGGTCATTTTGACTGGTTTGGTAGTTCTAGTGTTAACCATGTCGTTAAGCGTGTAAAAAAAAATTTTTATTGAAAAATACTGCAAAATGACGACGCTGGAGTCATTCTCGCGAGGTGTTTTGAATTTGAGGCGCTCTGCAGCACGCAGTGTAACTGACTCAAATTTGAATCTGGAAAAAAACAAAAAATTTTCTCTTAATTTACATGAGTATAGCTAGAGAAATATCTAGGGGATCTTCGATAAGTTAATTTTATACAAAACATGGGGCAATCATTTGTCAATAAATAATGGTAAAATTAACTTATCGAAGATCCCTTACGTATTTCTCTGGCTACTATTTTTGAATAAATATTTTTTTTTACACGCTTAACGACATGGTTAATAACATTCTTGAATATTATTATTCTCTTATTTTTCCATCCATCCAAAAAAAAATCGCAAGAAAACGCTTTATTTCAGGTTTTTAAAGTGGTCTTACACCTTAATTTAAACTAATTGAAGTGTCCGCTAATAAAATGTTGGAATTCCCAACAGGCCCCTTACATGCACCTCTTTTCGCGCTAAAGATACATCTATGGTAGCGGACGACATGTAGCTGTGACGTCAGTTTACGCATGCGCAGAAAGGAATCCCACAAGGGAAAATTCCAGTGCGCATGACCAAAATTTCCACGAAAGTCCATTACTGCTGAGTGGGATTCCCACTCATCTAAGGCTGGGCCTACTAGGAAATCTTACTGATGAGTCCACTAGCGCCTCCTCCTTTCCTTTTCTATCCTCCTACGATTCTCACGAGTTCATACCTGCAGCAAATCAGCGCCACAATAGAATTGAATTGAATTGTTTGTTAAATAGGAACCTTTGGACGTGGAGTACAACCTTGGAGACGTGAGTAACAAGAACAGGGATTTTAGTAACCCAATGTATGACGCTGTGAACACGGAAACAGCTACTAACGGGACCAGCAGCATGTACGAGCTTCCAGCTGAAATGAAACCATCCAGCGTCCAGCACAAAGAGCCGCCACAGTTGCACCTGAAGAGGAAAGAGCTCGATCCAACGGCCGTCGACTCGGGAAAGGATACCCAGCAGCTGGTCGAGGAAGACAAGTCTGAGTGTTAGACAGTTTGAACTCTTTTGTGCAGTGATCGTAGTTAGAATGTCGAGGTGACACGACCAGAGAGAAGAAAATGTAGAAGAAGGAAAACCTTGGTCTGATTATAACAATTCCCTAGTTACACCTAACTACATAGTGCCTTGTGCCAACGTACTGATCAATTAGAAAAAGTTATTGGTACTTTTACATCGGTGTCTTTTATATTCAGAGTTGGGGAAAAATGTAGTCTGATTAGATTTATCAGGGATAATGTTATGTGAATTATACTAGAATTAGGTTTTAAAGCTTTTATGACGATTATGGGGCTATTGGACGGTGATTACAGTGTAATTTGATAGTTTTTAGACTAACTAGTGGTTTATAGTTATGATTATAGTGCAGTTGGACGCTAATCACACTATAATTAGTTTCTACACGAATCAAAGATTTACAGTTAGAATTACAGTGAAATTTGTCGTTAATTACCGTGAAATTACACGTATGTAATCATTGGAAATGTAATTAGATTACAATTTCATCCAACTCTGCTTCCATTTCTGCGATTCTAATTTTATACAGAAAACGTTTTAAAATAGAGGTAAAAAAATTAAATTTTATAAGAAAGATATGAAAAAACCGTTCAGTATGAACAGTATTGTTGTTTGTAAAACACTATGAAAGCATGCATTTTGCATTTACTTAGGTGTTTGTAAAAGTTTTTTGCAATGGAAATTGTTGATGTATAATTTCCTGCGAATTAGTTAACACGAAGTGCACACAGTAAGTGTATCTGACTACGCTACTTCTTTCTAGAGATGCATTCGTTGCACTTGTATCTCACTGTAGCCCACAATTGCCATGCTCCGCGCACAGAAAAAAATACTAAAATTATTGAGAAAGATGGATAGAAACGTTAGGTGGATGAATAATTGTGTTTCAAGTGGGATGAAAGTGCAATTAATGAATTTGTGTCATCTTAGGTGCGATTTGTAAGTCTTGTAAATACGATTTATCGCAGAATATTGTTTTCACGTTGTCCATGTACCATAAAGAAACAAAAACATTCCACATTCTTGAGAATTACTCGAGGCAGATAGAAAAAAGTTTGTTGGAGGGCTGTAATTTAAGGGTTTGGGCCTCACGAAACAAGTTTTTCTCTATCAAAGTTTGCTCCAGCAAGCAAACTGTTGTTACATTGTACATTTTTCTAGATTATGCGAAGGAGGGAACAGGTCGGTGTACAGTCTTTCGTGGAAAGTAAATTGGTAATGACCTATTTTGAAGAAACCACAGAGTAGAATGCTCTTGAATAGAGATTTATTTGCCACGGTAGAATCTTGATTATGTTTTAATCGAAATAAATTGTAATTGGAACGTTTGGGTTCTGAGAGTCGTAAAGATTATTCGAATTGTTAACACGACTCTCCAAGCGAACTTAAGTGAAATTAATCAAACGATTTGAGTTTGATCAAAATTGGTAACGCAACTCTCCAAGTGGACTCGAAAGAAATGAATTTCAACGCGAAAAATATTTAAAAATTAACCAACGATTAGTTAATCGAGTTTCTCACCGTGCGATTTCGTTTTTTTTTTACAGTACGTTGTATATAGGTTTACGGATCAATGAAGGATAGAAGATTGTCACTGCCTGTCCTCCAACAGATTTATACATAAAGTTATATAAATAAACAGATCTATCTATGTATATGTACGAGAACGCGCGATGAATAAAAATGGCGCGTAATCGGGAACGACTTCGTCCTGGGCGGGGCTCCAGATTAATATTATTTTATCTGTATCAGTATTTTCTGTATTTTTTTATTGACCCGACGAGATCACAATTGTTAATATATTGTTCGAACATTAAAACAGGTACCGTACCGTCCAAGAATAAATGCTGAACTTTCGAATCCGTGGTTTCTTTGCACCTGCGCAACAGATCTCCAAGACGAAGAACACTTGCCATCCGCGGTACTGATCTCTTTAGAGTAGCTTCTAAAGATGAAGATGCGTGGAACTTTTATTCCATAAAATTGGACCGAAACCATGTTACAACTCTGCGCTACTCTACTTTGGTGGCAGTTTGTTCGTCGTACTGTACCGAAGGAACCATAGGTGGTTTGAATCCGTACTCCATTTTTGATTGCCTAAAGGTTCCAGCGTTGGCACCAGTTTCCTGCCTGGTTCTTCTCATCTGACCATCGGACGCATATTGCAAGGACTTGGATTGAATCGCCGGCGAGGCTTGAACCATTTTTCGTGGGCCAGTAACGCTCTCCTTTTCCGGCGTTGGCCTTCCATAGGCAGCAGAATGGCCAATCACCGGGGAATAAAGGAGCTGGGAGTATTGGGTCCCGAACTTGTTCGGCATCGAGTGCAACAACAATGGTTGCCTAGAAACTCCAGCGTAGCCCAGTCCATAGTACTGTGTGGAGTTAAAAGAGCCCTGGTCGTCCATCAGGGATCCGTACGATGGTCCAGGCATCGTCTGAAAGCTTTGGTGTCTGAAAATTTGCTGTAAATTGGCATCATTGTAGACAGGAATCCCAATAGACTTGAACAACTTGCCATTTTCCAGAAGATGAGGCTTTTCCAGCGAAGGAGGGATTCGAAAATGGACGGGGAATGGAAGTATGAACCTCTGGACAGCAAAGGGCATTTTCTTCTCCACGTGAACAGGGTATGGAATTCGAATTTGCTTTTCTACCACGCGGTCCACGTGCACTGGAAACGGATGTGGTATGGTTATCTGCTTCTCTATGACCTGGGGGACTAGCCTGACCTCCTCCAGGACCCTGGGCGGCTCCCTGGAGTACTTGGAGACCTGGCGACCCTCTGCAAGGTCCAGAAAAGCTACCTCGTTCTCATTTTCGTTTTCTTGAACATTTACAGGAAGATTCTCGTTGGTCGGTTGGTTCAGTTTCTTGTCTTGTGGCTTTCTGGGCGGGGGTACGAACTCCAGCGGATAGTGGATTTCGTGCACGGGCGCCGTATGAAATATCTCCACCGACTTTTGTATCTCCACCGACTGTTGACCAGATTTCAGTGCCAGGGACTCGGTGTGCAGCGAGGACTGGTCGTTTTGGAGATCTGATCGAACTTCTTCCTCTGGTAAAGTTGCCTCTGGCGAGTCCTGGACGGAGTTGAGGTCTTCCCCGGCGTTCATCAGCGCCACGCCGACCTGTAGAGGGCGCAACACGACCTGGGACGCCGTTAAGAAGCTAGGTTTCGATGTTAAACCCTGTCGAGGCAAATCTGGGACCACTATCGGGCCTGAGAATTTACCTAGGGACAAGGCGGGGACTGTGGTAGACGAAACAGTGTCCGCAGAAGTAGCTGGGACGATCGTAGGACTGGCATTGTCTTGGTTTTCTTTGAGTCTCCAAGCCTTTTGCAAGTCTTGTTGAAAAGAAGATGAATTTTTCGGAGTTTCTGGGCTAATGTTGTTGAGAATTGAGGGTCTGGTGGTTGTTTTCCTAGGCGTGGACCTAGTTCTGGGCTTTGGGATAGGAGAACGAAGTCGTTGACCGAAATCCACTAGCTCTTCAGAGAAAAGTTGGCTCAAATTGAAGTTATTTTGTTGGGCAGGTGAATATTTCAGAGCTATTTGTTGAAAAGGAACTTTTTCCACCGTGATAACGGTACTGGTCAAGTTTTCAGTGCCTTCGGGAGTTCTGGATGACCTTGGAACGCTATTTGTAGACCCGTTTATGGTGTTTTCTTGAGTTTGTTTGGTTTCCGAGGGCACGAGGTACGGCTGGACTATTTGCTTGGAAAGCCGGGGTTGGAAATCCCTGTAGGTTTCATTCTGAAATAAATAGACATTATTAAACGATTTTATTAATTTTTTAATGAATTAGTGAGAGCGCCACCCCTCTGGTGGCGAGCATAGGAAGCGACACCACAAGTCCAATAATGATGGAATGAATGAAAGTGGCATTCACGAGCGAATTCACGATGATTCTACAATTTTCCTTTCTTTCATAACCCCTTACGATCCTCTGTTATTATTGCAATTAATGGGCCGAGTCGTTGCATTAAAAAATTAAATCTTCGCAAGGAAAAACAAGAGCTATCATACGTGCTATCATAAAAACTATTATGTGCATATACACATAATTCGTTGAGGAATGCGCTCGACGAAATCGTCATAAATTATTTCTCATCATTTCACGGCAAACAGATTTCAAATTTAACAAATTCTAATTATTACAGATGGAAAGTTCTTCATCTAATATTTTTAATGTTCAATTTAATTTACTTATAATAACTGCCGCCCTCGACAACAGAAATTCCCAAATTGATCGCAACTGCAGCTACTATGTTAATTATTATTAAAAGAATTAAAAGATTGTATGGATGGCGGGCATTTTTGAATCTTAAGCCATCTGACGCTAGAACATCCAAGTTTGTCGAGCAATAGTTCGTTCCCTCCAACGTTAGACGGATGGACGCCAGAATATGATAGATCGAACAATACCCTTTTTTTATTAATTTATCTATTTATTAACAACAACTAAGCCTTCCTTAGGCTTATGTATCCCTTTGGTTAGTAATCCAAACTCATTTCTTGGCCGCTACGAGTCTCATTAGCAGCACCTCTCGGGCACGCTTTGTGCTCGTGAGAATCGCTAGCTGCGCCCACTGCGCGATGCGCCAAAACCGATTTTGGGCCATTGGACATGACTGACATGCGCACGCATCGATTTTTCTGTATATCAGTCGAAACCTTGTAGCGGCCCATAGCGCAGTCATTAGCATAGCCTTGTTCTAACCGGCTATAGTACAAGAGTTGTTTAAGGGTGCTTTTTCTTTGTCTCAACGCTCGTAGTTCTTGCTTTCATGTAATTCACTCACTTCAATTAACAGAAGGCTCAAGCTCATAAACCACAACAATTAATACAATTGCAAAGGTATTATGTGTCTTGAAATAGCGCATAATTTAGGCATTTTCTCAACTCTCAATCTCCGCTGGAAATGGCGATCAATAATATCGTCACTTCCTTAAGATCTCACGCGCTCATCGCTCAATATTTTGTTTGATTCTCTTGTAACCACTGCATTGTGTTTTAAAATAAAGGACGTTACAACTTTGTTTAAAATGTTTGCACAAAGTCATTCTTCGCAAATCTTATTTATACAATCGATGATTTCAAACAGCTACTCTCTCTATATCACAATTTGGTACGTAGTTTTACTTTGTTTCAGGTTCATATAGACAAAAAGTTTCGATTTTAAAACGCTAAACTGATTTCCAGCTTCTCTCAAGGAAAGAGAATGTTTATTAAACCAAAGTAGAAATGTCACAGCGCCTAACTCATCGTAATAATCCCTTGTGCGTTCCTGTTGCGTTCGATCAAGTGAAAGCGTTGAGAAAGGTCATCTTGGATTGAAAACGCTTAAGAATTCGCGTCGTATGAATTTCTGACGCAACCAATTATTAGGGAAAACGTCTTCGTCACAACATATTCGAATTTTAATAGTCAATCATTATTCTGTACCGTCGTTTATGTTTGCTATATACTTCAGTATGATTATTCGAGGACCGGTTGAAAGTGAATCACTTTCCCAGTAACGAGGAAGGGAAAGCGAGGAAATCACCATTATTCGTAGCTCGTGTCTAAAGTCATCGATTAAGAGTGGATCTTTAAAAGCGTTTTAATTAATTTTCATTGAATGGAAGAGAATTAAATTGGAATTAATTAAAAAAAACTGTTACGAACCAACAAGTTTTAAATTTTAAATTAGATTCCGTCTCTATGCGTAATTTAGAATTAAGTAATTTTATTTATAAAATTTTATTTATAAAATTACTTATTTAGTAATTAAAGAATATTAGAATAGGTACTGACTGTTTTATAATTATTTTCGTTATCGTTAACGAGTTTCGAAATTTCGTCCTCTGGTTGGCTGGGAGCGTTGGTCTCGGAATATTTGAAGATTTCTTGTTGGAAGATTCCAACAGACGACTGACGATCTTGAACGTTTTTCGTCTCTTGTTTCGTTCGAGTTCTGTTTTGTTCGTATTTCTGTCGTTGTTCCGGAAGTGCCTATAAACAAACGTGTTTTATGGAAAATTAAGAAAAATTAACGGTAGTACAGAAAATGTTAACTAATAAATATTTATTAGGTAATTAAATGCTCAATAAATATTTATTAGGGCATTAAATGCTCATAATATAATATAATATTTTTTAATGTTTGGCTACTCCTGGGAACAATTTTAATGGGAGATTTTAGAGGCCAAAATAAGACGGAAGTCAAGAATACCAATTTCATGATCGAAGCTTCGTTAAAAAATTATTAACGTTTAAAGTTTCGGCCGTACTGAATTTTTTTCTAGAAACTGGGTAGGATTTCGAGGGTATGTGTAATGACCAACAATGATTGTAATTAACCCCCGCAACCGAAAATAATTTTTCCAGAACGATTTGAGATTTTTTAATTTTGTCAAAAAATTTCACTTTCTCGAATTTTTTTCTAGGAAGTGGATAGAATTTCGGAGGTATGTCTATTGACCAAAAATGATTGTAATTGACCCCCGCAACCGAAAATAATTTTTCCAGAACGATTTGAGATATTTTAATTTTGTCGAAAAATTTCACACTTTCTCGAATTTTTTTCTAGGAAGTGGGTGGGATTTCGGGGGTACATCTATTGACCAAAAATGATTGTGATTGACCACTGAAGCCAAAAATATTTTTTTTTAAACAATTTGCAATTTTCTTTTCGCCGAAATATTTAGGCACCTAAATCGGGGAACCCCCAATCGATTATTTTTAAAAATTCGTTTTTGATTTTTAGTAACTGTGTTTGACGCCCTATAGAAAAGTTGTCTAATACTTTTTTGTATGTACCCATGAGCTCTAGTTCAGAAAAAAGTTTCATTGAAATATATTCACTATTGTAGGAATTATGGCTGTTTGAAAATTGGACCACTTTTATGGTGTTTTTCTTACTTTACGAAGTTAAGGAGCAACTTTCCAAATATTTTTGGAATTTCTACATATTCTACGCCAAAATACACGTTGTTTGCTGTTCGAAACATTAAAATCCTCCAAGCCGTTCAGGAGTTATAATGTTTCAATGATTTGCATAGAATATTGGGGAATCATTTCAGGCCTCAGATTATATTTTCGGTAAGGAATTTTTTTCTCGAAAGTGCGTAGGATTTCAAAGATATGTCTATTCGCCAAAAATGATTGCAATCACCCCTGCAAATAAAAATATTTTTTCCAGATTAAATTGGAACCTTTTAATTTTTCCAAAAAATTTCTCCACCGTCTCGATTTTTTTTCTAGGAAGTGGGTAGGATTTCGGGGGTATGTCTATTGACCAACAATGATTGTAATTAACCCCCGCAACCGAAAATAATTTTTCCAGAACGATTTGAGATTTTTTAATTTTGTCAAAAAATTTCACTTTCTCGAATTTTTTTCTAGGAAGTGGATAGAATTTCGGAGGTATGTCTATTGACCAAAAATGATTGTAATTGACCCCCGCAACCGAAAATAATTTTTCCAGAACGATTTGAGATATTTTAATTTTGTCGAAAAATTTCACACTTTCTCGAATTTTTTTCTAGGAAGTGGGTGGGATTTCGGGGGTACATCTATTGACCAAAAATGATTGTGATTGACCACTGAAGCCAAAAATATTTTTTTTTAAACAATTTGCAATTTTCTTTTCGCCGAAATATTTAGGCACCTAAATCGGGGAACCCCCAATCGATTATTTTTAAAAATTCGTTTTTGATTTTTAGTAACTGTGTTTGACGCCCTATAGAAAAGTTGTCTAATACTTTTTTGTATGTACCCATGAGCTCTAGTTCAGAAAAAAGTTTCATTGAAATATATTCACTATTGTAGGAATTATGGCTGTTTGAAAATTGGACCACTTTTATGGTGTTTTTCTTACTTTACGAAGTTAAGGAGCAACTTTCCAAATATTTTTGGAATTTCTACATATTCTACGCCAAAATACACGTTGTTTGCTGTTCGAAACATTAAAATCCTCCAAGCCGTTCAGGAGTTATAATGTTTCAATGATTTGCATAGAATATTGGGGAATCATTTCAGGCCTCAGATTATATTTTCGGTAAGGAATTTTTTTCTCGAAAGTGCGTAGGATTTCAAAGATATGTCTATTCGCCAAAAATGATTGCAATCACCCCTGCAAATAAAAATATTTTTTCCAGATTAATTTGGAACCTTTTAATTTTTCCAAAAAATTTCTCCACCTTCTCGAATTTTTTTCTAGGAAGTGGGTAGGATTTCGGGGGTATGTCTATTGACCAAAAATGATTGTAATTAACCCCTGCACACAAAAATAATTTTTCCAGAACGATTTGAGATTTTTTAATTTTGTCGAAAAATTTCACACTTTCTCGAATTTTTTTTTAGGAAGTGGGTAGAATTTCGATGGTATGTCAATTGATAAAAAATGATTGTAATTGACCCCCGCAACTAAAAATAATTTTTTCAGAGTGATTTGAAATTTTTGAATTTAATTTTTTAATAACTTTTTAACGAAGCGTCAGTCAAGAAATTGATATTCTTGATTGTCGTCTTATCTTGGCTTCTTGAATCTCCAATTAGAATTTTTCCCACAAGTGGTCGAACACCCTGTATAAATGCTCATAATATAATATAATAATTAATCTTGTTTAACTCTGTTGTCTTGTTCGTTCCGTTAGGTTTGGTGTCCGGATATGAGAATAACTGGAGGAACAGAAGAGAAACGGGTATAAATTCGAAATAGCCAGGAACGAGTGAAAATAATCAACTCGTTGTCGGTGGATGGCCCTTTTGGGGAGAGAAAGATTAAAGAGCTACCAGAATTGAACCGACAAGTTTCACCGGTTACGATCAGGTTTCCGAGCAATTTCAGAGTTGCAAAGAGAAGCTGTAGAATACTGTTAAATATAGTCTCCGTTCCATATCCGATAAAACATTCTCCATCATAATGTTTCTCAAACTCGGTCATAAACAACTCTTCTAGTCTTGGCCTGGACAAAATTTTTCCACTAAAATTTAAAATTCCTATTGAAACCACAAAAATGCACTATTTGGAGCCTTAAATCCTGATTTAGATATTTAAATCCAGAATTAACACTTTGCAGGACATCTAATGCAGAACCACGCATCCACAAATCCACATTTTCATTGCAACAACCTTCTTCTTTATCTAGTAAAATCAATTTTCAAAGTCCAGAGTTAAGTACAACTTTTCCAACAAATAGTTAAATTCTGAGTCTTAAATCCTGATTTAACTATTTGTTAGAAAAGTTGTACCTGACTCTGGAGTTTGAAGATTGATTTTACTAGCCAAAGAAGAAGGTTGTTCCAATGAAAACGTGATAGAAAGGTTCTGCATTAGTGTTGCTTACCAGAAACTAAGAAAAGAAATGAACTTTTGCTATGATATGCTATTACACCTAACTCTGGACTTTGGGAATTGATTTTACTAGACAGAGATGAAGGTTGTTCCAATGAAAACGTGATAGAAAGGCTCTGCATTAGTGTTGCTTCCCCGGGACGAGGAAAAGAAATGAACATTTGCTATGATATGCTATTATACTTAACTCTGGTCTTTGAAAATTGATTTTACTAGACAAAAAAGAAGGTTCTTCCAATGAAAATGTGATAGAAAAATTCTGCATTAGATGTCCTGCAACGTGTTAATTCAGGATTTAAATATTAAAATCCTGAAATAACACTTTGCAGGACATCTAATACAGAACCATCCATCCACAAATCCACATTTTCATTGCAACAACCTTCTTCTTTATCTAATAAAATCAATTTTCAAAGTCCAGAGTTAAGTACAACTTTTCCAACAAATAGTCAAATTCTGAGTCTTAAATCGTGATTTAACTATTTGTTGGAAAAGTGGTACTTAACTCTGGTCTTTGAAAATTGATTTTACTAACCAAAGAAGAAGGTTGTTCCAATGAAAACGTGATAGAAAGGTTCTGCATTAGTGTTGCTTACCAGAAATTAAGAAAAGAAATGAACTTTTGCTATGATATGCTATTACACCTAACTCTGGACTTTGGGAATTGATTTTACTAGACAGAGATGAAGGTTGTTCCAATGAAAACGTGATAGAAAGGTTCTGCATTAGTGTTGCTTACCAGAAACTAAGAAAAGAAATGAACTTTTGCTATGATATGCTATTACACCTAACTCTGGACTTTGGGAATTGATTTTACTAGACAGAGATGAAGGTTGTTCCAATGAAAACGTGATAGAAAGGCTCTGCATTAGTGTTGCTTCCCCGGGACGAGGAAAAGAAATGAACATTTGCTATGATATGCTATTATACTTAACTCTGGTCTTTGAAAATTGATTTTACTAGACAAAAAAGAAGGTTCTTCCAATGAAAATGTGATAGAAAAATTCTGCATTAGATGTCCTGCAACGTGTTAATTCAGGATTTAAATATTAAAATCCTGAAATAACACTTTGCAGGACATCTAATACAGAACCATCCATCCACAAATCCACATTTTCATTGCAACAACCTTCTTCTTTATCTAATAAAATCAATTTTCAAAGTCCAGAGTTAAGTACAACTTTTCCAACAAATAGTCAAATTCTGAGTCTTAAATCGTGATTTAACTATTTGTTGGAAAAGTGGTACTTAACTCTGGTCTTTGAAAATTGATTTTACTAACCAAAGAAGAAGGTTGTTCCAATGAAAACGTGATAGAAAGGTTCTGCATTAGTGTTGCTTACCAGAAATTAAGAAAAGAAATGAACTTTTGCTATGATATGCTATTACACCTAACTCTGGACTTTGGGGATTGATTTTACTAGACAGAGATGAAGGTTGTTCCAATGAAAACGTGATAGAAAGGTTCTGCATTAGTGTTGCTTACCAGAAACTAAGAAAAGAAATGAACTTTTGCTATGATATGCTATTACACCTAACTCTGGACTTTGGGAATTGATTTTACTAGACAGAGATGAAGGTTGTTCCAATGAAAACGTGATAGAAAGGCTCTGCATTAGTGTTGCTTCCCCGGGACGAGGAAAAGAAATGAACATTTGCTATGATATGCTATTATACTTAACTCTGGTCTTTGAAAATTGATTTTACTAGACAAAAAAGAAGGTTCTTCCAATGAAAATGTGATAGAAAAATTCTGCATTAGATGTCCTGCAACGTGTTAATTCAGGATTTAAATATTAAAATCCTGAAATAACACTTTGCAGGACATCTAATACAGAACCATCCATCCACAAATCCACATTTTCATTGCAACAACCTTCTTCTTTATCTAATAAAATCAATTTTCAAAGTCCAGAGTTAAGTACAACTTTTCCAACAAATAGTCAAATTCTGAGTCTTAAATCGTGATTTAACTATTTGTTGGAAAAGTGGTACTTAACTCTGGTCTTTGAAAATTGATTTTACTAACCAAAGAAGAAGGTTGTTCCAATGAAAACGTGATAGAAAGGTTCTGCATTAGTGTTGCTTACCAGAAATTAAGAAAAGAAATGAACTTTTGCTATGATATGCTATTACACCTAACTCTGGACTTTGGGGATTGATTTTACTAGACAGAGATGAAGGTTGTTCCAATGATAACGTAATAGAAAGGCTCTGAATTAGTGTTGCTTTCCCGGAACGAGGAAAAGAAATGACCTTTTGCTATGATATGCTATTGTACCTAACTCTGGACTTTGAAAATTGATTTTACTAGACAAAGAAGGTTGTTTCAATGAAAATGTGATAGAAAGATTCTGCAAAGTGATAGAAAATGTCCTGCAAAGTGTTGATTACCAGAGGCACGAGGAAAATAAATGAACTATTGCTATGAAGCTAGAGTTTTAGGTGTGTGGGGTATGAAGGAATGGCGGAATCGAAACTCCGTTGGCCGCGAACGAGGCTGGGTTTGCTTTTAATGTGACTTTGAACTCGAGTACGACTCTCACTGGTTTTTCTTTTGCGACTGCAGGAATGTGGCGAGCATCTTTTCCCGTTTCTCCTTTCTTCGTCGGACGAATGGCGCTGGAGAAAGGGAGACAAGCGCGGGAACCGTAAACTCGTCCACCCGTCCACCTTTCTCTCATCTCGACTTGTCTGTCACGTTATTTTCATCCATTTCGATTGATACCAACTGCAATTAGGACAATATTTTCTGGACGCAAAATGCCTGTCTATTCGATCATTTAATATTTAACAATCGATTCTCCTAATTAACTCTAATTTCTTAACTTCTCCTAATTTGTACAATTTCCATTTGATTCTGTTTAACAAAATTGCTCATTTTCCAAAAGATTTACAGAAGTTTACTTCTCTTCATTGAATCTTTTTCAAATCAGTTGGAATAATTTATGCTAATAATTTATTAATGAGCCAAGATACGAGAATAATTCAAGCTACAATTATTCCACACGCTTGGAATATTAGCAAGTTCATTAACGAATGCTCCTGATTGCCAATTAGAATGCCGGTATGTTTACAGTCTTGGGGGCCCTTTCGTCCATTGTTTTATTTTAATTCAACCTGGAATCGAAGTTTCAGTGAAACTTAGTAGAAAATAAGCGTTTCCTGAATGAAGAGAAGATTTACGGATGTAAAAGAACGTCCAAGACGTAAGGAGTTTCACTGGTGCTGAACTTTTACCAAAATCAACCGATTTCCTACTCTCGTTCGTCCGGCTAGAACCAACAGACTCGTTTCTACAGATTCCTCGTGATCTGTTTTCTACTTGCAACGAATTGGGTCAGACGATCGGCCTCGCCCACTTGGTACAGCCTACAGTATCTCCGCAAATCGATCTACAGAAACGAGCAAACGACACTGAAATTGACCGTTTCCATAGAAAATAATGTTTAATCTTTTTTGATAGGAAATGTTTATTTTTATTTCTTTAAAGGAATTTGTAAAATATTGCAAGTTTCGGGATACTTGGATTAAAAATGTTTGAATCAACACCCCCCCGTTCCTTAAACACTATGGGAAAATGAAACCGCTGAGAAAATTTATAAATGGACGGCGTGTATTGTATGTGTCCCCCCGTGGAGTTTTCTATGTTTACCTTTTCGTTGCTCCTATTTCCATGAGAGTCGGATTCCAATGTCGCTGTCATGGTCGTCATGCATACAACCACAGTCACCTATTAAAAATTATCTTTATTACACGTGCACATTTCTATTTAACTGTATAATAATAGGAATAAATGAATATTTAAATATTCTATTTAACTTTAAATCATGAGTAATGCTGGAATATTTGTTTAAAAAAGGTCCTCTTCCTGAAAAATTCGACATTACCGACTGACCAAAATAATTATTTATTTTAAAAATTATTTTTATTTGTCGTGCACATTTCTATATAACTGTGTAATAATAGAAATAAATAAATATTGAAATATTCTATTTAACTTTAAATCATGAGTAATGCTGGAATATTTGTTTAAAAAAGGTCCTCTTCCTGAAAAATTCGACATTACCGACTGACCAAAATAATTATTTATTTTAAAAATTATTTTTATTTGTTGTGCACATTTCTATTTAACTGTGTAATAATAGGAATAAATGAATATTTAAATATTCTATTTAACTTTAAATCATGAGTAATGCTGGAATATTTGTTTAAAAAAGGTCCTCTATTTGAAAAATTCGACATTACCGACTGACCAAACTAATAATTTGTCCAATTTCGCGGTAAAATTATCCATGTATCTAAAAATCATAATTAAATAACAACATTGATTAAATTTCTATATAGATATAACAATTTACTTATTAATCAATAATTTATTTATTTATTTATTTATTAATTTAGATCTACTGGGTATCGTTATTCTCTTTTTAGAAAAATATTCCTAAAAAGTTATCCATGTATCTAAAAATCATAATTAAATAATAACATTCATTAAATTTTTATATAGATATAGAAATTTATTTATTTATTTATTTATTATTTATTAATTTAGATCTACTGAGTATCGTTGTTCTCTTTTCAGAAAAATATTCCTACTTAAATATTTGAAAGGGCAAACAGTCACCTATTAAAAATTATTTTTAATAATCGTGCACATTCCTATTTAACTGTATAATAACAAAAGGAAAGAAATAATTAAACATTTTATTTAACTTTAAATCACGAAACAGAGCAATGTTGGAATATTTGTTTAAAAAAGGTCCTCCATTTGAACAATTTGACATTACCTATTGACCAAACTAATTATTTGTCCAATTTCGCGGTAAAGTTATCCGTGTATCTAAAAATAATAATTAAATAACAACATTTTTACCGAGTATCGTTTTTTCTTTTTTTCGAAAAATGTCTCAAATTATTTCGAAGGGCAAACAGCAGTGGTAAACGGAGTAAAAGACACTTACCAGATAAACTTTCATATTTATAATGTGTCGATCGACGAATCGCTCGAGAGTAGTTGCCTCCGTGCGTAGTCTTCGAAGGATATGTTTCTCTGCTCCGTGTGGCTTGTTTTCCGCGGCAGTCCTCTGAACACCTCCGATCCACACACTCCGGAAAGAAACAGTGTACTACTTCGTACCGATGCCGATACACTTCACTTAACTGGTAGCTCCAGTTATCCCCACGCATCAAAGGAGTCCGAAGAGAGCCTACGATTACCTTTAAAGATCCACCTGACCAGCATCTCAATCCACGAAACCACCTCACACCTCGCACGACCTCAAGAACGAAAGACGCAAGTCGCGTTTGAGAGAATTTCAAAGTAGCCTCCGCGTTTTTTCGAGTACTTGAAGCGGAAATAATTACAACTAGAATTGTTTGTTATTCCTCACATGTTTAGTTATACCTTATTAATCAATAATTTCCATAGTCGAAAACCTTCAATTCCCTTTCTGCTATACGTATTATAATTAAATTGCAATTTTATTTTTGATCGGATAATTTCTGTATAAGGAAGAAATATTCGTATGGAAGAGAGGAGACGAGTCTGTGGCATTGCACTGTTGCGGGTAGGAAGTCGGAGAATTTCGTAGAGCGCGTTTTGTTGTCTGGGTTAGGTTGTCTCCTGCTATTAGGCTCATGAGTAAGGCGCTTCCCAGCAGGCCCTGCCTTAGACGACTGGGATATTGGGAAGTTCGTCAAGGAATATACACATAGCAATCGAGGGGTCGGTCGAGTGCTTGTGAGAGCGCCACCCCTCTGGCGGCGGGCATAGGAGGCGACGCCACAAGTCCAATAATGATGGAATGAATGAAAGTGGCATTCACGAGCGGATTCATGATGATTCTACAATTTTCCTTTCTTTCACAACCCCCCACGATCCTCTGTTATTATTGCAATTAATTGGCCGAGTCGTTGCATTAAAAAATTAAATCTTCGCAAGGAAAAACAAGAGCTATCATACGTGCTATCATAAAAACTATTATGTGCATGTACACATAATTCGTTAAGGAATGCGGTCGACGAAATCGTCATAAATTATTTCCCATCAGTTCACAGCAAACAGATTTCAAATTTAACAAATTCTAATTATTACAGATAGAAAGTTCTTAATCTAATATTTTTACTGTTCAATTTAATTAATTATAATAGCTGACGCCCTCGACAACAGAAATTCCCAAATTGATCGCAACTGCAGCTACTATGTTAATTATTATTAATTTCGTAAATAATTATTGGTACCGAATTAAAAGATTGTATGGATGGCGGGCATTTTTGAATCTTAAGCCATCTGACGCTAGAACGTCCAAGTTTGTCGAGATAGTACGTTCCCTCCAACGCTAGATGGATGGACGCCAGAATATGATAGATCGAACAATACCCTTTTTTTATTTATTTATCTATTTATTAACAACAACTAAGCCTTCCTTAGGCTTATGTATCCCTTTGGTTAGTAATCCAAACTCATTTCTTGGCCGCCGCGAGTCTCATTAGCAGCACCTCTCGGGCACGCTTTGTGCTCGAGAGAATCGCTAGCCGTGCCCTCTGCGCGATGCATCAAAACCGATTTTGGGCCATTGCACATGATTGACATGCGCACGCATCGATCTTCTGCGTGCCGGTCGAAACTTTGCGGCGGCCAACAACCTCTTGACATCGTCGGAATTTTGGTCATGCGCACTGGAATTTTCCCTCGCGGGATTCCTTTCTGCGCATGCGTACGCTGACGTCACAGCTACGTGACGTCCGCTACCATAGATGTATCTTTAGCGCAAAAAGAGGTGCATGTTGGGAATTCCCATGTTTTGTACAAAATTGAACTTTCTGCTTCAAATGCTCGCCAATCACACAAAAATTAACTTATCGAGGATCCCCTACGTATTTCTCTAGCTTTACTCATGTAGATTAAGAAGAAATTTTTTGTTTTTGTCTCTTTCCCTGTAACTTCCTTAAATTGTGTTCCTTGCTGCGATCCAACGGTACCCTAAATTCTAGTAAAGTGTACACGACAGTGATCATGCGCTCCAGTGCGCATGACCAAAATTCCCACGAATGCCAATCACTCCTTGGGAGTTCTTTTTCTTCCCAGCTCTCTTCCTGGTCCCTCTTCGTTCTCCTCATCCTCAACATATCTACTCCCTTTTACCTCCAATTCTACTTCTATTCTCGCCATCCCTCCTGGCTTCTTCAAAACTTTTGTACTTATATATAACTTTATTGGTTGCCAGCTCCATCTGTGACACCAGCCTCTACTTAATGCTCCGTGATCTCCCCCATAACACTATTCTACAAATTAAATTTTGTTTTCTGTTTTTCAATATCCACTAAGTAATTCTTATAGAGCTTCGTACCCTAAACACGAATCTGGAAACGGAATTGCTGTATCACCCTCAGTTTTCGAAAAACACGAGTTTTTGTGAAAACGTTCAATTTTGGGTAAAAACGAGGTATTACGCGAAAATTAAAAACATCAGACAGTTCCACTTAATCTTAAAAGATAGAGGAGAGATTCCTGAATATGCTAATATCGATAGTTATAATATTTTGTGCTTTTGAACGGTTGTAAATGATCGCCAAAGTTTGAAAAAGTGTCGAAGTACGTACTTTATACACAATACTTTTGCATATTTACGAAAAGTTCTTTACCTGACACGAAATTTATACGCAGGATCTGATTCTGCAGACATTTCTGAAGAAGAAACTGTCCAACAGAAGTGTAGAAGCCGTTCTCAATTGTCACAGGTCGAGAAAATGTTCGTCGGCAACGCGTGCACGGCGTTTTACCGCCACGCGGCCATCGCTAGCCTACCTCGGCTCGGCAATGCCGTAGCTACGCATAACGGATGCAACACCGATAATATCTTAGGCTCCAAATTCCTGTATATGTTTATCATTTTTGATTTTTTAATCTGTTTTTGGATTTGTAAAAAACAATTTCTCGATCATTTCCATTTCTAAACAATTTCGATGTTCATTGTATGTATATGAACGGTTTTTTAAATATAAAACCGTACAAAAATAAACATTTTATTGTTGGGTTGCCTCACAGAATAGGAATAATATTCCTAAGAGCGAAGTGTGAATAGCAAGGATTTACTCCAGATCTTTCTTAGAAAAGCGTACATGTTCGAGTGATTCCATTGATAAGTTTCCATGGATTTTAAAAATATAATTCAGTGATTAGTATCCTAGAGTATACAAATATATTAAGCAATAAAAGTTACAAAAAAAATCAAACATACTATACAGGGTGTTCGGCCTTTTTTCTCAAAAATGCGCAGGATTTCGGGGGTATGTCTATTCACCAAAAATGATTGTAATTGACCCCCGCAATCGAAAATAATTTTTCCAGAACGATTTGAAATTATTATTTTACGTCGAAAAATTTCACACCTTCTCGAATTTTTTTCTAGAAAGTGGGTAGGATTTCGAGGATATGTCTATTCACCAAAAATGATTATAATTGACCCTGCAACCTAAAATAATTTTTCCAGAACGATTTGAAATTTTTGAATTTACAGTATTGTCTCTATAGAAGCGACGCTCTCGGGGCTCAACGCTCGGCTATATCGTGGACGAGAAACGATTCTTGATACTTTGTTGACGCCTACTGGAGGCGGCGAGTATAGAAAAGAACAGCGAGCATATGACAAAGAGGGACTGAGCGGCCGAGCATCGCCGAATTTGCTATCGCTTCCTTCGCTTCGGGTCGGCTGTAACGAAACACAGGCGATGTTTATGCGAGCCTATACGAAATCGGTGTTCTAATTCTGACCTCTACCTCTCTTGGTAGAGGTCGCAGAATGAAATACTGATTCTGTATAGGCTCGCGTAAACATCGCCTGTGTTTCGATACAGCCGACGTGGAGCCACTTGAGCGATGCATGCCTTTGATTTCTTATTGCGTTAGTAAATAGGACCTAAATTGTATATCGTATTTGGTGTCATTTTAATTAGAAAAGTGTCACGAATATGTTGATGAAGTTCGAAAAAAGGAAGAACAAAAATAAAGATAAATTTCGTTGTTGATTTAATATTGTATATGTACTAGTTAAATCGTGTCATAACTAAAGTACATATATGTATGTATCGCTCATTTACTGCAATAGTGATATTACTCAAAAAGATACAAACTTGCGAATTTGAACTGTTTAACCAACTTATTTTACTCTGAGTTCTCTCACGATTTCAGCAAATAAATGATAGGTCAATTAAATTACAATTCCTTTTTTCAGACGAGGATACACTTTAAAGAAAGGACAAATGTATATTATAATTTATGAAAAACAATAATAAAAATTATGTTGTACTTGATCTTAGTTAAATCAGAAAACTGTCACAGACATGTTAAAAGTTTTAAAACAAGAAAAGGAAAAATAAAAAATTTGACAATGCTCGACGACCGACCGTCAAACGGGCCGCTATCCTGGGGAACCGCCCATAGGAAGGCACACTCGCCGGTTCAGCGAGTGCTGGGTTCTAACGGTACGCAGTGGGGATAAGTAGAGGGGATACGATATTTGTCTATATCGTGGACGAGTTCTGAGCTTATATAGAGAAAATACTGTAATTGTTAATAACTTTTTAACGAAGCCTCCATCAACAAATTAATATTCTTAATTTTCGTCTTATTTTGGCCTCTTGAATCCCCCACTAAAATTTTTCCAAAGGGTGGCCGAACACCCTGTATACAGAGTGCATGCCCTATTGCACCATTATACCAGTTTCACTTGTAGGTAGCTACGGCACTGCCGCGCCGAGATAGACAAGCGATGGCCGCGTGGCGGTCAAACGTCGTGCCAATACACATTGTCTCGACCTGTGACAATTGAGAACGGCTTCTACACTTCTGTTGGACAGTTTCTTCTTCAGAAATGTCTGCAGAATCAGATCCTGTGTATAGATTTCGTGTCAGGTAAAGAACTTTCCGTAAATATACAAAAGTGTTGTGTATAAAGTACGTACTTCGACACTTTTTCAAACTTTGGCGATCATTTACAACCGTTCAAAAGTACAAAATATTATAACTATCGATGTTAGCATATTCAGGAATCTCTCCTCTATCTCTTAAGATTAAGTGGAACTGTCTGATGTTTCTAATTTTCGCGTAATACCTCGTTTTTGCCAAAAATTGGACGTTTTCACAAAAACTCGTGTTTTTCGAAAACTGAGGGTGATACAGCAATTCCATTTTCACATTCGTGTTTACGAAACAGAGCTCTACAAGAATCACCTAGTGGGTACGGAAAAACAAAATTCGTGTTGAACAGCGTAATTGGAGCACTTTGCTTTCCTTCTGCATTCATCATGGACCGCCGCTCCACAATTAAAACACTTTTTCCCTTCACCTCTGCACCATTTCTTAATGTGCCCAAACTTTAGGCACTCGTAACATTGCCTCACACTTTTTGCATATAGCTTCACCGCCAAGCTTACGCACCCATCGAAAATATTAATCTTTGTAGACAGGCTGCCCCCTTCAAATTTGACCAAAATAAGGTCCGTGTCCACTGCCTCGTACCCCTTCTCCGTCTTCACCTTCCTTTTCATCCTCTCCAGTCCCTCGACACCCTGTCCCTGACATATTTCCTCTTCTAACCCCTTGATGGAGAACTCCCCACTTTTCCATCATCCTCTTTGGGGTTGTGACCATAAAGTCTTCCCCTTGTTTCTCCCTTAATCTATCATTATACTTCTCTCCCTTTTTCTTCCTCCTTTGGCTTAATTTCCGCCAATCTCCTTCCTATCATTCTTATGGATTCTATCTTATTCGTCTCCTCCCTAGAAATCTTAAATATTTTGATGAAGTTATTTTTCTTTCTATACGTAACTCTCTTAGCCCTTAACTCGATTTCTATCAACGGGACTTTCTCCTCCGTCCTCGGCCCCATTTTTTCTTTTCGTCTGACCCCTCTGTCCTCCCCCGTGTTCCCCACGCTCTCCTGCTCCTTTCTCTCTTCTACCTCCGTTTCATACTACCGCACTCCATCCCTGCCTCTTTTTTCACCGTCTCCCTCACCCTTCTCTTCCTTCTTTTCATTAGTTTACTGGTACTTCCATCTCCTTCCCACCTGCAGACCTTCTTTCTTTTATCTTTATTTCCGTCTTCTTCTTACTTCCGCCCTGCTCTCGCGGCGCCCTCTCTTCTTTCTCTCTTCTGTTTCTCGCCCTCGTCCTCTGTCAGACTACTCGCTGCTTACGTCTCCCTTTGTCCGTTTCCGTTGCCTTAGATCTTCCTCTTGTCGCCGCCTTATGATGGCGGCGCTAACGTTTACTAGCTCGATTTTCATCTTCCTTTCTTTTATCCTGCGTTCCATGGTCTTTCTTCCGGCCTGACGCCACGGGCCCGCACCCCTCCGCCCCCTCCAGGTGCTCCTTTATTATCTCTCCTACACTCCCCCTGCACCACTTTTCTTTTCACCCACCTGCCCACCCTTCACCACCACTCCTTCCTTATTCTTTCACTCCGCCGCCTCCCAACTCCCTATTTCACTATTAACTCTCAGATTTTTTTCCGCAATGTCACTCACGCTCCTTCTACTCCGCCATCTTTATTGATTCCACGATAGTTATTTCCTATATTTTTATTTGGGTGCGATACCAGCTCTATCGGCTCTGTAATAACACCATTTCTCATTTTCTTTCTGAATTTTCTATTTTCTACTTCTACCTGTCTCATGTTCCTTACTCCAGTTATTCCCCTCCTTTCTACTCTTTTAACTCCTCCTCTTCTTCTTCTTTTCCCTTCTTAACTCTCCCACAACCCCAACCTCGCTTCCAGCAGTCGCTTACAACTAAAATTAAAGTTAAAATTAAACTAATAAAAAATAAAATAAAATAAAACAAAAGAAAACAACTTAATCTCTAGTCTTAATTATTAGTTATCTCTATCCCATTAGGAACATCCTCCTCTCCCCTACTCTTCCTCCTAACTTTCCTTTTTTTAATTTTCTGTGTTCTATTTGATTCTTCAATAGGCACCCTTGAAAACATTTGTTAATGAATTCTCCGAAGTTTCAAAATTTTTCAACTTTTGAAACTGATTTAAATTTTGTATAGACACTTGTTCATTTGGCAAAAACTTACAATTTAATTCCGGCGGTACATTATTGAGATTTTCTATATTAATTTACATTTCCAACTCTCGTTGAAAAGATGTTGTTTTGCTTCCATCGACTGACCCTTTCCCCAGATGAACGTTATCTTCTTGCAATTGATAAGCATTCTACAATATCATAAATAATTAACAATAACTTTACCAATATGTAAACACTACATTGTTAATTTAAATCATTTCAGTATTAAAACACTACTTACAAAATAGTTTACTAACATTATACTCTTGAATTTTATCCTGTTCATTAAGCTGCGCAGTTATGACTATTTAACTGATTAAATTCTGTGTCACAATTTAAGGTTTTCCGTGGACTAACTAGTTCTGTGCCAACACCTTGTTTTCGAGGCCCATTAGTTATAAAATCTAAAAGTAAAAAAGTGTAATTTATGTATCATAAATTATTTTTAATTAAACTGATGTAACTGTAAATTATTATTTAATAAAAATGACATAATCTCGATGTTGTTGATGTAATTGATCACTAATTTCTTCTAGTCTGCAGAGATTCGTGGCATAATTTCATTTTGCACTTTATTTTGCATCCATGACCTAGGCTGAGAGTATTATTAGTTAGCAATGATTCATTCTTTACATATCTCACACTTTCAAGCTGAAAATGAAAGTAAGTATCGTCCTTCCACGAGAAGAAAGCACAGGCCGTGTTTCCATCCCCACTCTTGCTGCAGTCCGCTGATTGGCTGTCACCGTTTTCCACCAATACCTGTGAGTCAGCGGACTGCAACAGGAGTGGGGATGTAAACACGCTGTGCCTTCTTCTCGTGGAAGAATGGTACTCTATTTCATGTGATAAATATGTATTAATTTTATAATAAAATACTTACTCCGATAGTTGCATGGTTTAACATATCCCATTATGCCTGATTAAAATTCTATTCATGCTGATAAGACATAAATTAATTTTCAGCCAAGGTTACAGTTTCGTTTACTGCTACATAAATTGAGCTTGCTCTTAACATTGTACCTACAAAAATAATTGTAACTGTTTTCTGAGATTTGCAAGTACATTAAAAATCTTACCTGAACTTGGTGGGTCACCTCAAGTGCCTCATAATAATCTTGCTTTTTCGATACAATTATTTCCTACTTTGTTTAAAATTTTCTTTAATCGTTTTGTAGTCTCATATAACAATTGTCTGAAAGCAATGTGAGCTTCCTAAATAATAAATGATTCATGTTGTATTAATTTTGTAAAGTACGTCATTCAATTAATACTACATATACTACATATAATTAATTAGACAAGAATGAATATAATAGGTTGTTCGGCCATCTCTGGGAAAAATTTTAATGGGGGATTCTAGAGACCAAAATAAGACGAAAATCAAGAATACCAATTTGTTAATGGAGGCATCGTTAAAAACTTATTAACGTTTAAAGTTCCGCCCGTAATGAATTTTTTTCCAGAAAATGCGCACGATTTTAGGGGTATGTCTATTCATCACAAATGATTGTAATTGACCCCCGTAACCGTAATAATTTTTCGAGAACGATTTGAAATTTTTCTTTTTTGTCGAAAAATTTAGACACCTAATTAGATTTTCGGTAAAGAATTTTTTTCTCGAAAGTGCGTAGGATTTCAGGGGTATGTGTAAGGACCAAAAATGATTGTAATTGACCCCCGCAACTAAAAATAATTTTTCTAAAACGATTTGAAATTTTTGAATTTAATTGTTAATAACTTTTTAACGAAGCCTCCATCACCGAATTGGTATTCTTGATTTTCGTCTTATTTTGGCCTCTAGAATCCCCCATTAAAATTTTTTCCAGGGATGGCCGAACACCCTGTATATAATAATATAATATTATTTAAACGTACCAATTTCATTAATACAAGCATAACATAACTTACGTGAGAGTTACTTACACGTTACTTATTACTAGACTGCGGATGTTTATGCATTTATGGGGAATTTTAATTCTCAAGAAACTACAGAATGCACTTAATATGCAAAAATATAAGAAATACTTAAAGTAAGATACGAATTATTATATTTAAGGGTTGAGACAATCATCTACAAAGCTCCCATTTTATTAATTCTATTAATAAAAATATGAATTTGCATAACGATCCGCAGTCTACTTATTACGATACAATCAAGAGATTCGATAATTAAATGAAAATACATCGACAGTAAACATAGATTTCTCTTTATTTAAAACCGTACACTGCTTTCAGTTTAAAGATTATGCATCACAGAATTAATTTTTTTTGTACCATGTAAAAAGAAATTGTTTCGAATATAGAAAGTATGTTTACGAATGCAAGATTTCCCCGATTATATTCCTATCCGTTCACTTATCATAAATATCAAAAAATCTCGTAATTGCAACTTACTTTTACGAAACGGTTAAAAATTCTTTTACAATATATATATTTACAATGTTTATGACGTTAATACGATATTTAACAATAAAGTTATAGATTTGAAACCAGTACAAGAGACAGAGAGAGATTTACGCCTAATTTAACTATACAAGATGTACACATTGTATCGAAACACAAAATGCAATTTCATTAAAGAGATTAACGCGTGAATTATTCCATACTAAACGAAAATATCATGTTTATACTATATAGAATACATGAATGTAGAAATTTACTAATTTTCTTTCAATTGCTCCTATTACCAGAATGTTTCTGAAGCATGTACAAATTCGCATATATTACAACAATAATAATTACAAATATATCTACATTTGGGCATTACTTAGGTATATTTATATATATATATATATATATTTAAATAAGAAATATATATATATTTCTTTTTTCTCCTAGGTATATTACAATGTTTCATGATAGAAGGATTCGTGTAATAAATAACAATTTCACGTTTATAAGTTAGATAATTAATCTTCGTCTGTACTTTTCTGGTAAACTGCACCGAACTTATTCATATACTTACGTACAAAATCTTTAGCTTTATGCTTAACATTTTCGTTGCACTGCAACTCATCGACGCTTTTGCAATGTTTTAATTCTTTCGCGAGTACAAAGTGAGTGAGCTGAAACAAACATTTAACAATTTAATACATATCAAGAAAGTAAAATTCTTTTTGGGGAAGTCACACATGTGGAATTCAATTTTTAATATTAAACAACATTGTAGTATACAACTAGTAAAAGAAAACTCTAAAAGACTTTCATCGAATGGGTCCAGTTTCCAAGATATAATTGTTTAAACTTTCATACGTAGAATACAACTCAGTTATGTAAAATGTATTAACAAAAAGAGGTTTGCATTCGTGTATATATTTTTTCTTTGTATTTTCAACTTATCGATTTGTACTATAACCCAATTTTTGCGTTAAGAGTACAATTTTTTTTTCGTTAACACCAATAGTCATGCTCGCCACGATGTATATCTGCTTTATGGTAAATTCAATTTGGTTCTATTTTTGACTATCTTACTCGGTTACATTTTTTAAATGACACAAGCATTTGTTGATCACTCGTCGATTCCCAAATTTATACTGCAAAACGATGAATTAAAAATTCAAAGAAAAATATATATACGAATGTAAACTTCTTCTTGTTAATACATTTTACATAACTAAGTTATATTCTACATATGAAAATTAGAATAATGTGAATAAAAATCGGACCTATTTGATGAAAGTCTTTCAGAGTTTTGCTTATGATAGATGTATACTACAAATGTTTGCTTAACACTAGAACTACTAAAGCAGTCAAAATGACTTATTCGTAATTTCTAATAAAAATAATAAAAAATGTACTCGACTGAATTTTTGAAAATTTACCATAGTTTGAATAAACACTTATTTCCATTGCATTATACGTTTCTTCACATATCTACTGTTTCTTGTTATAAATAAGTATGCTATAACTGTCGGTAGTTCTAGTGTTAATATCGATTAAAAATTTATTTCCACATCTTTAGCTTCTTTTTGTTTGATTCGGTAAACGTACTTTTCTCGCGAGATGCTTGAAATCTTCCGTGTTGGTTATTCTGCCTTGTTTGCAATCGTTTTTTCTGTACGGATTCAAAAAGTGCACCATCACGTTTGCCATGTTCACCCGAAAAGTATCCTTGATCTTCCTCTCAGACATTGTCGACAAATCGGTGGACGGCGACTGCAATTTACTCACGCTGTGACGCGAATGCGACTTGGATTTGTTACTTCGACGATGTCTTCGTAGCTTCTCAACGTGTTCCTTGAATTTTGCCCTCTCCTTCTGGCGTCGAATCTTCTCTTTGATCCCTTTGTGCGTTTTGTGATCTATGCGATCCTCTTCGCGGCGTGGCTGCAAGATATAAAAACATAATAAACAGAGTGTCCAAAAATCCTTTGTTAAAAAATGATAAGCGTTTGAAGATTCATGTGCAAAATTTTTCTTACAATTTACGAAAGTATTCGAACGTTTATTTTTATAACATTCAACTAATGAAATATACAGGGTGTTCGGCTACCCCTGGGAAAAATTTTAATGGGGGATTCTAGAGGCCAAAATAAGACGAAAATCAAGAATACCAATTTGATGATGGAAGCTTCGTTAAAAAGTTATTAATGTTTAAAGTTCCGTCTGTACTGAATTTTCTTCTCGAAAATGTGCAGGATTTCGAGGATATGTGAATTGACCAAAAATGATTGTAATTGACCCCCGCAACTAAAAATAATTTTTACGGAACAATTTGAGATTTCTTAATTTCGTCGAAAAATTTCACACTTTCTCGAATTTTTTTCTTGAAAGTGGATAGAATTTCGAGGGTATGTCTATTGACAAAAAATGATTGTAATTGACTGCTGCTATCGAAAATAATTTTTCCAGAGTGATTTGCAACTTTTCAATTTCGCCGAAAAATTTAGACAGCTACCCCCTGTCGATTTTTCTTAAAAATTCGTTTTTCATTTTTAATAAATTTGTTAGACATCCTACGGAAATTTTGTTTAGTTCTTTTTTGTAGGTATCCATGAGCTCTGCTTAAAAAAAAAATTTCAATGATATACCTTTACTATTATAGGCTTTATGGCCATTTGAAAATTGACCCTGTTGTAGGGGGTTTTTCTCACTTTACGGTATCAAAGAACAACTTTTTCAATATTGTTAGAATTTTTACATATTCTCCACTAAAATACGCGTTGTTTGCATTTTGAAAAATTAAAATCCTTCAATCAGTTCAGAAGTTATAAAGTCATAATCTCTAATAATTAAATATAACATACGCTGATGATTCTTTCTTGGACCAATCCCTCTCTTCTTTTCTTGCCCTCTGGAAACAGTCCAGATCCTCCAACGGCGTTACAAACTCCGCTCTTCTTAGTTGCAACGTGCTTAGAACCATTCAACGATTTCTCCACCAAACTGTTGGTCAAATCCGCTTCTTCATTCTTTTGTTCCTCATTATTATCCTCTTCCACTTCTTCCTCGTCTTCGTTGGACGAACTAGATTCCTCGCTGGACTCCGAGGACGACGAAGAATCCGGCTGGACACCGATGTGGTCCGGCGGTGGAGGCAACCATTGAGACACACGTTCCTTCGCGTGATAGTAATATATTCTACCCTTGTTATCTGTCGCGCTCTTCCATTTTGGAGGTAAATCTATCGGAGGGACTTCCGGTTGCGGTGATTTAAATATTTTAGCTGGAAACTGCTGATCCGATTGTTTTTCGTGGTCATAGATGGGCTGTGGTGTCTGAATAGCAACGGATGGCGTTCCAGTGTGGACTAAGCTGCTAGATATGGACAACTGGCTCTCTGGATATTGTTGGTGGCAATGGGGCATCAAAGAATAAGCCGTCGTTGTTTGATTGAACACTGGAGTTTGACTTAACGTGTAAACCACCGGAGGAACGACAGATGGTATTGTGGTAGCCATTCCAACCGATATTTCTGAAGAAATTGTTGGTGGAAGAACGTGAGAGTTCTGTGGTGCTATACCAGGCTGTGAATGGCCGGGTACCGATTGTGGGGCGCTTACATACACTGGAGTGCATTGTTGGCTTATTTCTCCCTCTGAAATTTAGAAAATAAATAATATAATAGAGTTAGCGGACAAAATTTATTTCATTACACGTAGACTGATAGCCATAAGGCAATTAACTACCATTCTTCCACGAGAAGAAGGTACAGCGTGTTTACATCCCCACTCCTGTCGCAGTCCGCTGATTCACAGGTATTGGTCGAAAACGTTGACGAAGTCAGCCAATCAACATACTGCATACAGCTAATCAGCGGACTGCAGCAAGAGTGGGGATGTAAACACGATGTGTCTTCTTCTCGTGGAAGGACGATACACAAATGTTTATAATTATTAAGAAAATTGTTTGCATTGCTCGTTTGTTATACGGAGTAAACCATTTCAATTGACTACCTCGAGAAGATCTTTAAAATGTTTTGGACTAATAGTTCAAGAATTATAACAGTCGAAAGTGAAATAATTTAATAAATTTTAGGGTGCTATAACTCTTAGGGCATAAGTACCGCCCTTCCACGAAAAAGCACAACGTGTTTACATCTCCACACTTGCTGCAGTTCGCTGATTGGCTGTCACCGATCTTCGTCACCGTTTTCGACCAATGCCTCTGAGTCAGCGGACTGCAACAGGAGCGGGGATGTAAAAACGCTGTGCCTTCTTCTCATGGAAGAATGGTACATACCTACTCTTTTGTAGACATTAAAAAACTATATCGAATAGTAAAATTGAAATTATAGAGTTCCGTTAAAAAAAAAAAAGACATACAGAGTGTTCGGCCACCCCTGGGAAAAATTGTAATGGGAGATTCTAGAGATCAAAATAGGACGAAAATCAAGAATACCAATTTGTTGATGGAGGCTTCGTTAAAAAGTTATTAACATTTAAAGTTCCACCGTACTAAATTTTTTTTTCAAAAATGCGTAGGATTTCGGAGGTATGTCTATTTACCGAAAATAATTGTAATTGACCCCCGCAACCGAAAATAATTTTTTCAGAACGATTTGAATTTTTTTTTTTTAGGCGCCTACCCCCTTCGTCGATTTTTCTTAAAAATTCGTTTTTGAATTTTAATAATTTTGCTTGTCGCCCGACAAAAAAGTTGTTTAATACTTTTTTGTAGGTACCCATGAGCTCTACTTTCGAAAAAAGTTTCATTGAAATATATTCATTATTGTAGGAATTATGGCTGTTTGAAAATTGGACCAGTTATATGGGGGTTTTCTCACTTTACGGGGCCAAAAAACAACTTTTACAACATTTTTATAATCTCTACATATTCTCCACTAAAATACGCGTTGTTTGCTTTTTAAAACATTAAAATCGTCCAATCCGTTCAGAAGTTACGATGTTTTAGAAATTATATTTTCGGTAAGGAATTTTGTTCTCGAAACTGAGTAGGATTTCGGGGGTATGTCTGTTGACCAAAATTCCTTGTAATTGACCCCTGCAACTAAAAATAATTTTTCCAAGACGATTCGAAATTCTTTTCTTTTTCACCCAAAACTTTCAAGACCTACTTGAATTTTTTTTTCGAAACTGAGTAGGATTTCGGGGATATGCGTATTCATAAAAAATGATTCTAACTAACCTCCGCAACCAAAAATAATTTTTTCGGAACGATTTGAAATATTTTAATTTCGACGAAAAATTTGTCCACATTCCTGAATTTTTTTCTCGAAAATGCGTAGGATTTCAGGGGTAAGTGACTATTAACAAAAATAATTGTAATTGCCAACCAAAAAGAATTTTTTCAGAATGATTTGAAATTTTTCAATTTAATTTTTTAATAACCCATTTAACGAAACCTCAATCAAGAAATTGATATTCTTGATTTTCATCTTATTTTGGCTTCTAGAATCTCCCATTAAAATTTTTCCCAGGGGTGGCCGAACACCCTGTATAAAATAGAAACGATTAGAATTGTATTTAGTTTTGTAACTTTATCATGATTCGGATTTACTTTTTGTATTCAATTAATATGCGAAATACGTAGAGAAGAAAGAAATAACCTTGAGTAGGATAGTGTTGCCACTGTCCGAGAGACGGATTGTAAAAAACAGGATATCCTGTTTGTGGATCCACCATAGCCGTCGTGTGAGGATCTATACCCAACGCGAGACACCTGGTTTCATGATCCTGCCACGACTCTTGCTGTTGTCGACGCTGTCTCTCTTCTTCCTCTTTGGCAACCTTTAACGCAAACAATTGTCTTCTTTCGTACTTGGTCATTCTTGGAATCGGCACCAAACTGCTTCTTTCCTCGATCCTCTTGTCCTTCGTTCGAGTGTACTCCGATTCTGGGGACTCTCGTCCGCGTCTTCTGTCCACTCGTTTCTCCGTTTCGTTTCTCCCATACCTGTCAGATCTGTGCCTAGGAAAACGATTACAAATTATATTAAAATTATTACATTAAACTCCATTTTAATTAAAAACTACAAATGTTTATCGATTTATATCTTTATCAGAGGTGTGTGGGCACCAGAACATTGAAGAAAAGAAACCATCTTATCCTACAGTCGTTTGCAAATTGTTAGTTTTCAAGATTATTTTATTTAATAACAAAAAAAAAAAATATAAATTTTCGGGTACTCCCACACAAACCTCTCGCATTAATCTCCACTTATACCTATCGTAAGACGTTCCTCGTTTCTCTTCTTTTTCCAATTCTTCTCTGTATCCACGATCTAGGATCACCAACAAAATTTGAATTAAAAAAAAAAACTGTTCAACTCGTGTCACGATAAATAAAAAAAACTAATTATAATTACCTGCTTCGCGTTCGTGCTCTTTCATTTGCTCGATTCTTTCTTTTTTCGGTATTCGAAATACTTCCTTCAAATTGGACCATTCGGCCAGAAGAGTCGAAGCTAATTCAGGAATTACATTTTGGTCTCCATTATCTACAGATATACAGTTTTCAATGTTATTTTCCTGTTTCTCTATATCCACCAAATAAGAGTTTTTCTTTTCGTTAACGTCAAAATTAATCTGTAATTCTTCGCAATTTGTTTTTGATTTCCCTTGATCGTCCTCTGGTGAATCACCGTTCGGAGAAAAGTATAATCTTTTCGACCATTTTTCTACAACATCGAAGATCTTGCTGTCCATTAACATAGTCTTGTTGGGAATAGGAAGAGTGTTTAGCGTTTTCAAGACTTCTAGACGAAATTGCTGAGCCTCGTCAGAATCGTTGGTTGAAATATCCATAACATAACTCCATATTAAACGAAGACCGTGATAGTCTAGGAATAATCGCCTGCAAGGCTGCTCTCCGCTTTGTATCAAGCGTAGAAGACGAGTTCTGTGTTCTAATTCTCTGCTGCGTACCATCAATCGACTTAAAGTTAATGTGTGGGCTCTATTCTTCAAACCACCAGAACACAATTTATCTATCTCTTCTTCCAACTGAAAATAATACAGAATATTTAATGGAAAAGTTGTGAAAATTTGAAGTTTGTAAATTAAATTCCAAATGTTTCGAATGGCAAATGTTCCCAATTTAAATGAAAAAGTAGAAGTTTCAAATTTCAAGCTTATAAATTAGTAATTCCAACTTTTAGAATTGTAAATGTTTTCGGGATTCTGTGCAACTGAAATCAGATAATGAAAATTAGTACAAAGAAAACAGTCTACTATAGAATAGATTCGATACAAATGTCGAGTATAGTTTTCACTTAATAAGACCTATTTTCTTTGCTCTAAAATTTTCACAATATAATTTCATCACTTACAATGCCTCTCACAATTATTAGAACTTGGTCGAAACGTTGTTAATCTTTGGATTATTATAACTCAGAAAAAAGAAGTATAATAATATTCCTGAAGTCATTTTAAAGGTCGAAACCTTTACATAAAGTGAACTAAAATGGTAGAAAAAGTCTTGTATCAAGTTTTGTAGTAGTTGTCACAAAGTACAGACTTGAATTTCTCTAAGTTAATAGTGTTCAAACTGATCCAAAGAAGATTATAATGACTTCTTTTCTCAAAGTTATAACAATTGAAAGATAAACAACGTTTAGAGAATTTCAACAATATTTCGAAATCTTCAATCGAGAGAGGATTAGGGTATGCTATAAATAAGCCTAAGCTTACGTCTTCATCCTCCATGTAATCAGTTTGCTTCTTTTCTCCCTTCTTCTTTCTCATATCCTTCTCTCGTTTCTCTTTCTTCTCAGTCTTTTCCTTTTCCTCTTCCGGTGTATCGCCTATCCACCCGCGACAATTAGGTGCTTCGCAAAAACATTTCTGTGCTTCTTTACTGAAAATTTCATAAAATGAAATTATTCCGTAGCGCAGAACAATTTCTCTAGCTGTTAGCTATATTAAAAAATTATTGTATTTACCCATAACGTTGAAAATGATAGTCGAACGTAATTTCCTCGCCTGCAGCTATAAATTTTTTATTAAAAAAGCCTATTCTCAATTCACCGTTCACCGTCCACTATACAAATTTCAAAATTAACAAATTGCAACAAACTTACACAGTGTAGTTTATATTCATTCAGTTATTTCTACTTACTTTTTGGGTTTCTGAATTAGGATCACAACTGTGATTTATGAACCTCGAAACGTTCCCTTTCATGGTGGCATCAATTATTTGATCTGATTTCAACGCCATGAAGTAGTAATGTCGATTTTTGTCCTTCGAATACTCTTTTGCTCTACGACGAAAGTCTTTGGGATCCACCACCTCTCCCACATACTCCATTATAAACTCCCCTCTAACGATTTCAAATTAATTAATCAATACTAAAATTACTAACTCTTAATTAAAAAAGAAAACCAAAATTTGTCAGGACTCTATGGACCAAAACTATACTTTTAAAAATATTCTCAGAATACTTACGCTAACAGATCAGCGATGGCCCTCAGACCAAACCCTTTCTTCTCCGTCCTGAATACTTCACACTTAGCATATTCGCAATTCTGGAATCTTTTATTTGTACATCGATCACCCACCACGCATCGAGGTCCACTAAAAATTCCACAAATAATTTTTCTTTCGACATTCCACACTTAATGGCGTTAATAAACATTCCATAACACAAAACGTACCATTCTATCATTAGAAGTCTATTGAGACAATCTTCTCCACACCCAAGTTCTCCCCTTTCTATTTCTTCCTCCGTCAAGAAGCAATCGCAAACCATTCGTTTTGTTTCCTTATTCGTATATCTACAAAAAGACCCAATCAATTTATACGTCTCAAATTTTTGTAAATATAACTATCCTTTTCTCATCGCTCACCTTTCAGTCAAATACAAATTTTCAGGCAAATACTCAAACTGGCTCAACCGTTCCTCCATTTCTCTATCTTCTATTTCTGGAACCATTGGCAACGAGATCTTTGAACCCACAGTCCTAGGAATTTGAACAGCGATACTGTTAACCGGTGTTAATATTTCCTTCATCTGTTCCATTTCTGCACTGGATAGAGTGTTTGTGGCCAATGCGGATCCAGATCCAGAGTCAGAGGAGCCAATATCTGTTACTGTCAAACTTCCATTCGTAGACTTTAAACTCGGCAATCCTGATTCAGTTGTGATTGCCACAGTTCCGAAAGAGCCAACTATAGAAGTTGTTCCAAATGCTACATTTGATCCACCCATTTCTAGTTCACTGGATCTTCGCCACCGTGACTTTACTTTAACAGGTTTGCAAGAGTCTGAATCGTAACCCGTAGCATTGCAACCAGTCGCTAGAGGCACAAACGAATCGTACGTATTTCCAGCCTTACTGACGTTGTTCTCTTTATCTGATTGTAGTTCAGCTGAATTCTCTAGTTTCGCATCCTGTGCAATCGAAACACTGTTCGACACTTTCTCTTGAATGCTCGACTTTGTAATGTCTATATTTGGCTTTGTAACCAAACCACGACCACGAGATCTACCAAATAGTAAAAAAGTTTTTTAACATACTTATAGAAATTAACAATATTATAGGTAAATAATCGTGAGACATACCTCTGTTTCATCAAACCTATCGATCTTATCCTGCTGCTTCTTCTTACAGCAGAACTATTCGATCCACTCTCTGAACCAGTTGTATCTGTGCTTCCACTGCGGCTCCTGAATTCCACCCTTTTCTCCGTATCATTTGAACTACTGCACTTGTTTTCATACTCTGTAAGTTTACAATTGTTCAACGAAAGCAATGTATCGTTACTGTTTTCGCTGCTGCTAGATAACTTCGTATCCTCTCCATCGATTTTGTTATCCCCTTCATTGTTGCCATACAGTAATTCGATTTGTTGTGACTGAATCTTACGCTGGTTTTCAAGTTTCTTGTCTTGCATGTCTTTCAATTTTGATAAATGACTATCAGAGAAGTCCATTTTATCCTCGATAGATGAACTTTTGTTCTCTATTGTAGAATCGTTTGGATAGTGCAACCGTTCTATTTTGTCCAATATTGAAGAACTGCTTTCGTCGTCTAGGGCCATTGGCATCTCTTTTTCTATGTTAATAGCAATCTGCAATGGAGATGTTACGCTTTCCATGTTGGACAGATCGTTAACCAATTTCTGTATCTCCTTTGATGATTCACTAATCTGCATGTCTGCCAATTTGTCATCTATTCTGCAAACAGTATCCTCCTTCAATGCGGTTTCTTCAGATTTCTTTGCACAGGGAATTTTCCCATTGTCAGATAATGCTTTTTCGTACAAACATAACTCTTCCAAATTAGATTTATCATTTTTGTTAATACAACTCATCTCTGTATCCAAACATGTAGAATTCTCCGTTAAATCTTTTTCTAAATTGCAAATATTCTTCAACATGGCGCAATATTCCATATTAGAGCTTCTCAAATCAGATTCTATTCCAGCCTCTGTTTCTATCACAGTGAATTCAACAAAGTCTTTTTGTTCCAACGACGAAGAATCGCTTATCACAACCACTTCCTTCGCATCATGTTCTTCGCCCAAACTTTTATTGTCTTCCTTGACTTCCATCTCTTCGCAAATTATTGTCTCTTCGACCACGTCTTCGGGCCATATTTCAATCTCATTCGAATCAGGTTCGTTCACCGATTCCTTTGTTGAATTACCAACGACCACCTGCTGAACATCTTCAGGACTCAGTTTTGCGGAGTGCTCAATTATAATGTCTATTCCATCTTGGCTATCGCTCTCACTGGCATCTTTTTTGTATCCAGATGTTGAGTATTCGACCTCTTCATTTATTACCAGAAGATTGGTATTTGAAGCGCTCTTGTGTTTGTTAGATTTCCGCAAACAATTCTGATTCTTCTTCAGGTTTGTTTGGTTTTGGTACTCTAATGAACTTTTACCACTATCTGTATCATTTTGGTAAGATATTTGTAGAATTTCTCCATTCACTTTCTTCTCTTCCAATTGCTTTTTAGCTATTTGTCTACTAGACTTTCGCACAGGTACATACTTTAGGGATGATTTCACAGATGGTTTCATGTCAGTTTTACGCCTACGAGCCATTTTATTCTCATATATTCTACTTCTCTGAAATAGTTTTAATCAATACAATAGTTACAATAGTATACATTGGAATGTATAAAATTAAATAATATGATAATGAAAAGATAGTTGATATTTAGTTTGCGTTGCTTAAACGATTCAAATATTACTGGAATATTACGTTTAAAATTGTGTGAATATTTCCATTCGCACAAAATAATGTATATGCCATGTTTTAAGTTGTAATTGAAAGCAAATTTGTGCAGATACGAAGAAAAGTTACTATTTGTTTCAACAGTTTTGTATTCCATAAAAAAGAAAGCAATTTAAAAATTGATGCTATATAATTGATTTCCTAGTTTCAATTTCAATAATTATTGCTACAAACTTCTATGAAAATCAAGTTTTCTTTATCAGTGATTAGAAAATACATTCACTATTTTTAACACTGATCTACCAAGGGGGTCAAAATGACTTGTTCCATCATTTGTAGTAACAACTACCTATTTTTAGTACATTTTACTTTTTAAAATTTGTTATGATTTTTATCAATATGCATACATACATTCCGTGAGCAAAAATGAAATCAAAATGTCTGAAAATACTTTGTTAAGGAATCAACAAAAATGAGAAAAATATCACTCTCTTGGTTCAATTAAGAATGATAGCAGATATGAAATAATTAGGATACGTTTGTGTTTTTACAATACCAAGTCCTTACGACTAAAAATTGTACATTGCACTACAGACTTAATTTCAGCTTTATTTTTTGGAGTGGAGTGATCAATCATGGCTTCAACACTAGAATTACACACAATTTACATGTACCTACTTCTATCAGAAAGATCAAAATGAGTTGTTTTTGAAAGAAACAAGTGTTACGGCTCAAAATTGTGTTTTCTCTATAAGCGTTTGCATCCGACTAAATCAAATATATTTTACAAGATGCAACAGTGATGAAAACAAAAGCATGTTGATAAATACGAGTCATATGTTTTTATGAACAAACAAAAACAATGGTAAATATGAAATAAAAATAAATATCCAACAATCTATGGAACATAGTAGACAAGTATTTTAACAACTTTTATACAGTGTATAAGTTCTAAAGTATATTTAGCTTTCAAAAAAAGTATTTAAATTATACAGAAACGTTATGGAAAACTTCTGAAATTCTAATGAAATCAAAAGTTTACCTAAATTCTGTGAGGAGTCAAAATAATCCCTCTTAGTATCTGTAGGTATACAACGTATGAATTTTATATGTAAAATAGGAAAAAAAAGAAAACTACTTTGTAAAATTAATCATTTACAGTCTGTTTCATAAGAGCGTTGGAGGTATACCTAAAAAACAAGTAAATATTTTGTACAAATTCGAAAAGGGCATCAAAGTTTACTTATAATACTACATTGCAAGTACTTAATATTGTGTGAAATCTCCTTTATTTTGTAGTATAGCCTCACAGCGTTTTTGCATACTTTTAATGAGGTTTTCAGTGTATTCCATTGGTAATAATCTCCATAGCATTCTTATTCGATGTCTGTTTTATAAGAGCGTTGAAATGATTTTGCGGATGGCAGAGCCAGAGAAGCGGTAACATTTACCAGATCCACTTCATATGTTTATAAAGAGTATCGCGTTACTCGTCTCGCGTCCCACACTTAAGCAGTATTCTTTTGTCAGCCCGAGTGATCGAATGCTTGAAAATGAGTGCGACGTACACTAGGCAATACGAAGCTGTATTTCCTTGTACGCATCCGAAAGAGCCAAAATTATGCTTTTCTGCGACAGCTCGTTATATGAGGAAATCCACAGAGTTTGTTAGAATGTGGGTGAATCGATATAATACAGTAAAAAACGTTGATGACTTTGAAGTAAAATATAAGAGCATGCTGCAAAAGCCTTTGCTCTTCGAGAAACATGTCAGTATGCGATGTGCTTGGGCCCAGAAAAATATTGGTCACAATTAGGACAATGTAACATTTTCTGACGAGTCCTCGTTACCTAAAAAGAAAGCCTGAACCAACAAAGGCAATCCGATGCTACAACGAACTATTAAGCATCCAGTTAAGGTCCGTATTTGGTGATGCTTTTGTTCCCTTGGGTTTGGAAATTTGTTCCTCCTCACTGAAAATTTAAATTCTCAAAGGATGCTAAAAATGTATGAAAATTGCTTACTGAAATCCGCTAGAGTATGGTTTGGCGAAAATATTGCTTCGTGGGAGTTACAAGAGGATAATGATCCGAAACACCGCAACCGACTTTGCACAGAGTGGAAAAGGCAAAACGGTATTAATGTTTTAAACTGGCCCTCACAGTCACCGGATGCGAACCCCATTGAGAATGTATGGGACATTCTTAAGATAAGGCTTCAGGGAAAACAAGTATACACCCTGAAACAATTATGCCATCGACTAAGAATGCTATGAAAATCATTACCAATAGAATACGCTGAAAATATCGTTAAAAGTATGCAAAAACTCTTCGAGGCTATACTACAGAATAAAGGAGATTTCACACAATATTAGGTACTTGCGATGTAGTATTATAAGTAAACTTTGATACCCTTTTTGAATTTTTACAAAATATTTACTTGTTTTTTAGGTATAGCTCCAACGTTCTTATGAAACAGACTGTAAATGATTAATTTTACAAAGTAGTTTTCTTTTTTTTCCTATTTTACATATAAAATTCATACGTTGTATACCTACAGATACTAAGAGGGATTATTTTGACTCCTCACAGAATTTAGGTAAACTTTTGATTTCATTAGAATTTCAGAAGTTTTCCATAACGTTTCTGTATAATTTAAATACTTTTTTTGAAAGCTAAATATACTTTAGAACTTATACACTGTATAAAAGTTGTTAAAATACTTGTCTACTATGTTCCATCGATTGTTGGATATTTATTTTTATTTCATATTTACCATTGTTTTTGTTTGTTCATAAAAACATATGATTCATATTTATCAACATGCTTTTGTTTTCATCACTGTTGCATCTTGTAAAATATATTTGATTTAGTCGGATGCAAACGCTTATAGAGAAAACACAATTTTGAGCCGTAACACTTGTTTCTTTCAAAAACAACTCATTTTGACCTTTCTGATAGAAGTAGGTACATGTAAATTGTGTGTAATTCTAGTGTTAAAGCCATGGTTGATCACTCCACTCCAAAAAACAAAGCTGAAATTAAGTCAGTAGTGCAATGTACAATTTTTAGTCGTAAGGACTTGGTATTATAAAAACACAAACATATCCTAATTATTTCATATCTGCTATCATTCTTAATTGAACCAAGAGAGTGATATTTTTCTCATTTTTGTTATGATTCCTTAACAAAGTAAATTTCAGACATTTTGATTTCATTTTTGTTCACGGAGTGTAGTGTCAAATTATGATTTAAAAAATGAGTATATTTTGTACATTGGACAGAATAAAATCAAAGACTCACCATATGCCTCTAAAATGACGTCCTGAGAGTCCGTGGCGACCATCGTTCGAGTTTTACGAACATTTTCTATTGAACGCTTTCAAATATTCCTCGGATTCCCTAAAAAAACATAAACCGTAAAATTTATCACAAAGAATCGGCAACGATCGAATTAATCTATCGGGAAATGAAGTTTGAACGTTATTATAAAGTTTGGCGCCCACGAAAATCAATTATGGATTACACACTGGTCGAAGGGTTTCGGTTAATAGAGATATCTTTTTCAATCTCGGCTCATTTTGAATCCTACACGATCGGCAACGATAATTCTACTGTGATTGATAATTCGTCGAGTTGACTTACGATTTGTTTAGACAAACATTAATCACCTGAACGAACGCATTGCGACGAAGTGTAAAGGATGGTGCGATACTCAAACAATGAAGTCCGTATTTCGAGCGCTGTACGCGTTACCACTGATTCTGAACGTCCCTTGGTCCCTTATTGTGGCAATACCGACCGCTAATACTCTAGTAATTTCACTGTACAGTTTCACGTTACGATATATGTAGACTCAGATGTAGATGTACCTAGTTTCAATGCGGAACATTCTTGCATCGACTATAGAGCATACAAGCGAGTTTTGAGATACACCGGGCGTAAACAAGATCTGATTGGTTTAAAAGTAAGACCGTGCTTCAGTCATTGGCTGCCCTGGTAACAAGAATAATATTGTCCACTGTATAAATTTAACATTGTTATACTAATCATAGATACGTATCAAATGACTGCGAGATATTGATACATCTCTGAATATTATAATCAGCACTATAATCCATTCTATACGATAGGAAAATAATACAGTTGGTGATCAATATTGATTGATTTTACTTCAACGACACGTTACACTTGACTAGTCTTTCACCGATTTATCAGAGACTCGACGAAAATCCTACTTATCGACACAACAATTTTATGGGGGAGGTATATTATAGCACAGACGAGATATACGAGTAGACCTTTCACCTAATGTATTTTTTCGGCTAGAGCCCCATTACCATTTCTGTGTCATTCGCAACGTTACCAACAGATTTAGAAATAAACACAAGAGGAAGTGAGACAGAAAATGAAATTATAGAAATTTTAGTATTTTTTAACGGAATGAAAGCTGTACGGTCTGTCATTGGACATCAATCAACTAATTCCATTGGAATAATTAATTGATTAAGATTATTTAAAGATTTCAAGGTTATTAAAATACCTAAGGATGTATCTCATTGATACCGCAAATCCCATATTCTTTATTTTAAATTGTAATACATCATTTATTTAAAAAATAAATGCAAAAACGTATTGACTGAGCATCGCCACCCGTCAGTGATGAACATTCGTGGGAATTTTGGTCATGCGCACTGGAACACATGATCACTGCCGTATACACTTAACTAGAATTTAGGGTACCATTGGATCACAGTAAGGAACAAAATTTAAGGAAGTTACAGGGAAAGAGACAAGTTTTTATGAAGGAAAACAACATAAATGTATAATAAAAAGTGGAAAACAATTCATTATTTATTTAGTTTTTACGTGTGCAGCCGATTTATTACATGAACATCAACATTTGTTGCTAAGATAAAAAAAACTGCGAAAACTTTACCAGTATTCGAACAAAAATATTGCGCGTAAAAATGAACGAGAAACACAAATACATAAAATATATAACATTATATACTGGAAACATATACTTTATCAATATTAACTGAATACATTTAAATCAAATTAATTTCATATGTTTTAATCGATTTAAAACTAAAAATGTTGGAATCCCCAACAGGCCCCTTACATGCACCTCCTCTTGCGCTTAAGATACGTCTATGGTAGCGGACGACAGGTAACTGTAACGTCAACTTACGCATGCGCAGAAAGGTATCCCACGAGGGAAAATTGCTTAATTGCCACGAATGTCCATCATTGGTCTATCATCACTAGCCGTGGAGGGATGTTTTTCTTTACTGTGTTTCTGTTGAACGAGACGAGTTGACATTTCCGTAATTGTCATCATGGCTTAGGAAACAGTTAATTTAACGTACACAAAACTAGAATGCAATATGTCAGACACGAGACAAAAAATTATAAAAAAGTTTAATGCCGAGTTGGGGTCCGATTTAAAGGGACTTAAAAAAATATATGAATTTCACCAGTATCTGAATGTACAGAAGAATGAAATCGAAAAATCGGTAAATATTTCTCGAAATTTGGAAGATGTAGAGAGATAGAGCAATGGATGCTAAATATCAAATTTTAACTTCGGGTATTTAATAGTTTTTGAGATACTAGGTTAGGTTTGGCTATTTTGCAACACTGTACATACTAAGTTGGATTAGAATAGTATATTGTAAACTAATATTTTAATTTTTATAAAAAACCAAAATCATTCATCAAGTGATAAATTAAAAAAAAATTTCAGTTATCAATGGCATCGTCCGAAGCTCCTTCAAAGGTGAAAGTGGTCATTGAAAGCGTTGAAAGGACAAGCATTGAGTTTGAACGATTGCAGAAATGCTCGGAGGAGTATAGAAATGATGTGCAAAGGGTAACGAGCAACAATGACAGCAACTTAGATGTACAAAAAAATGTTGAAACGATAAGTTACTTGGACAAGTCATTAGCGTACTTGAATTTCATAAAATACGTTGAAAATATTAGGTAAACCGTTTATTTTTAACATTGATGTATTTAATATTTATTGAAAGAGTTGAAGGAATATTTTTCAGTGATGAAATTCAAGTAGCATTGGCTGCTGGCGACGACGAAACGACTATTTCATTGTATACAAGTCTGACGGATATCAGTTGTCAGTTACAATTGTCGTCTTGTCAACATCTGGTCAATTATGTAAGGGAAACGCTTCACTTTTGGCACAACCTCGTCAAGGATAAATTATCCAAGTATGATACACAATAGCTTCTGCGAAATGATTGATTCTATTATTTACGAAACAAAAAGAAATCTGGCAATGTTAGATGACGATAAAATCAACTTTATTTAGGAAAACAGAAGGTCATTGTGTGTCAGTTGTTATCAAAACAAGTCTACAATATGAATTGAGGTCAAAATATCAAACAATTTTCATCGAGTAAATCTTTGAGACAAGTTGGAAGTTTGCACTTCTAATTTTGACTATCGAAAATGATAATACGAGACGTAGCTTTGAGTTCGTTTTTTGAATGATTTTATGTAATAGACTGTTCAACTTATTTTGGAATCTACTTTTAGAATACTTTCGAAGTTTTCGCTGACAAAATGGTTTCTTCTAAATCGATCACTTTTTGTGCTTTTTAAAACTGCATAGACATTAAAATGTATAACGAATGCGATACAATGTATTTGCGAGTCTCATATCTGTTCAAATTGAAATTTATGGTGAATAATTTTTAGATAAATACACACACATAGTAATATCATACAGATAATTACACATGCGTACAATTTTCAGGGAGTATAACAACATACTAAAGGCATTGAAGTGGCCCTTCTGTGGCAATAATCCATCCAATTTGTTAAACACGTATATGCCGGAAACGTTAACTAAATTTAAAATACTTACAGAATATTTATTCCATTTACAATTACCGTATCCTTTCGAACAAGCGAATGTATCTGTATTTTATCAAAATTAAGTTACGCATTAAGATTGCAGCTTTAAGAATTTTGGAACGAAAGATGTTTGGTCCTTAGCGAAACATATCTAGGGAAGACTTTGCTAAACCAGTGGTAACATCAGTATTATTAACAGATTTCACGCCTGTGAGTTTGCCAATATCGTTGATGGTGCGACCGCTCAGACAAAGATTTATATATCACTTCACAGGTTCGAAGTTAACCAATCGACAGGACAAACCGGAATGGTTTTTCACCCAGATATTGACGTGGATCAAAGATCACGTACAATGGGTGCAGAAAAATGTTCAACCAGTCGCTAATTCGATAGGCTTCGATCATGTGGATGCAAAGGTAACACAAAATTTACCGTGCCTTATTTATTACTGTACCAAAACGTATCGTTAAACATTTCTACAAATTGGTCCATGTAGGTTGAATTTATGCAGGCTTTGGTGCAACTGGCAGTTGAAAAGCTTCATTCGGAGTTGTCTATAGTACAGTACGATGATGCTTTATTTGCCCATTTGGTGGACGAAGCACTGGGCTTTGAAAGAGAGCTGAGGGATACGTTATTTTATCCACCAACACAGCCAGCCACTGTTTTCGTTCTCACTCAAGCTCATATTTTTGTCAAGTGGATCAATATGGAAAAGAAATGTAAAAATATTGTGTACTTTGGTATATTATTGCACAATTGCTACGATAATGCATATTTATATACTAGATGCTACGGAAAAAATGGATGCAATTCTAAGTTCGAACACTGCTTGGGAAAAACTGTCCAACTCTGATGCCGATGATATGAAAGTAACTGAATGCGCAGATGCTTTCTTGACTCTTCTCACAACAATTTCCGACAGATACAAACATTTGCCTCAACCAGGCCACAGGTAAACCAATGAGATACGTATTGTAATCAAAGACGACTTGTATATTTGATGCTATTCATTATACCGTATATACTTTACACTTTTTGACAAGGTTGCAATTTCTGGAGTTGCAACTAGAATTGATCGATGACTGGAGAATAAGGTTGCTCCAACTATTGCACGAAACTGACGACGATCCTCTAACATCTCTCATGCCATGTATTCTTAATACATTATACTATGTAGCAACTGTCTTGGAAGAATGGGGCGTCACCGTAGTAAGCATATCAGAAGCAGATTTACATACACTTTGCATAATATTCGATTTGATACATTTCTATTTCTCCTGCAGCACTTTTTGCAATTGTACTTCTTCAAAAAGCAATTCGAAGCAGTAGAGTCAGCTACGCTGGAAGGGAGCAACGCTACTGAAAATGTGGGTGAAGTGGAAGGTTCTATGTTCGACGAAGCTGTTGCGCTTTTGCGAAGGCTCGAAAAGGAATTGATTAATGAAATCAGCTATTCTGTGGCTCTGGATGTAAAAGCTAGGAGCAGATCGTATCGAACAGATAAGTAAGTATTTATGTGTTAGAGCTGTTCTGTAGTAAACATCACAAGCTGTTGCGAGATCAAACCATCGATCGTACGTTAAAATAAAAACGCTTCGTTTCGCAGGTGGTTTGCAATGCAGTCGGTGAAAGAAGTTGTTTCTCTGTCAGTTACACCCAGCGGATATTCCATGTTCCAGGAACTGGCGACGCAGCTAAATCTTCTTTACAACGCGCTGGCTTTACCACTGTTTAATCAAGCTTGGAAGAGCCTGGCTTTGCAGTTTGATCAAGTCAGATAAATTAAAGCTACTAGCGTAATATAAATTGGTATTACATCAGGAATTTAACGAAGTATTTATTACAGTTTCTTCTTGAAGAAGTTGTTCTGGTGAATCATTTCAATGCAGGTGGAGCCGAACAACTAGAATATGACGTCTTCAGAAACCTGTTTCCATTGTTCGGTTTGTACGTCAGCAAACCGGAATCCTACTTTCCTCTGTGAGTCGAACAATATTGTTTAACATTGTGTACCAAGTGTATCATTTTGTTATTGGAATTAATTTCAGGATCAAAGAAGCTTGCATTTTGTTAAACATTCTATTGGACTCGGCAATGCTGTTGCTCAAAGCTCTGAACAATAATGACGATATTACGGGGAAAGAAATCCTGGCGGACATCGGGATCCACAAAATGAGCCCTGAACTCGCTTTGAAAGTGCTCGGAACCAGAACAGATATTAATTATGTATAAAGAGGTTTTTTTTAGTGACTTGGGATGTACTTTTGAATAATAACTCTATCCAACAAATTTAAACTTCTTTTCTGTCTTGTAACATCCATTGGGTGATTCTGATGGTGTTTTCGTGTTTTTTTACTAATAGCAATTTACTAATAACAAATGCGACGTTGGTACTGTATAAAAGACAAGACCGAAGAAACGAATAAGTGATTTCCAACCTTTGTTCTTGTTAGAAATTCAAAGAAATTGTGACGCTGCTTTGCGGCGGTTAGGAACTCGTGAGAATCATAGGAGGCGCGTTTCGTCCGAGCCTGCTAGTGGACTCCAGTGATAGACATCTTGGGAATTTTGGTCATGCGCACTGGAATTTTCCCTCGTGGGATTCCTTTCTGCGCATGCGTAAGCTGACGTCACAGCTACTTTATAGTAGCTTATACTATCTTTAGCGCAAAAAGAGATGCATGTTGGGAATTCCCATATTTTGTACAAAATTGAACCCTTCTACTTCAAATGCTTGCCGATCACACAACAATTAACTTATCGAAAAGATCCCCTACGTATTTTTCTAGCTATACTCATGTAGATTAAAAGAAAATTTTTTGTTTTTGTCTCTTTCCCTGTAACTTCCTTAAATTTTGTTCCTTACTGGAATCCAACGGTACTCTAAAATTCTAGTCAAGTGTGTACAGCAGTGATCATGCGCTCCAGTGCGCATGACCAAAATTCTCACGAATGTCCAATCTCTAGCAGGCCCTGTCTTAGATGACTGGGATATTAGGAAGTCGGTCAAGGATTGTATGCAGGGTGTTCCGTAAATAGTGCAAGAACCGGTAATGTGGGGTAGCTGAGACGATTCTGAACAACAATTTCCTTTGCAAAAATGTCGGATGAGGCTTTACCATCATGGGGCACGCCTTCCGCGCGCTCAGGGCCGTCCGAAATCGGAGAGTCACCGCGCCGGATAGGTAGTAAGATGCGCGTTGAAGATACATCGAGAAAGAATACAAATAATTAAAAATACTACCACTGCAACTGTTACCTAATTCGTTAATTATTATGTAATTAGTACGTAAATTACTAAATCGAATTTATTAATTATTTGTATTCGCTGCTTCCAAGGAAGAAGGAATAAAATCTCGGAATTTTTAGGAAATTAACCCTTCGCACCCGAGTGACGCTTCTCGCCAGTATTTTAAAATTAAAATAAATACGGTAAGAACTATTTATAACCGTTTGTTATTAAAAACTGTACTGAAAAATCAGACTGGATTTCTGCGTGTCGAAACATTCCTCGAATGCAAAGGACAAAGACGAGTTCGGACGACTTTGAGCGCGCGCTGTGATTGGTCAGTGTTTTTCGTTAATAATTCAAAAACGAAGCCCCATCCGACATTTTTGCAAAGGAAATTATTGTTCAGAATCGTCTCAGCTATCCCACATTTCCGGCTCTTACACTATTTACGAGACACCCTGTATATAGCAACTGAGGGGTCGGTCGAGCACTTGTGAGAGCGCTGGTGGCGAGCATGGGAGGCGACGCCACAATACTTTCAACTTCATAAAATTTATCCACATTTTCAACCCTATGGTTTGCAATAATTATTAATTAACATCGGACAGTAGTTAAAGTAATGCTCAACAGCATATATTGTATAAATAATTGTTATTAATATCATTTTTCAGTAGAGCAAACGGTTAACTGTTAAGTGCCACAGTAGACCATGTAGAACACAATTATGAATTGCATAATTACGTAATTCAATTTATTTACATGTTGAAAGAGTTTGTTTAAATGTGCAGATTAGCAAATTAAAGTGATACCACCATTGTCTGCGCCTAATAATAACAATCGATTTAATGGCAGAATAGCCATCGTAGTTAGAAGACCTTTAAAGGTATCTGATTTCAATTTTGATGATGAGAATGAAGCTGTTGTTTCTATTGACGTATAAACTCCCACACGATTTGCTGTTGTACCTATTATTAACTCTTGTTCGTAGGTAGACATGCAATGAACCGGTTCGGTGGATCCCCTGGAAAGTTTTAAACTGTTTTAAAGTTAAAAACTTTAAACAAAGTCGAAACTTTGGAATCTTAATTAAAGGAATTTAAATTTTACGCTTAATTTCTGAAGTTTTTATAAGCTCTCACTTTCTATGCAAACAAAATCGGGAGAAAAAACCAGATTATGAAAACGAAAGTGAAATGATAATTTAAAAAAAAAAATAATTAGAAAGTTATTTCATTTCAAATCGTTATGAGGGAAACGTAAATGCCGATTACTTCGATTCAATTAAATATCTTACTTCATATGGAATTTCAGTTTTCCATCCAGCGCACTCCACACAGCAATGGTCTCATCCAGCGAAGAACTAACGATGGTTGTTTCGTTTATCGCCTCCAATTGCAATATCTTAAAGAACAGCAGTTGTAGGATTTCAAGATTGCCTTAAACATTGCGTTTCTAAATGCAATACTTACTTCGCATTCGTGCCCCTTCCACGATGCAATGATGAGACCTGTACGAGTATCTAAAATTGTTAAAAATCCTGAAGCCTGCCCCAACGCCACCCAGTAACCACTGGGTGCCACTGCAATGCATCTAATCAAACCCGTCGGGTTCACAGATACCTAAAATGTAATTCGCATTTCTTAATTTACCAAATATTTAGCTAAGCTGTGTCCAATATGATTCCGTACCTTCATTTCGTTGACGTACTGAAACGTTCGGCAATCAATTACTCTAAGTGTAATATCGGTTGTTCCAGCAAGCAGAGTGGTACAGGGCGAAGGGCTTGCAGTTAATGTATTCACAGGCACAGGACGGGAGCTTTCTGGACATCCTAAGAGCGAACCCATGAAAGGATCCCAGCAATGGATCGTTCCGTCGCAGGTAACCACATATCTCAAAGATTCTAAGAACGTTAGCGCAAGAATGGATTTCTTGTGCCCGGTGTATGTATACTGACAAGACGAAACTGTGTTTCCATCGCCCTGTTGACAGAACGCAACGTTTAAAAATTACTTAACTTCGTCTTCAATGTATCGTTAAGATATCCCTTCATTAACACTAGATTTACGGGCATTGATCGCACGTATATTTATTGATACCTTTCATATGTTGACGATTATCTTACAATACGATTTTTTTTTAAATTAGAATATGTATTCGTGCCATTGCATCAATCCAATTCAATATAAGTTGTTAAAAAATAATATTTACACGTCCTGCAATTTTAAATATGGAATCAAACATTCGTCAAATTGATGGCTTCCGTAAATAGTGTTAAGACAGTACAATAGACTCAAGATGTTTTGTTTTGCATGATAAAACGAAACTGAAATTAAGTTCATCGCCTTCTACCGAACCAAGAGAAACAGCATTATCATACTTTATGTATTCGTTACGACTTCTTAACAAAATATTTATGAACAGTTTGTTATACGCCATGCAGAAAAAATTAAGGACGTCCTTCCACGAGAAGAAGGCACAGCGTGTTTACATCCCCACTCCTGTTACCACATTGACAAGAGTAGCAGGACAAACCGGCTAGGATGTCCTACAGGATGACACAGGTGCTCACCGGGCATGGTTGCTTCGATGAGTACCTGTGTCGAATCGGGAAGGAGGCGACGATGGTGTGCCACCATTGTGGAGACCTTCAAGACGGCGCAGCACACGCTGGAAGCCTGCCCAGCGTGGGCAGATGAGCGCCGTGTCCTGGAGCAGAAAGTTGGAAGGAACCTCTCGCTGGCCACAGTAGTTGGCAAGATGGTGGCCAGCGAGAGGACATAGCAAATGGTGGCCTCCTTCTGCGAGGTAGTTATGTCGCCCACTCGCGCTCCGGCTCGGAGGGGGGCCAGGGCTAGGCAACCTTCGCCTCCTGGCTACCTACAATAGCCCTGAGGTCCTGATGGACCTCCAAGAGGTGGGACGAGCCGTCAGCTTTCATCTCCGGCCATCATGTCGATGGCCGACGGATGTACGGGCCGCCCCTGGGGGTTGCAGGTGCTCGGTGCCAGGGGCCCTGGGGCCGCGGGCGTTGAGTGACCGCGGCGGAGAAATCAGGGGGGAAAGGACACGCATCCTTCCTCCAGGGATGAGCCTCGACAGGCATGGCGCAGCGGGGGACTCTGTGACGCCTCATTAGAGTTCTCGGTTCCCGCCACAGCGCCGGAAGATGGTCACCGTGAGGTTTTAGCTGGTAAGAGTCCGGCACTACCCCGAGGCCCCCCCTATTTAGGGACGTTGAGTTCAGTAATGGACATTCGTGGGAATTTTGGTCATGCGCACTGGAATGCATGATCACTGCCGCATACACTTAACTAGAATTTAGGGTACCGTTGGATCCCAGTAAGAAACAAAATTTAAGGAAGTTACAGGGAAAGAGACAAAAACAAAAAATTTCCTCTTAATCAACATGAGTATAGCTAGAGAAATACGTAGGGGATCTTCGATAAGTTAAGTTTTGTGCGATTGGCGAGAATGGGAGACATGGAAATTCCCAATATCCACCTCTTTTTGCGCTAAAGATACATCTATGGTAGAAAGCTAACGCATGCGCTAAAAAGAATTCCACGAGGGAAAATTTTAGTGCGCATGTCCAAAATTCCCACGAATGTCCATCACTGCTTGAGGTGTCCATGAGGATTTCCTCACGTACAAAAAAAAAAAAAAAGAAAAAAGATATTGGTCGAAAATTGTGACGAAGATAGGTAACAGCCAATTAGCGGACTGCAGCAAGAGTGGGGACGTAAACACGCTGTGCCTTCTTTTCGAGGAAGGACGATATATTACCTGGCTTCTCAAGCTCCATAATTTTACAGTCTTATCTCTTCCACCGCTTATAAAACTATTCTCGTTATCCAATACGTTGAGACATCTAATACTGTTGGTATGACCACTGAACGTTTGAAGCTTTATTTGCTTTATGTTAAATGCTACATCTTTATCTGATCTTCCAATTTCATGTTCCCAATATGCTAGCCAATTCCCTCGTAATTGTCTCCCAATGTACGTAGAACTGGTCTCACGATTGTTAACCGTATTTTCTGACGTTATACAGTCCCCAACATCGTTCTTTTGTACTGCGAATCTATTGCCCACCACCGATATATTTCCAAAATTCGAGACATCCTTGTTAGCCGTTCCTGTACTTTCCATTGCATTATAATTGCTGTTGTACGGAGTATTATGTTTGCTGGTATCTTTAAACAAAGTCGAAGGAAATAATAAATACATGCGATAAACATCGCTTACAGGGTGTTTCGTTTTAATCTATAAATGTGAATTAATCGTTAACTACTCAATGGTTGAAAAATGATTTGAAATTGTACAATTTTTTAACTTTACTTGAAACACTACATAGTCTGATCATTTTTCTTATCGAAATAGACTATTCCTCTCGAAAACGAGAAGGTATTTTTAATTTTTCGTTTTCCGAAAAAAATCGTTTGACTGGATGTGATTTTAACTGTAAGAATCCTATTTTTTAAGACTGAGAAACTGAATTTTACAAAGTTGTACTCTCTGCAGATATCTTCCTTTGTACCCTCGTTTACGTTGTCTCCTATTTTTATTACGTTCATAAAAACATTTGCAACGTATTTACTTTGTCCTGTGTTGAACGATACGTAACAATAACTTAAATTTAAATTCATGAATATTCTTTTACATATTGACTACTTTATGAGTAATTTACAATTTCAAATTAAAATTATAAAAACCAACGTACCAACATTCGACGAAGTAATTTTAGTCTCCTGTTCATATTTGTGGCATAAATGATGGATATGTTCGTAGTTTTTAAGTATCTGTTCCATTACTTCGTTGTCGATGCATTTGTAGAAGAGCATGTATGCTTTGTGAGCGAACTCAGTTGTGAATACGGCTCTCAGTTCGTCAAGTGCCTGAAAACAGATCAAACTTTCGTTTCTAAACACTGTCAATCGAATCTAGGAAATAATAATATAAATTTTCTCGATATCCATTTTCGTTTACTTTATCCTTTTGAGGGTCCGCTGTATCCAAATTTTCTACCACAGGTGGAGAGTAGGAATCAGCAACGTCTATGTTGAAATTTGGTTGAAGTCCTTGGACATCTCTATTATCTTCGGTTGAAGACTTTGTCCTGCTCGAATACAAACTTACAATTTCTAATCACATTATACATACACTGCGGAGCATAACTATAGCACCACTAATATTTTTAACATTTCCGACCTGTAAGAAAATAATTTGAAACAACCAATTATATGGTATGAAAAAGCATTGTAAATAATGGATTTTAGGTGAAATTCATTGAAGTTGTCTACTTATATGTCAAGATTTAATCGATAAACGTTTGACGATAGGTGCAAAACAATAGAACCAGTTCATTTTTAACGCACTTCAAGGGTTTCTGTTGGAATTTTTTTAGTAAACTCGGGAATTCTTAGTTAATTAATACAATGCCACGTGGCAGCTACTTTAATGAACAAGAGCAAGGTGCAATTTCAGCGTACAGAGAGCAAAAAATGGGGATACGTGAAATCGCACGTAAACGCGGGCGATCTCATAAAGTTGTACTGAATTTTTTACGCGATCCTACTAAGTATGGGAAAAATAAGAAAGGGGGACCTAAGAAGAAGTTATCCCCTCGTACTGAAAGGCAAATTGCTAAAGTTGCGAGCAATACGTTAAAAAGCTGTAAACAAATTGTGAAGGAATGTGATCTCGGCGTTTCTCGTTGGACTGTCCAACGTGTCCTTAAACATAATTCAAACATTATAAGACAAAAAATGATGTCTGCACCTACACTCCTGAAACGTCACAAAATAGCCAGGCTTGAATACGCACAAGAAAACATGAGCAGAAATTGGAATAATGTAAGTTAAGTTTAGACATTCATAAATCGAGATTTTAGCTTCATATTCAATATTCCTTATTTAACTTAGGTTATTTTCTCTGACGAAAAAAAATTCAATTTGGACGGTCCAGATGGATTTGATTCATATTGGAGGGACCTTCGTAAAGAACAAAAATACTTTTCGAAACGTAATTTCGGTGGAGGGACACTTATTGTGTGGGGTGCATTCTGCTCCTGTGGCAAGCTCAGATTAGCTTTTCCAACTACACGAATGAATAGTGCGGAGAATACTTGAAAATCATTTATTGCCTTTTATTCATGCAAACAGTCAACATTTCATGGACTTATCAACAAGATAATACTCCAATCCATAAAAGCCGACAAACCACAGCATGGTTTGAAACGTTTGATGTCAATGTATTGAAATGGCCTGCATGCTCCCCAGACCAAAATCCTAATGAAAACCTATGGGGTATCATGGTACAGCATATTTATGTAAATAATCGACAATTTACGAACATTTCGGAGCTAAAAACAGCAGTTATTGAAGCGTGGAATCAAATTAGTGAAAAAACTTTGAAAAAACTCATTACAAGTATGAACAATCGTATTTTTGAATTAATACATAAAAAAGGAGGTCCTACTCATTATTGAAACTGCTCACTTTAATAAACTGAATTAGAAATTTAACACTTTATAACCATTTAACTTTATTATTACGTTCCAAATACATTGGTGCTATAGTTATACACCATTGCAATATTTCATTTATTATCATACTTCATGTTAAATAAATGTTATTTTTGTATTTTTTCCATTAATTATAATTTTTTTCTAGTCCTTTTCACGTGGTATTATTAACATTTAAAAATCATTAGTTACAACTACAAAACTCTTGAAAATTATAGTGGTGCTATAGTTATGCTCCACAGTGTATATTTCTATAATAACGTTATAAACTTTTCAAAATTACCTCGCAAAGTGTTCGCCTAGTTTTTGATTAATTTCACCCTTCAAATTCCCAACACTTTGGCTAAACGATTTATCGAACGTCAAGAAAAATCTTTGGATTGGTACGGCTAAATGATTCTTCACGATAACATTCCCTAGTCGTAAACTGAACACGAACATAGTCTCTAAACATTTTTCTGCTAACACAGAACGTGCTAAGATTCCGTTAGGAAAAGTAAACCTTGTTGACGATAGTATTCGAACCGTAGGATGCAGTATTGCTTTGACGATCAGTTCCTATTGTTAGAAATTAGCTCTTTTACTATAAACGTACAGTTTTCAGCGTTAGGAAGCCATCGAACGATCTTACGTGAAACACATCCATCAATGTTGCATCGTTCAGGTATGTCGTAATGTAATTCAAGAGAGTCAAGCACGAAATGAGTCCACCCTCTAAATTCTGTGTCAATTTTCTCTTGCAAAGAGCTAACAGTTCGACCATGTGTGCAAAATACTGCAATATTATAATCTGTTCTCCATAAAGACCTGTGGAATTGTTTAATTTTAATGTTTTAATTATCAATTATACCGTTTAATATGAAAGAAATTTTACATATGATGGATCGACAGAGCATCAGAATCAAACATTCTGTTCCAAGTTTCAACCCCCTATCTTGTTCGGAAGGGTAGTTATAGGGAAAATTCGGATTAGCGAATTTGTGCCCATTTCCCCTATTTAATCGAATATGAAAATTATGAAAAAATCTGGTGAATTGTGATTATTGTGGTACGTGATTGAGAATTTTATCCGATTTTTCGATTCCAAATCCTAGGTGTGAAAAATTAAAAACGCAGGAAAATACCGATTTCGTATTGAAGCTTTCGAGATACTAGATTTATAAAAAGTTTGAGTTATCAAAAAGTTTGCAGCGTATCCACAGTTAAGAATCTTACTCACTGCACCATCGCACCTCTTGGAAATACTGCTGACACTTATTTAAATACTTATTTTTGTTTTTCTATTCTACACACCGTTCTGCTCAACATAAAATTACTTAAACCCATAGAATATAGTTACCTATTAATCGGTTTTTTATTTTTGCTACTACGGCGCACCCTGCCAAAAAATTTGAAAAAATTCAGGCATATAACCAATGACAATACGCATTTACAGTAATTATATAAATCTAGTGTCTCGAAAGCTTCAATAAGAAATCGGTATTTTTCTGCGTTTTTTTGTGTCATTAATTTTTCACCCCTAGAATTTGGAATTGAAAAATCAAAAAAAATTCCTGAACTCGTATCTCGATAACCACAATGCACCAGATTTTTTACGTAATTTTCATACTCGATTAAATACGGAAAATAGGTACAAATTCGATAATCCGAATTTTCTCTATAACTACCCTTCCGAACAAGATAGAGGGTTGAAACTTGGCACAGAACTCTATCGATGGATCCATCATATGTAAAATTTGGTTCAAGGGCACATTTGACCTCATTCGGCTGTACCCTTTAAGGCTTTCGCGGCCTGAGTTTATACCGTTAATTATTTTTCTTTGAATAAATAATACCTGCAATAGCTGCGAGGCATTCCAGAACTTTTACAGCATTACGGTCTCCGACTAAAACCTTTTTGTTCCAGGTAATGCCTTGCATGGATGTTGAAACATCATCGATTATTGTTAAGTTTTCTTTTCCAGTGTAACATAGCGCAAGCATTCGCAATAAATTTCTGGATAGATATCGAGCCGTAAGAACTGGTCCGAGTCGATGAGACAACCAGGTAACAGATCCTGCGCTCATCTCAGAAGTCGTACACTCGTTCGATCCAAATTTCTGATAAATATGATCCGTGTGATCTTGATGGATCACAGTATCAGATTTACTATCATCTGCCTGCAATACGCTAGAATTCTGTTCCTCGACATTGGAGATTTTCTCAAATATGTTTCCAAAATCATTAATTCCAGCATAAGTATCGTTGTACAAGAATTCTTCATTAGAAGTTTTGCTTCCTACGTTGCAATCAATGTTACTGAATTCTGTTGTCAATTTGTTTGGAGAGTTGGATGTCTTTGGTATGGGAATTATTGGAGATTTAACCGATCTCAACGGAGAGCTTCCTTCTTCATTTACATCATCGTTGAGTGTCAAATTCAAATCTATGTGCAAATCAATGTCGTACAATGTACTTGAGTTCAAGGGAATCCAAGAACTGTCCTCCGCCTCCATTGTGAACACTTCTGAAATAGGTTTTTCGATTAAAAATCATTCGATATTATGGACGTGCGAGATTGTCTTCTTAGAGGTTACCGTCGACATCGTTGTCGTTCGAATTCACATTGTGCGCATAGTCGCTGGTTACAGGTCCTGGCGACAAGGAAATCTGCTCTGAGTCTGCGGAGGAATCTTCGTCTAACGGTGACAGGATTCCTTCACCTTCATTGCAAATTTCATTCAAATCACAGCTCCTTTAAAGTACAGTAAAATAATTCAGAAAATTGTTCGTAAAAGCAATATTAAGATGCATAACTATAACGGTATCTAAATTTTCCAATGTTTCGAAGAGGAAGGCAAGACAATTAGTCATATGAGTAGATAATTGGCTCTAATACAAATTTTGTTGAATATATACATTTTTATAAAATACACCGCACTGATATTATACAACCGTGTTATAGTTATGCAACGATAAAGTTCATTCTTTGTCGTACACTAGATTCATTTATGTTCCTCATGCATAGTTTAGACAATGTCTCAGTTACACTCAATAGTTTTGACATAGTTACACTTTCATTCGTCATCATACTGTGTTCATCAAATCAACACCTATACATCGCTTATTCTAACTTTAATTGTTATTGTAATATAATATTACATATATACAGGGTGTTCGGCCACCCCTAGAAAAAATTTTCTAAAGGCCAAAATAAGACGAAAATCAAGAATATCAATTTCTTGACTGAGGCTTCATTAAAAAGTTTTAAAAAATTAAATTAAGATATTTCAAATCATTCTGAAAAAATTATTTTTGGTTGCAAGGCTCAATTACAATAATTTTTGGTGAATACACATACCCCCGAAATCCTATCCACTTTTGAGACAAAAATTCGAATAGATACTGAAATTTTTAGATAACATTAAAAAATTGCAAATCATACTAAAAAAATTATATTTAGTTACAAAGGTCAATTACAAGCATTTTTGGTGAATACACATACCCCCGAAATCCTATCCACTTTTGAGACAAAAATTCGAATAGATACTGAAATTTTTAGATAACATTAAAAAATTTCAAATCATACTAAAAAAATTATATTTAGTTACAAAGGTCAATTACAAGCATTTTTGGTGAATAGACATTTCCCGAAATCCTACGTACTTTCGAGATAAAAATTCCTTACCGAAAATATAATTTGAGGCCTGAAATGGTTCCCCGAAATTTCATGCAAATTATTGAAACATCATAACTCCTGAGTGGATTGGAGGATTTTAATGTTTCAATCGGCAAACAACGCGTATTTTGTTGTAGAATATGTAGAAATTCCAAAAATGTTTGGAAAGTTGCTCCTTAACCCCGTAAAATGTGAGAAAAACTCCATAAAAATGGTCCAATTTTCAAACAGCCATAACTCCTACAATAGTGAATATATTTAAACGAACCTTTTTTCTGAACTAGAGCTCATGGGTACCTACAAAAAAGACATATACAATTTTTTTATAGGGCGTCAAACAAAGTTACTAAAAATCAAAAACGAATTTTTAAGAAAAATCAACAGGTGGTTCCGCGATTTAGGTGCCTAAATTTTTCGGCAAAAAAAAATTCCAGATCGTTCTAAAAAAAATTTTTTTAGCTGCAGGGGTCAATTACAATTATTTTTTGTGAATAGACATACCCCTGAAATCCTACTCACTTTCGAGAAAAAAATTCGAATAGGTACTGAAATTTTTAGACGAAATTAAAAAAGTTTCAAATCATACTAAAAAAATTATATTTAGTTACAGGGGTCAATTACAATTATTTTTGGTGAACAGGCATACCCTTGAAATACTACCCACTTTTGAGAAAAAAATTCGAGTAGCTATGAAATTTTTCGACAAAATTAAGACATTTGAAATCGTTCTAAAAAATTATTTTTAATTGCAGGGATCAATTACAATAATTTTTGGTAAATAGACCTACCTCCGAAATCCTACCCACTTTATAGAAAAAAATTCAGTAGGGGCGGAACTTTGAACGTTAATAACTTTTTAACGGGGCCTCCATCAACAAATTAGTATTCTTGATTTTCGTCTTATTTTGGGCTCCAAAATCTCCCAGTAAAATTTTTCCCAAGGGTGACTGAACACTCCATATAATACCCAATATTACTCGAATTACACCTGTCTTCTTAGATAGGTCTAATAAATGTTTATGTAAAGTTTCATCAAAATCGGTGTGTATCAGTTTGCGATGTTCCCTTGTCAGTACAGTATTCTATTCAAACCTGCAGTATCACACAATTCTCCACCCAATTTAACAAACGTTTCCTTACTTGAGATTGCGAGTCTTGTGGGAGTAAGTCGAACATCCTTCATAGTCTCTGTATCCCCCGACAGCTTCTACAAGAGGCGCAATGAAATTGTCCAGAAACCTTCGAAGACCCAATCTCACTGTAAGTTTCAGCAGAAAGTTTCTGTGGTACAAACGAGTGGTTCTAAATTTTGCAACCAGCCCCGAAGAGTGCGTGTCAGCGTAGAACGAATTGTCCATAAAGGAACCGTTCTCGTACAGCTTCATAATGGGTAAAAGAAATATTTCTGCAGTGTCTTTGGGACCCAATGCTCTGAAAGAATGATTTATACTCTGCAGAATATTGAGAACTTAATCAGATTACTACAAAGCTTGCATGATTTGTGAATTGCGACTCACTTTGCGATGGGATCAAACAAGTACCAAGCAGCCAAGACTGCGCTATAGCGTTCTTCCATTATTTGCTGTATGTATGGAACTATCAATTCTAAGCTGGCTTCTCTCGCAACTCCAGCGTGGGACAGTAAACGCTCCAATTCCCTGGCAATTGCTTTTACTTTGCATTCACTGATTTTGCACAGGAATCTTGTTTTCGTTTTCAGCGCAATGTCTGTGTCCTCTTCGGACTTCATTATGAAATTTAACTCGCGTGCTATACTGTTGTATTCTTGCAACATCTCTACGATGTTGAACAGATACTTGTAATACTTGGAGAATGGAAATAGATTCCCGGAAAGCATTGGTTGCAGAAACTGGTGGGCGGATGGTGGCGGTAGACCCATATGTGTAATTGTTGGATAACGAAATGGTGTATCAGTTACCTAAAATATTGTACAATGAACTATTACTATTACTATTATTATAAACAGAATTAATCCCTAAACATTTCAAAAAAATTGATCACAAAGAGAAATTTGTAATTCAAAGTCTGTTCCAGATAGAACAATTTTTAAACAGTTTGACACTAATTTTATGGCCACTTTATCCTTCCATTACAAGTTCTCATTTGATACTTACTTCAATATTGTCGATGTTGTAACTTTTCGGAATGATATCGACTTGTAGCAACAGAGCGACTGCATTTCTTACACACTTAGGCAAACTATCGGCAGACATTTTCAAAATGTTCAAACAAGTACTGAGTCTTTTAGCGAACGATACTTTCTCCATGTTCCAAGTCGCTCGAAATTTGCTTGAAAGGAATATTTCCACGATCAGACAACCAAGTATTTGCTGTTCTTTTATACGACCGCTGGCCACGATCTGTTTGTAATTTGTGGATGACTCGTGGAGTTCGATTTCTGGTTTGTAAACCTGCGAGCTGACTTTATTCACAAACGTATGCATAGTTTCCACTTGCATAATTGCTGTGGCTGGATTATAATCTTTCGGGAGTGTAATTGTCTGATTTATGGACTTATCTTGCTTGACATCCTCCGTAGAGAGTAAAGATCCTCTGGAACGACTTAACAGACGACTTAAAACTAGAGGCGATGATCTGGATGCATTTAAAATTGAAACTGGTAACTCTTCTTCTTCGAATCCAGAACTGTGGCCTTCGTCGTCGCTGGCTCTGTTTCCAGATTGATCGTTTTCTATTACAAACAGCGTGATTAACGATTGGAAATAGATCTCATTGGATCATTAAAAAGTTCATAAACGTACTGTATTTACTGACTACGAAGGATGAACGCAACCATGGTGGAATCTTGCACCAATAAAGCGATGGAACTATTTTCTGAGGATGCGGTTGCGTGAAGAGTTGAACAACACCTGAATTTGTTAAGCTTGTATGGTTGTCAACAAGGTGCAAGCAAACGTTCTTTGACTTCACCGCTGCTGATCCGGACAATCTATGAAATAAGAACAATATTAATCAATATCGTTTAATGATAGTTTGAGAAAAATAATATTGGATTTTACAAGTAATCTTCTGCATTTCTAAATGTTACAATTTCGACCAGAATTTGTTCTCGTTAAAATCGCACATTGTTTTACTTAAAATAACTCTAATGTTTATCGTTTATGTGTGCGAGTAAAATCAGATTGTGAAAATGAAAATAAAGCAAGCAAAGAAGTAAATCAGTGCAAAGAAAACATAATAATACATTGACGCTATCTGGGATCACTTCCACAGAATACGAAAATATTTGATTTAAATTCTTGAACTTTCTTTTACATGACGAGTACCTCACAATCTGGTATTGCTTCTGTAGAGTATGACATTCAGAAATCTGAAAGAATAATTGTACCCTTGAATAATATATACTTGTAACCAAAAGTCAAATCTATCCAATGATGCAATCTTTCGGATACGTAAAAGCTTTCTAAAGCCTCTCTATGCTTTTCGATAAAGTCCTCCGGAGATGTTGCCCACGCAGGAATCTCCAAATCAGGCAAATCCTCGTGAATAGACTGTAAATAATAAATCATAAGAACTTTTATATTCAATGCATACAGTATTTTAATTTATTTCTGTCTTGCCTTGAAAACACTAGGATCCGTAAAGAATTGTGGCACACATTCGTCTGGACTCCAGTCGTGTAATCTCTGAATAGATGCCGGGTATTCCCCGGGAACCCACTGAGGTCGTACGTGTTTGCAAAGAACAGATTTATTGTAACGCCTCGATAGATACACGTAGTACGTAATTTCTGACAATACATCGGAAACATGGTGTCCGACCTAAAAATATTGATATATTAATCAAAATTATACGATTATTATGTTTCTAAGACATTTATGAATATTTTTCAATACGTACTTCCACAGATTGCGAATCAAAAGTTAAATCTAACTGTCTGTCACCCTTATTCAATCGAAACTTGGATTTCGTTAAGTCCCTCCAATTACCACCGCATCGTGATGTGAAATCTGTGACCCAAGGCATTACGTGATGACAACTTGGATCTCCATACCTTCTTCCAGCCATATTATTCAATGCAGTCAAATAATCATAATTACTGATACAGTTATACACCCACATTTCACACAATTTTTCAATGTTTTCGTTCTTCCCGAAATCGTGTGTTCCTTGCAATGTAGTGTTCAATGAAATCATGTCGGCAACTTTTTTATATCCACCAGAATTCTTCCCTTTGGGTTCTTGACCAACGAAACCTTTGCTAAGCTCATTTTCAGGTTTTATATACAAATTGTCAGTCAGTTTTGGTAGAACCTATTAACGAAACATATTAAAATTTAAATGGAAAATTGAATCAACGAAAGGGTATAGTCGAATAAGGGGGTCAAATGTGCCCTTCGACCAAATTTGACATATAATGAATCCATCAATAGAGCATCAGAATCAAACATTCTGTGCCATGTTCATCAGATTTTTTACGGAATTTTCATACTCGATTAAATACGGAAAATAGGCACAAATTCCATAATCCGAATTTTCCCTATTACTACCCTTCCGAACAAGATAAAGGGTTGAAACTTGACACAGAATGTTTGATTCTGATACTCTATCGATGAATCCATCATATGTCAAATTTGGTTCAAGGGCACATTTGACCCCCTTATTCGGCTATACCATTTATTTATAGTAAAGTATTTTAAACCTGGATGGTGAAATTGTCCATCAATAATATATCGCTGAGAGTGACTTCGCCCAAAACTAAGCCACGATCATGCAAGTCTCTGCACAGTTGTAATAATTGATATATTAGAAACAACGCCTTTCCGTGACTCATATTCAAAGCGGCTGGGCTGTACATTACACACCTTTAATAATAGAAAAATGAATGAATATAGTTGAATGAATATCAGAATCAATAATCAGAATTTAATAAAAACGTATATAACTTACTCGCGAAGAGAATATTCTGCAGTCTGTTCATACAACGTTACAAAAGCAGAGGTCGTTTCGACAGCAAAAAATATTGGAAGGAGATTGCAATGCACTTCAATCGAAACGCCAGGTAATATGGATATGACAGACCCATCTTTAACTTGCGCTAATATACAACCGTACATTTTCTGCAATACCTCTTGCATGATTGATGTAGCACTTACGTTAGCAGTTATGTTGCATTGATCTTTATGATCTATGCAATTCCACGGATCTATTATTCGCACATAGATTCTATTTATATTTACAACGTTTATGATAAATTGATAAATTATATGACGCATACTTATTTGGAAATACATACTGTAATATTTTTTGTAACAGTCCTTCCACAGGTTTCGATTATTCGTTTCCATAACATAATGTAATAATTGTGAAAATGTTAAGTCTGCTTGAGTATTTCCATTGGTCGTATGCCTTCCTCTAGGAAGTGGAACAGCGTATTTGTGCTGTTTCTCATAGACCTAAAAATCACATTTTTACTTACATTCGCACACTTATTTTATTACAATATCCTATAATAATTTTGAACATACTTTGGCATACACTCTTATCCAGTTCGGTCCCAACTCTTCAAGCAAAGGTTGTGCTGCAATTTCATCTTCTGTCAATCGTTCATGATTAATAAATAAAATTGGACCTAACGTAAGTAAACTGGTCATCCAGTTTTTGTGAACAGTCAAACAGATCCTGCCATCTGTTACTTTCATGTATTTCGCTGGGGCCAGCAACTCTTTTTTTATTACATCCATTTTCTACCCCATCAGTTTATACCTGTAATTAAATATTTTATTACGTTTCTCTAATCTATATAAACAAAGAAATAAAAAAAGAAAATTTGTTTTCATGACTTTGACTAATTTCATTCCATGTATTAAATATCCGCTCAAAAACATCGTCCTTAATCTAAACAACACTCTCGGGTAGATTTGTTTCACGATCATGTTTACAATTGCTTGAAACGATTCCAACCATCCATGCAAAGATGTAAACTTGGACTACACGCAATTGGTTCATCGCGGATGGGTCAATTTTGTCTGACCAATCAAGAGTCTCGAGCTTCTCGTGCGTTCGTATTGATGGGAAGAGGATCGTTTCGATCAACTGTACTCTCCCATAGTTGCTCTCGGACAGTTGTCCAACCTGCTCTCGATAGCAACTTAAACGTCAACTTTCGAGCGAATACGCGTGTGACAGTTGCTCTCGAGAGAACAACTGAGTTACGAATAATCTTGGAATCGTAAATAACCGAAGCGAATAGAAATTACGAAATAACAAACAAATAGAGTAAAAACGTACCTTCTGAAAATACTCGGCCGATCGTCACTGCTTTGGAACCTTAATTAGCCATATAGTCTCTAACCACCCACCACTTCCCCCATCCTTCCGTCGCATGCTTCCCGCCAAATTCAAATATCCAATCTTCAATTTCTGAAATATAATTTTCTTTTACTAATTTCTAAGACACAAATAAAAGAAACTCTAACCGATGTATATAATTACTCTATTTCTAATATAAATCTATTTGCATCTAATTAATTTTCAAATTGTTGAAAGCGGTAACAAATAATTTTATAAACTGTGAAATGGCAAAGTACACATGGACGCGTGAAAAGACATTTCAGCTGATTCATCTGTATGAGAAGAATGCGCTGCTCTGGGATAAAAATTGCAAAGAGGGGTGCAGGAAGCGAGAGAAGAAGATTAAAATAATTTCTGATATAGCAAACAGGTTCAACACAACAATGGAAGAGATAAGTAGGAAACTGCACAATTTGAGGAATCAAGTGAGCCTAATAACAAGTACAACGAGTATGTTTATAGTTTTGTAGTGGTAACTTTGTTCCAGGTATCGCAAGAATTGAATAGAATGAAGAAGAAGAACAGCGAGAGTGGTACAGATGAGATACACACCAGCAATTGGCCTTACTTCTCGTCCTTGAAATTTTTAGTTCCAGGATTAACCAAACGATCACCTATCGAATATATGCCTACATCGAATATCATAAGTCATAATGTAATTTGGAAATTGTATATCACACATTGATAAGGGGTTTGAATTGAGTTAATAATGGATTAATTTAATGTATGCTTTAATGTATAATTGATTAATTTAGGATACCAATACCTTTGATAATATTCGATTCTGTATAATTTCCTGACTGATATTCACAAGTATCAATTTAATGGTTCCTACTAATTTTCAAGGGATTACAAGATCAAATATCAGGAGAAAAGGAGTCCAATCAATGTCCGTCTCATGAGCAGGAAGAAAGCAAAGAGAAAATAATAGAAATATCAGAGCAGAAGAAAGGAAAGAAGCGGACGAAATCGATAGACGAGGAGAATTATAAGGATGCTGTACAAATTTTGTCCAAAGAACCGGACGATTACGACACCTTCGGCGAGTATGTAGCTATGGAATTGAGAAGTTTACGATCAAACGAAAACAAAAGGCGGCTAAAAGCTGAAATTCGGAGGGCGATATGTCGTATAGCAGACATAGACGATGCCTCAATCTACACCTCCGGTGCATCGTCAAATTCATCACCGGTTACGTATCCATTGCCATCGCCATCAACGGCTACGTATTATATACCATAAACGACGTCGTACTTTAATTAAATGTTTCAATTAACTAAATTTGTCAATATTAAGTATTACCTTTCACGCGAATATTACGAAAACAAGAAAAGTTTTATTATTAAATCTTCTACTATGATACAATGTAGGAGTACACTAACAGCTTAGAGATATTAAATGTAAATGTTTACATCCAGTGTATCTCTAAGCTGTATTTAATTTTAATGTCATTAAGTTGTTGAACTTTGAAATACTAACCTAAAAAATTGATATAACACTTTTCATAACCTCGGATTGTAAATATTCACTAATTTAGACGAAAATGACTAAATGTACGGGTAATAATTCGATATTGTTTCCAATTACTACAATTTTTGTCGATTTTATCACTGCTCTAATCTCACCCAGTATAATATAGTAATGTTCGCTTAAATGTGCACAGTGCACGTGTTATCCCCTCCATTCTTACATTGACCCATGACATTGTTTATGGTCACATCGATAGACGACTGCATTTGTGTATGACGGTGGGAATTATTTACAGCTGGCTAATCCTTAGAATAAATCTCTTCACTTAAATGTTCGTGTTCGGTCCTAATCGTTGGATATTTAAGCGGACATCATTGTAATTCTAATCTATAAAATTCTGTTCTGACACTAAAATGTTAACAGAAAATTGAATTTTCTTAGGATGAAAATTTTCTTCTTTCCCCGATAGATGACAGCTGCAGACGACGGCTATATTTATTGCATCAAAAATGTTCGTATATCAGATAGTTCGCGCTGGTCGCGTCTATCGTTGTGTTCTCTTGTGACAGTAGAGTTGATCGTTGTACGTTGTACCCCATTATATTTATAGAGGTCGTGTTTGACATTCGTTTCACATTGTATACGAAGTCTATGTATTCTAAATTTCCTTGAACATTACATACGATGCATATACAACGAATATTCATATTTTTCACGTGACAGTTTCCAACGTAAAGAAATACTCATCGTCCATAGAAGAAATCTAAAACATTATTAAAGGTATTTAAAATGAAAATCAACCTAACCTTAAAACTATTATATGCGCGCGCCTCTGTGTGTTTGTGTGCGTGTTTGTATGTTAAAATTACAAACGAAATCCCCTACAAAAATTACGAGAATCAATTACAATTTAATCGAATTTTCAGATCCGATTCTCCAAAATGCGTAGTCGCAGTAATTCTGGCGTTCGTTTGGACTATTACCAACGAATAATCCACAAGATTATTATGAACCACCAGAACGCAGTCACTGGTCTATTCCCAGCCAGTCCTGGGAACAATCACGCGTGGGTTCGAGACAATGTGTACTGCATACTCGCTGTATGGGGCCTGTCGATGGCCTATAAGAAAATAGCAGATGCTGACGAAGATAGGGCAAAGACGTATGAACTGGAACAGAGTTGCGTGAAGTTGATGCGGGGTTTGTTGATGGCAATGTTGCAACAAAAACAGAAGGTCGAGGACTTCAAGACCTCTCAGAATCCGCACGACGCTTTGCATGCCAAGTATAGTAGCGTCAATGGACAGACTGTTGTAGGTGACACGGAGTGGGGTCATCTCCAAATCGATGCAATCTCTCTTTATCTACTGATTCTCGCACAGATGACTGCATCTGGATTGCAGATCGTTTTTAATTTGGACGAGGTATATATAAATTACATAGAATATATAAAATTTATGCGTTTTGTCCTTCTACGGAGCTCAATACTTTCTGTGAAATATTCTTTGGTTTCGTATTACAGTAATAACGACTTAAAATTAAAATCTGCACTGATAATAATAGTCTGATGCTTTGGTAACTTTAAATATTCATCATTGCGCAGCAATATAGTGTAGAAGTTTTGTTACTCGTATGGCCCAGCCGTTACAAACTTTCAAGCATCCAGTAGTCAAGAAAGTGGCAGTAATAAATGAATGTGTAATTAAACTTCTCCAAAATTAATTAATGCAACAGTTTAACATTTTGTTTAGCAATTTGTTATTTCGAATAAGATTTCTAGAACTCTGATTCTATGGAAACTTTGTTTTCAAGGCAAAGACAGTGTAAAAATTTCTTTACGAGCCTTGTAAAGGATGAAATGTAGATCTTTTAAGCTTCATATACAATTCCATTTTTTAATAGAACAAATAGAAAATTGTAACACTTCTCTTCAGGTAGCTTTCATTCAGAATTTAGTATTTTATATTGAATCTGCCTACTGTACACCAGATTATGGTATCTGGGAAAGAGGTGATAAAACAAACCACGGTTTGCCAGAATTGAATGCCAGTAGTATTGGAATGGCAAAAGCTGCGATGGAAGCTATGAACGAATTGGACTTGTTCGGTGCACGAGGAGGCCCAACGTCAGTGATTCACATACTGGCAGACGAGGCACAAAAATGTCAAGCAGTTTTGCAATCTATGTTGCCGAGGGAATCGAACTCAAAAGAGTTGGACAGTGGTTTGTTGTCTGTTATAAGTTTTCCAGCGTTTGCTGTCGATGAACCAAATTTGATTCAATTGACGAGGGACACAATAACTAAAAAATTGCAAGGACGTTACGGGTGTAAAAGATTTCTAAGAGATGGGTACAAAACACCTAAAGAGGATCCAAACAGGTAAAAAGAGATGATATAAAAATGATTATTAAAGACGATGTTAATATTCAGTCATATGTTTGTTATGTTATAAAATAGACTCTATTACGAACCATGGGAATTGCGTATGTTCGAAAATATAGAATGCGAATGGCCGTTGTTTTTTTGTTACTTAATCGTGGACTATTGTTTCCAAGGAAATAAGGATCTAGTTGTAGAGTACACAAAACAGTTAGAGGAAATAATGATCAAAGCCGACGATGGTGTGAAATTGGTGCCTGAATTGTATTCCGTGGAGGCTGAAAATGTATCAGCAGAATACGCCGAACCAGGTAGTCAGAAACGAATTGCGTTAGGCAGATGTCCGTTTATGTGGGCTCAATCTCTTTATATATTGGGGAAACTATTACAAGAAGTAAGTACGAGAATGAGAAGGGGAGGGAGGGATTTCAGACAGTAGTTAACTGAAAGCATTGCAATGCTTAGACTTATGGTTAAATGGAATGATCAAACTGAGAAATCTCAAGATTGCATTAGTAAGATTAGAAAATGATTGAACCTAAGCATTGGAATTCTTTCCTATTTTAATATACTTCAAGTATCGTCCTTCCACGAGAAGAAGGCACAGCGTGTGTTTACATCCCCACTTTTGCTGCAGACGCTGACTCACAGATATTGGTCGAAAACAGTGACGAAGATCGGTGGCAGCCAATCACCGATTGGTTAGTGACAACTTGACTGATTGGTAAACCATTAAAATTGACTCCCTCGAGAATATCTTTGAAATCGCTGATGATACTACAAAATGTTTTGGACTAATAGTTCAAGAATTATAACAGTCTAAAGTGAAATAATTTAGTAAATTTTAAAGTGTTATAACTCTTGAACTATTAGGTTTGGGGCATAAGTATCGTCCTTCCACGAGAAAAAGACACATCGTGTTTACATCCCACTCTTGCTGCAGTCCGCTGATTGGCTGTCACCGATCTTCGTCACTGTTTTTGACCAATACCTTTTCTTTTTTCTTTTTTTTTTTCTGTACGCGAGGAAATACTCACGGACACCCGCGGGCTCGCTCATCCTCAGGCGCCTGGCGAGTAGTGATGGACATTCGTGAGAATTTTGGACATGCGCACTAGAATTTTCCCTCGTGGGATTCCTTTTTGCGCATGCGTTAGCTTTCTACCATAGATATATCTTTAGCGCAAAAAGAGGTGGATGTTGGGGATTTCCATGTCTCCCATTCTCGCCAATCGCACAAAACTTAACTTATCGAAGATCTCCTATGTATTTCTCTAGCTATACTCATGTTGATTAAGAGGAAATTTTTTGTTTTTGTCTCTTTCCCTGTAACTTCCTTAAATTTTGTTCATTACTGGGATCCAACGTTACCCTAAATTCTAGTTAAGTGTATGCGGCAGTGATCATGCATTACAGTGCGCATGACCAAAATTCCCACGAATGTCCATTACTGAACTCAACGTCCCTAAATAGGGGGGGCCTCGGGGTAGTGCCGGACTCTTACCGGCTAAAACCTCACGGTGACCATCTTCCGGCGCTGTGGCGGGGGACCGAGAACTCTAATGAGGCGTCACAGAGTCCCCCGCTGCGCCATGCCTGTCGAGGCTCATCCCTGGAGGAAGGATGCGTGTCCTTTCCCCCCTGATTTCTCCGCCGCGGTCACTCAACGCCCGCGGCCCCAGGGCCCCTGGCACCGAGCACCTGCAACACCCAGGGGCGGCCCGTCCATCCGTCGGCCATCGACATGGTGGCCGGAGATAAAAGCTGACGGGTCGTCCCACCTCTTGGAGGTCCATCAGGACCTCAGGGCTATTGTAGGTAGCCAGGAGGCGAAGGTTGCCTAGCCCTGGCCCCCCTCCGAGCGGGAGCGCGAGTGGGCGACATAACTACCTCGCAGAAGGAGGCCACCACTTGCCATGTCCTCTCGCTGGCCACCATCTTGCCAACTACTGTGGCCAGCGAGAGGTTCCTTCCAACTTTCTGCTCCAGGACACGGCGCTCATCTGCCCACGCTAGGCAGGCTTCCAGCGTGTGCTGTGCCGTGTCCCGAGGGTCTCCACAATGGTAGCACATCGTCGTCGCCTCCTTCCCGATTCGACACAGGTACTCATCAAAGCAACCATGCCCGGTGAGCACCTGTGTCATCCTGTAGGACAGCCTACCCGGTTTGTCCTGCCACTCTTGCCAATGTGGCAGGACTGTATCATCTGACCGTTGTGTGGCTCCACCAACTTGAATGAATTGGTGTAACCACATAAACAAAACGGTCCGTTGGGCACGGCGTCTCGTCGTTTCGACCACTTGCCTCCTCACCTCTAGCAGTCTCCCGGCCTCTTGGAGCTCCCTGAAGTGCCGGAAAACCAACTGGTTTCTCCAGGCTAGGAGCTCCAGGGGCGGGAGACACGCCAGGGTAGTCGCCGCCTCGTGGGAGATGGTGCGATACCCTCTAACAACCCGGATGGTCAGCCGACGGTTGACGCGCCGGCTGGAATCCAGGTCCGGGGACCAAACTGGGGCCCCGTAGAGGGCATTTGAACGCCCCACCTCTACGTAGAGGCGGCGGACTCCAACAAGGCGACCTAGAGGAACAGCTACCTTCTCCGCCCGAGAGGCCAAGCGGTCGAAGCTGACTGCAACAGGAGCGGGGATGTAAACACGCTGTGCCTTCCTCTCGTGGAAGCACGGTACAATAAACACTGTTAAATAATTTTCTGATTTCATTAATATAATCTCGACACTTCCCCCTTTGTATAGAATTCGCTATCATTAAAGAACCCATAAATTCAAGCACTGGAATGTTTTGGTTAAATACTAGTTTATAGAATGAAGGATAATTAAAATTTCTCACAATACCAGGGTTTCCTCGCCGTGGGAGAACTAGACCCATTAAACAGACGTCTGTGCAGCGAGAAGAAACCAGACGTAGTCGTGCAAGTAGTTATCCTCGCTGAGGATGCAGAAATCAGAGAAAAGATAGCTCAACATGACATTCATGTTCAAACGATTGCAGAAGTCGCTCCGATAGAAGTTCAGCCTGCAAAAGTGCTTAGTCATTTATATACTTATTTAGGTATCGTATGTTCCAACGACAAAAAACTTCTATCTCGTTTCTTCTTTCCGCAATATCTTTGTTTCTTTTTTTTTAGGTAGAAACAAGAAATTAGGTTTGTCAGGACGTAAATCAAGAGACGTTGGAATCCTGAGCACCAGTAAATTGTATTCATTGAACGATAAGATATTCGCATTCACTCCCCAGGTAAGTATTCTGTATAATTAGTAGAACTCGTTAGCTCTTCTGTACTTTGGTTTCTTTTCTTACGTTGCGTCTTGTTCTTGCATCGAACATTAGTTGACCGACATGACCCGCTTCTACATCGCATCGGACTATGAGCTCATGATTGACATATTCAAAGGCGAAATTAATTTCTTGAAGTCTAGCTGGCAGAACATGTTAGGCCGTCCCCTCGTGGTCATGCCTCTCAAGAACATTCACCTAGGTACAGTAACGTTTGAAAACCATAATTTTCATCTGTGTTACTTCTCCCTCGTAATCTTGCATGCAGAGATTAACTATATTTGGTTTCAGAGTAACACGGATAAGGTATATGGTTTTTAAATATAGACGTTTCATTTTCTTCCGGAGTCATCGTGTGAAATGAGAAAAGAAAAACAAAAAAAAAAACCATCTAACATGTCTGCCTGCGATGCATGCGTCTTGTCCTTTATAAAGTTTTGCTTTTCTGCTAGGAATGGTCTTTACAAAGTTCGAAACTAGGCTCTTCGCTGGTTATTAATATCGGTCACGAGTGAAATTAGTTATAGAATTGGTTCACATAAAAGGTACGGTGCCGTTTAAAAGCCATAATTTTTTATCGGTGTTACTTCTCCCCCTTTTCTAGTAACACGGATAAGGTATATGGTTTTTAAATACAGATATTTCGTTTCCTTTCGGAGCAATTGTGCAAAATGAGAAAAGAAAAATAGAAAAAATCATCTAACATGTTTGCCTATGGTACATGTGTCCTGTTTTATACAAAAGTTTTGTTTATCAGCTAGGAAATTTGAAATCAGGCTCTTCGCTGGTTGTTAATATCGATTATAAGTAAAATTAATTAAAGAAAAGTTTTAAATGAGATTGTTTCTCTTCGAAGGCAATTAGTAATAACAGTGTGAAGAGATAAAGCTTACGTTTGCGGCGGTGTGGCGTTTGTTGCATGTCTTAGAACTTTGACGCGGAGGAGTACTACACAACAAATGATGCAGCCCTCCTTGCCAACACTTTCACGACCAACTTGGCCTTCCTCACCATCAACTGGAAGCAAATGCTGGGCAGGCCAACCATAACACTTCTCGCTACTCATAATCATTTAGGTACTTACCAGAAAATACTAAGAAGCTGGATACAGAAGGCTCTTAGAAATTTAAAATCGTTTTTAAAAATGACTTGAAACAGTGTAACACTTGAAAACGGTTTTAAATGTATTATACTTGTTCGAGCCGTCTTTAGATTCGAATATATGCTCCGAATAGGATCAAGAGCATAAAAAATTCCTAATATTCGAGTATCAAAATCTAAAAGACCCAAAACACCTATCGAAAACTAGAGCATCATAGGAATAAATTAGAAAACCGTGCTTTTTGTGTGACATTAGAAAAGCTTAGAGTAAATTAATTACTATTGTACAAATGTTATTATCGTTCTAGATCAAGGAAAGATACCGTTGGCGATGATAACAACAATGAAAAAATTGAAGAGTGGTTACATTAATGGCACTAGAGTTTCGTTGGGGAATCTGAACGACTTTCTGACCACTTCCTGCATCACAAACTTAAGTTTCCTGGGGAGCTCCGAGGATGGTAGACCAGACAAATTAAACCCTCAGGTAAATTAACTCTTAAAGATTTGAGAGAATATAAGTCAATGAGGAGCAAGATTGAATGGATAGTGGAAAATGTCGGCAGAACTATACAGTGGCTTACAATGAAAATCGTCCATCACATTCGCTTTCTTAATTTTGGCCAAAATATGCATTATATGACCATGAGATTTTTGTAATTAACGTAATAATGTTTCATCTCTATTGTTACTTGTTTCCATATAAAAAGAAACCCAAATATTAGCAAATATATGAAGCAACATAAATAGTGACATCTATGAAATTTGACTTACACTAAAAATCGTCCATCTATAATATTCGGGGATTCCCCTAACATATGTGTGTTCAACTGTTTTTCACATTTTTTCGCTGAGGAAGCACTAGATGAGCATAGTTTTATCACACTATTTAATTAATTTATTGATTTGGAAAAATTAAATCTCAAAGAAAATAAACAACAATGGAGATACGACAATTAGTAATTTTCCATTATAATGAAGGTAAATCTCAACCTGAAATTGCACGAATTATAAGTAGAAGTCGTATTTCGGTAGAATACATTCTTAAGATATAAAAGTGAAAGCCGCATATCAAACAAATTAAAAAATAAGAAGAAGATTTTGAACGATCATGATGAGCGATATGTTTTGCGACAAATTAAAAAAAATCCCAGGAAAAGTGCCCCAGAAATAGCTACAGATGTTGAAATACATTTAAATAAAAAGGTGCACCCAGAAAATATTCGTAGAATACTATGGAAAAATAATTGTCATGGTCGAGTAGCAAGAAGAAAGCCGTACATCAGTGCAAAGAACAAATTTAAAAGAATCGAATTCGCTCGGAAGTACATTAATCGAGGCTTTTATCACATTTTCGATTCAGGTGGGAGGGTCACAGTATGGAGGAAACCAAACACAGAATTAAGTGCAAAGAATATCACCCCTACAGTTAAAAAAGGCCTAAATACCACCTAAATTTTCCATTCATTAAATATTGAATTATTCCATCGATTCAATCTTATACCTCGCTGTGTATAATATAATTTCATTATATAGTTTTCATTGAATTTTGATTAGGTCCAGCAATATCTCGAGGAACATTTAATGCGAGCGTTTCCACATCGCACTGGCTTGCTTAATAGGCCAGTCGTTCGCAGTGGGATAAATTTGAAGCGCAGAATGTCTGTCAAAGGTGCTATAAAGAAAACGAGATCAATCGCTGTGGAACGTGAGTTGTATTCTATTTACGATAATAATATTAGAAAAGATTTATGTCTCTAATGTTCTGATTGCACGTTAAATGTTCCTACCATCCTCGAAAAGCCGTAAGTGTACTAACAAACGTTAATAACTGTGTAATAACATAACAAAAAAGATTAACAATCGTTTTAAAATAATGTCACAAGTATAGTAACACAATTGTGTGATGTCTTTGTAAAATAATTGATCGCGAACAAACTGTATACTTTGTAGCTGAGATTCTTGGGATGGCAGGAGAGGAGCGAAGGCCTTCTGCTATTTTAAACACAAACCCATTTATAGAAGTCACAGATACAACGTTAAGTCCTAATTCTACGCAGCCAGCTCCCGTTGCTCGTACACCGTCACCCACAGATGATATACTGTCCTGGACAAATTGTCCTAAGCTTCACAGACACAGAGGCATAGAAACTCAATACGCAGACACTGAAGTCGAAGAATTACTGTCTATGCTCAGGGAAACAGAGAGCTTGGAAGAGCAAGGAGATATTTTGCAGTATCTCGTAAGTTATTAATATAATAATATTAATAATATAATAACTGAATATATCCAACTATAAATCCAACTTTAGGTGGATTCGCAAGGCCTGTATTTTAACACGGGCATGTTGGAGGAAGGTCATCCGATTCTCATAAAAGATTTGCTGAAAGACCTGTACGAAAAGGCTTGCCAGCAGAAAATGTGGGGAATTGTACGCCACACTGCTGGGATGTTAGGTAAACGAGTCGAAGACTTAGCCAAAGCAGTCACTGATTTGCTGGTTCGTCAGAAACAAGTCACCGTTGGAATGCCACCTACCAATGAGCACACTATAATTGCTCCGTTGCCAGAAAATGAGCTACGAGTGTTGATTCATCAGGCTTACGGGGACGACGAATCCACTGCCATGCTGACGCAGGAGTTGTTAGTTTACTTAGCAATGTTCATCAGAACGGAACCGCAATTATTCCTCGAAATGCTCAGACTGCGAGTGGGTTTGATCATCCAAGTGATGGCCACTGAACTATCGAGGACTTTAATTTGCACCGGAGAAGAAGCTTCAGAACATTTGCTGAATCTTTCTCCATTCGAAATGAAAAATCTTTTGCATCACATAATGAGTGGAAAGGAGTTCGCCATCAGCAGCGGTGCGTTTTACTTTTTTTACAATTTTCTATAGCGATCGAAGCATTCATAACTGTGATAACGGAGTGTAATTTATCTTCATTTTCAGTCGGTCGAGGTAACTTCTCCGTCATCAGTTGCAAATCGAGCAGAGTCAGTAAGGTAATGCACTAATTAATAAGATGATTGCTATTAATTTCTTATTGTTTTGCTTGATCGTAGTTTTATTTTCTTTTAGAAATCACAAATCGGAGGATTTTTGAGTCCTGATCAAACGGATGGGAACGAAGCGGAACCAGACCGACAAGGTCAATGGTTACGAAGGCGAAGATTGGATGGAGCATTGAACAGAGTGCCACGAGACTTTTACCCACGAGTATGGCAAGTACTCGAACGGGTAAATATCAAATTGTTTAAGAGAAAGTTGTACCAAGTCGTTCGATCGATTAAGAGGTTTGTGTTTGATAGTGCCAAGGTTTAGCAATCGAGGGCAGAGTATTGCCTCAGAACCTTACACAGGAAATGACACCCGGGGAATTAAAGTTTGCGTTAGCCGTAGAAACTGTTTTGAATACTATACCGCAACCAGAGTATCGTCAGCTGATAGTCGAAGCTTTAATGGTGCTGACTTTAGTAACAGAATATAATGTCGTCGCATCTTTCGGTGAAGTCATCACAGTCGAAGAGTTGGTTCACAAGGCGAATACTATCTTTTTAGATGATCAGGTATTTCTTTCTTTTCTAACAAAAGATTTAAAAAATATGTCTAACGTACATTAATGAGGTGCACAACTATAGCATTGGCTAAATTTTTCTATATTTTTACTTGTATTTTATTCAAAATGACCCAGATGAAAGTTGATGGCGATGCTACGTTATGCTGTGCAAAACCGAAAGATCAACGAGAAACCACAGCAATGGGGAATCTTCTTTGCGGAGGAGCTGCATACGTTTGTCAACATTTCTATGATAGTGCTCCTAGTGGTAGTTTTGGAACAATGACGTACATCACACGAGCCATAGCATCGTCATTAAATTGTTTACCAAAAGATGGCAACATGGAGTGTTCGATAACGTAGTTAATTTTCTAGGAAAGAAAAAAATAGTAAATTATATATTCATAGGAATCTTTTCCCAGTAATTGTGTAGATTTTGTGTGAAGTATAACAATGAACACCAGTTCAATAAATCAACTCCGTTGTGGAATAGAAAATCTGGTAATTAAAAATTAAATGTTAATCGAGAAATATTTCTGAACAATTTTCTAATTTTTTGGAATGAAATATTTCTGAACAATTCCCTAATTTTCTATACCGAAAAGTTACCAATCTTTCTAAAGCATTAAATATAAAGAAAAATAGCAATGAACTCAATACAGAATTTAATTTCCTTATTTTCTTTATTTATGTAGAACGATCACAAATCTATTTATATTTTTATTGTTCGGTTTACGAGTTTTTGGAAAATAGATTCAGCTTTGACATCCACGACGATTGGCTGCAACAATAATTTCGAATTACATTTTATCCGCGTAGTCATTATGAATCGTTGAATAAAGAATGATTCACACATACCTATCTGTTGAGGAAACATTTATATCTCCTCCCTCTTTAAGTTTTGATATTAACTCGGATCTGTAGGCAATTTTCAAAGGCTGTGGTTGACTGACGTCTTCTTTTTGTTTTATCCATTTCTTGCAGGCTTCCTTATACGTTAAACCATACCATTCAATTTCTTCTCGCGTGTACTGGAAAGTATAATAATTGTTCGTTATTATTTCCTGGTAGATTAAGAAAAAATGTTTACTGAGAACACAGGAAATGTTATTAATTTTGTAGTTACAAAAGGTTTCCCCACTTGCATTCCTTACGATACTAAAAGATCTACATATGTAGAATATCATCTCACCGCAGTTATATACTCCTTATATTTGTTATAAATCTCTTCCCTTTTATCTGGATCAGTTGGATACAAAGTTTTGTCTATCAGTGCTAAAAGTATTTGTCGTTTTATCTTTAATGCAAGTTCTGATCTCAAATCGCACGCAGGAGTCTATATAAACAGTAAAGAACAAACACTTTAATAGCAAAAAATAACATATTTGAATTTTTGTATTAACAGCACTGTCTACCTTTAATAAGTAGTGATCAAAACCATAATGTTCGTGTATCAAATTGATAGTTCTATTGGTGACAACAACACTCATGTGTTTGTCTAAAACTTCACTATACACTACAGACTTCTTTAACGAAGGAAACCAGAAATGTGGATATCTACGTTGTTTATTGCCTTTCTTTTGAAAACCTTGTATCACTGCCTCACCACCCCATATTCCTTGATTTAATTCTATAGGGTACTTCAATGGTATTGGAATATTTTGTACCGGAGACCTAGAGGTTAACAGAATTTGATATAGAACTGATAGAAATAGATAGACTTAAGAAAATTTTACAGTAATCAATGATTAATGAATACGTAAAGAAAGGAATTTAAATGAAATATATATTAATTGATCATTTACACAATTTCTGTTTCTTCGTTTTGGATATATTTGCCTTCCTGTTTGATATAATGGACAGCTGTTGGTTCTTGTAATTTCCATTCTCTCCAGAATTTTTTATACTCTTCTGGTAATTCTGCCCCAATCCCTTTGGTCCATCGTGTTATTTTTGGTATGTAATACAAACGCTAAAATTTACTTTCAATTAATTTTCATTCTAAACAAATATGTTTATTTTGTGTCCTTATAGATTATAAATTTCGGTATTACAAATTTCATTCTATATAAATACAAATACGAATAATTAAAAGTATATATACACATGTATCCAGAAAATACGGACTGTTAACAAATCAGAAAATACGTTATTCGTTTTAGGTTAATTTTTGTAAGAATTTCTTTTTTAATGAAAAGTAATACATTACCTGACCAAAATGTTTGACCGACATTGTAGGTCTCTAAATTGTAAAATTTCTACAAAATAGTACTTTTTACACGTTAAATTTAAACATTTGTATATGTTATCTATTCCTGCTCGATAATAGTAGTTTTGGATCGTTTCATTGGCATGAAGTAATGCTAAATAACAGTATGTATCGATTGCTTCTATTCGTCGTTTCTGTTGTGTATAGCACAAAAGACCATAAGAATTAAGTGAAACAACTTCTATAATTCACTGTACATTCGTAAACATTGTAAGTTATCATAATTTATATTTTATTTATATTTAATATAAAAATAGTATTAATTTGACAATGTTCAATTGTAAATTGTTTGTTGTAAAAAAAACTTCTAGAGGTGTGTAAATTATTATATTCGTATTATAAAAAATAAGTAATAACAGTTTTTTTTATAAATAACGTTTTATTAAAAATCTTAACATTTTTTCTTTACATGGTGTTATGTCGTGATTGGCGAAAAGGATTTCTCTAGACTTACTTGGTTTGATTTTCCTCCGGAGGCGGCGCTGCAATCGGCTGGTGGATTTCCACGTTGCGCTGTCGTCGTGGATCGCCTTTTGGAATGTTGTCGCGACTCGCGGTTAGGGCATTGCCACAGCCGACTCTAGTACTAGCCGTGCTGAAGGTAAAATGGCAACACCGCGGGAGTCCGGCTTCGATATACCTAGCCCAACCTACCGTAACAGCCTCCCACTACCCACCGGCACCTGGGCTACATAGGCTACATCTACCGGCCTTCCAGTCTCCCGCCTATCTTTCAAATTTTTCAAATATTAATGTACCGAAGTCCATTAAATGTGAGCAACGGAGCAATAATTCAGGTGTTTCATTTATTTATATTAACTCTACAGATCCTGATTTTGGTGTGTAGCACACTTATTTAATATAATTTATAGCATTTTTGGACATTTTGTTTTATATACATTTTTTTTATAAATTTCACATATTCATTAATAATGCCACGGCGTTGCTGTGTTCCCAATTGCAAGGGAAATTATGATAGTACCTTAAAAGATAATAATTACAATTCTATATTTTTATTCCCCAAAGATGAGGAATTGCGGGAGAAATGGAGGGTTGCTATTCCTCGTAAGAATTGGACACCATCAAAATATTCTGCCGTCTGTAGTTTGCATTTTGCAGAAACTGATATTGAAAGGTACCACGGCATTCTATCGCCCAATGGTGTACTGGAGAATGTTTTGTTGAGATGTCCAAGGCTTATAAGGAATGTAGTACCCTCCATTTTACAACCGAAAAATTAGAAAAAACGATTTGGAAATTATAGACTTTTATCTGGTTGTAATTATCATGTGTCATATAACGAAATAATTCATGCAGAAAAAAAAATTAGATTAAAACATATATTTACAAAATCGGCAAATTCGTTTTCTCTTACTGAAATCAAAAATAAATTTCGAATTTGTGATGACAATAATAACGATCTTCATGATCTTCCCACTGATGTGACTTGTTTCTCAGGAATCTTCGATACCGAATACTTGTCCGATTGTGTTGTAGATGATTCCATTAAAATTTATATTTCTGGTTATGGGTCCCATTCTGTTGCTAAAAAATTAAATTGCAATATATGTCGTTTATTAGTTGTGGAGGATAAAGGTAAAACTGTAGGCGATGTATATTTTGATCACTTACAAAGAGTGGGCCTTTCTGTCCCCACTGAAGAAGCGATAGCCTCATTTATTCATATGTATGCAATAATGGAAGCCATAATAAATGATGGCAATTTAGAATCTCAATTTTTGCAATCTGGAATCATAAACATATTTTATGTAAATTAACATATGTCGGAATCCAATAAAAAGCTTCTGCTCTAATTGAATGTTACTTCACGTTGTGTAAATAAAGTTATGTTGGCTCTAATCGATACTTAAATTCAATCGATGCAAGGAATGCCATCGGTAACGCAAACGAGCGTCAGGTTGGCGTTGACGTTTGGATGTGGCCTTTGAAGGTAGTCGAGTTGGTTGTCTGGTTACCGAAACGTTTGAAAAAAGAAGTATTCGAAAAGAAAAGAACAGAACTGAAACGGTTGCCAGACTATAAAGACGTGCGGTAAAGAAATAGAAAAAGAGATTCCCTGTAAAGGACTCATTCGTAATCGTTGTGCATTCTTTTGTGTTGTTTAAAAGTGTTTGAGTTATAGTTTCAGTTTGTTTAATTAGTTTCGTTGAAAGTTTTAAGAGTAATAGAAATGCGTAGATCTTCAAGACAAAGGCTTGGTCGCCCGAGAGGACCTAATATGAGTCGCCCAGAGGGAATGGTCAGAGAGACGGCTGTTCCTACACATATATTAGCATTCAATCAGACATACATTATTTAGCATTTTCAGATACATGCGTTTGTGGTCGAGCTTACCAAAGTATTTGGTTTAAATTATTATCAATTTTTTCAAATATTTTATTAAACGATTATGTGAAAACTGTAAATAATAGTCAGTTGGAAACACGTACAGACATCACTTCTAAAAATCGTAAATTAAAAACTTTTAATAGGAACTAGATTTTCAATGATTTTTTTTAATTTCATCTTTCTTAAAACATTAATTTTTATATATATTTAACTTATTCCTTTCAATATGCTTTAATACATTAATAGAGTTTTATTTACTTGCTTAGTATATTTTTATTATGAATACTATTTCACAAGATTCAAAGTTTTATTAGTTGTATTTCAAGAGAATTTCAAAGTATGTTTTGATATGTTTTGTTATTAATATTATTCAAAATTATTTATTATTATTTCAAAATGTAATACTTTATTTCTTTAAGAATACAAAAGTTATGTTTTTGTTATGTTCTATTTAAAAATATTAATTTTATTTTAGAAAATGGGATGATATGGCTATTGGCGAACCACCCATTATAAAAAAAAAAAAAGGTAACGCGCCATGGTAAATACCCCTAGGGTGGTGAGGAAATTTTTCACAATTATCATACTGTCCTCTAACACGATTTTATAATTAACTCCATAATTGTTCCTTTTAATAGCTAATTATGCTAACCTCTTTTCCACGGGCACTTAACCTGTTTGGCTTCGTACCAATAATTTTGCCTATTTCAGGTCTCTATTAACTTATACATACCTTTATCAATTTTTAAATCCTTTAGTTTGGTTCAAAGATGGTTTTAACTTGTTTCACACTTCTATTTTCTTGAAATCTCTGTAAATATTTCAAATATAATGCATCACAACACCAAACTATTCCGACAGTCCACAAAATATATACCACATTTATAAATATTAATATACTTCTGTATTACTTCTACTTATTATAGTTATGATATTCATATATTCCTTATACATAATTAATAAAAAATACTGTATATTAGTATAATTTTATATCGCAAAATAACGTTAATTATAATCCTGAACACAAAACTCCACTATTGAAAATAGGACTCCCGATCCGCACATGAGCGGTGTTGCCACGTTCCATAGCACGGCTAGTTGTACTTACTAGAGTCGGCTGTGAGTAGCGCGCGTCGGCGGGCTTGTTGTCCACGATCAGTAACTTACGTCTCAGACCAGAGATGCCAGAAAAGTACCGCCGGGTGCACACGCACACATGCCAGATACGCGTACGTGAGCTCGTGGAGTTTCGGAAAGTCGACAAAGGCAAACTGACGCATGCCCTCTTTCTCGATTCTCCGAAGCTGCCCGAAGTAATTTCGGATCGCCTCGTGGGAGTCGAGAGAGAAAGGCTCACATTTGCCTTCTCGCTCTAAACAACTGAAATCCGACCTCCCGTCAACGGCATACGATTTGGATTCTCGAGCCGAGATTCTCGACTGCCCAGGCATTTTTACTTTCCGACCTATGTAGGCGCACATAAGCAAAGTACCCATAATGAAAAAAAAATTTTGTAAAATTTATTTTACGGAAATACACGTTTTAAGACCTCCTGATCATATTTTAATTATTGAAAAAAAAGACATTTTTTTTTATTCCCATGTATGAGCACACATATGTATATTATTAATACGATTTTTGAAAATCAAAATACTTTAAGATTGAAAATTAATAAATTAAAATGAGATTCCACTCTTTACCAGTATTGTGCACGCTGTGGTATTTTTCAATAAGAAGAGTTCTTACTTTTATAACATAAACAAAACAGTAGAATTAATAATTGCAGAAATTAATTAATAATGATTTTCCTCGATTGTTTTGAAATAACCGTATCAATTGGTTATGACGAACTAAATAGAACTAACTAGAAACAAAGGAAAAGTGATCCCGTTTGCCAGATTAATACAAAGTATGGGTTGTATCTTAAATTTTAAAAGCACATAGTCGAATATTTTTAAAGGTATAAAACATAGCGTTTCATTGTAGAACAGTAACATAAGTTAGCAGGTAATGTCATAAAACTGTTTTTTCCCAGCTATATCCCTTTTTACCTGAAGTATAAGGTAAAAAGTACGAGCTACAAGGTACGACTATCCGAAAATCGTTCACATTTTATCAATGTAAATGAAGCGGCCTTTCCATCAGAGTTAAATACAAAATTTTGTAATTTCTGTGAAAACAAAACTTTCAGTAAATGTACGTGGTGCTTGAAATTTTTATGTTTTGACTGTTTTTGTGAAAAGTACCATCCAGATTCATGTACTTCGTACATTGTAAATAACATATGTTAAATGTAATCGATTAAATTTAACTTTAAAAAAAAATATTCGAAGGTCAGACAAAAATGTAATGTCATATTTAGTGTACGATTAAAGTATGATTGAAAAAATAAAAAAAAAAAGTTCAAGCAGGGTTCGAACCAGCAGAGCAGAAGAAGTTCGGAACTTGCAGGCAAAGACCTCATCACTCACGGCACGCTGATTAGTGATGAACATAGTTCTATTTCTGAAAATAAGTACCTGTAATAACTTTAATAATATCTCAAAGTAAAACCTAACCCAAAACCTGGTACCATTCCAACTTTTCCTTGTTAGAAACGAGTTTTCAATTTGTCTTAGCGAAAATCGCAATCACATTTTGCACATTATTCTAAAACATTTGTGGTATTCGTTTTCAATGCGATTTAAGTAAGCATGTAATGTATAAGATTTCATTTAATGTTTTCTTTTCTAGAGAAGATAGAGAAAAAGTTTATATAATTTTTTTTATATAAAATTTAATTCGTCCTAAGATTTATATGAAACATTTAAAAGATTTTTTATACATTATGCCTATATATCGGAACAACTATGAAACAAGAGGTATAATCTGTAAGGAGTGTATGTGTGTGGCTAGGAGAACCGTTATCGTTTGCGTCGATAGGAGTGTTTAGTCTAAGCTAGAGTAGGTATCGAGTGAGGTGTTTAGGTTTAAGCTGAAATACGTTTTAGAGACTGCGTCTCGAACGTGCGTTTTGTTTAGATCATTATTATAAAATAGGAATAAGGAAGGGTCGACTTTGACTGCAGGAACGTCACTCTGTATCGAACGTTAGTCGAGAGCAATCACAGTTTTACGATTATGATCTTTTACGTTTACGTTTTATGTCTTTCTTTTATGTTCTTTATGTTAAATAGTTAGTAAATATTAAATAATATAATTACATCGTTACGTTTAGTGTTCACGTATTTGAATCCGTCCACACGCCTTTGAAATGAGAACATAAAACTTAAATGTAAAGTTTCATTTAGATTCATTCAGCTATTTATATTCAATCGTATTAATAATATACATATGTGTGCTCATATATGGGAATAAAAAAAATTTCTTTTTTTTCAATAATTAAAATATGATCAGGAGGTCTTAAAACGTGTATTTCCGTAAAATAAATTTTACAAAATTTTTTTTTCATTATGGGTACTTTGCTTATGTGCGCCTACATAGGTCGGAAAGTAAAAATGCCTGGGCAGTCGAGAATCTCGGCTCGAGAATCCAAATCGTATGCCGTTGACGGGAGGTCGGATTTCAGTTGTTTAGAGCGAGAAGGCAAATGTGAACCTTTCTCTCTCGACTCCCACGAGGCGATCCGAAATTACTTCGGGCAGCTTCGGAGAATCGAGAAAGAGGGCATGCGTCAGTTTGCCTTTGTCGACTTTCCGAAACTCCACGAGCTCACGTACGCGTATCTGGCATGTGTGCGTGTGCACCCGGCGGTGCTTTTCTGGCATCTCTGCATATATCGTAACGTGAAACTGTACAGTGAAATTACTAGAGTATTAGCGGTCGGTATTGCCACAATAAGGGACCAAGGGACGTTCAGAATCAGTGGTAACGCGTACAGCGCTCGAAATACGGACTTCATTGTTTGAGTATCGCACCATCCTTTACACTTCGTCGCAATGCGTTCGTTCAGGTGATTAATGTTTGTCTAAACAAATCGTAAGTCAACTCGACGAATTATCAATCACAGTAGAATTATCGTTGCCGATCGTGTAGGATTCAAAATGAGCCGAGATTGAAAAAGATATCTCTATTAACCGAAACCCTTCGACCAGTGTGTAATCCATAATTGATTTTCGTGGGCGCCAAACTTTATAATAACGTTCAAACTTCATTTCCCGATAGATTAATTCGATCGTTGCCGATTCTTTGTGATAAATTTTACGGTTTATGTTTTTTTAGGGAATCCGAGGAATATTTGAAAGCGTTCAATAGAAAATGTTCGTAAAACTCGAACGATGGTCGCCACGGACTCTCAGGACGTCATTTTAGAGGCATATGGTGAGTCTTTGATTTTATTCTGTCCAATGTACAAAATATACTCATTTTTTAAATCATAATTTGACACTACACTCCGTGAACAAAAATGAAATCAAAATGTCTGAAATTTACTTTGTTAAGGAATCATAACAAAAATGAGAAAAATATCACTCCCTTGGTTCAATTAAGAATGATAGCAGATATGAAATAATTAGGATATGTTTGTGTTTTTATAATACCAAGTCCTTACGACTAAAAATTGTACATTGCACTACTGACTTAATTTCAGCTTTGTTTTTTGGAGTGGAGTGATCAACCATGGCTTTAACACTAGAATTACACACAATTTACATGTACCTACTTCTATCAGAAAGGTCAAAATGAGTTGTTTTTGAAAGAAACAAGTGTTACGGCTCAAAATTGTGTTTTCTCTATAAGCGTTTGCATCCGACTAAATCAAATATATTTTACAAGATGCAACAGTGATGAAAACAAAAGCATGTTGATAAATACGAGTCATATGTTTTTATGAACAAACAAAAACAATGGTAAATATGAAATAAAAATAAATATCCAACAATCGATGGAACATAGTAGACAAGTATTTTAACAACTTTTATACAGTGTATAAGTTCTAATGTATATTTAGCTTTCAAAAAAAGTATTTAAATTATACAGAAACTTTATGGAAAACTTCTGAAATTCTAATGAAATCAAAAGTTTACCTAAATTCTGTGAGGAGTCAAAATAATCCCTCTTAGTATCTGTAGGTATACAACGTATGAATTTTATATGTAAAATAGGAAAAAAAAGAAAACTACTTTGTAAAATTAATCATTTACAGTCTGTTTCATAAGAACGTTGGAGCTATACCTAAAAAACAAGTAAATATTTTGTAAAAATTCAAAAAGGGTATCAAAGTTTACTTATAATACTACATCGCAAGTACCTAATATTGTGTGAAATCTCCTTTCGGCGTCGGAAAAAGGAATGTTCCCGTAACCCTGGGTCCAGACTGGACATTCGTGAGAATTTTGGGCATGCGCACTAGAATTTTTCCTCGTGGGATTCCTTTTTGCGCATGCGTTAGCTTTCTGCCATAGATGTATCTTTAGCGCAAAAAGAGGTGCATGTTGGGAATTCCCATGTTTTGTACAAAATTGAACTTTCTACTCGAAATGCTCGCCAGTCACACAAAAATTAACTTATCGAAGATCCACCACGTATTTCTCTCGCTATACTCATGTAGATTAAGAGGAAATTTTTTGTTTTTGTCTCTTTTCCTGTAACTTCCTTACTGGGATCCAACGTTACCCTAAATTCTAGTTAAGTGTATACGGCAGTGATCATGCACTCCAGTGCGCATGACCAAAATTCCCACGAATGTCCATCACTGGGGTCCAGTCCCTCGCTTTGTCGTCAGCCTTCCCCCATTGTTAGGGTTGGGGGGTGTTCATGGAAGAAGGCCAGACGCGGTCTCTTACGAACGCCTCGGCCTGGGGCCTCGCCTTTTCTCCAACGCCTTACACTCGGCCATCGTGCATCTCTGCTCGTCCCTGAGCAAGCAACCTACGTGGATTTCTAAAACACAGGAAAACACATACCATTGAAGCACAGACTTGTCAGTCATCAAAGCTTAACCCTTAAGAGGTTCTATAAAAATAACTGATATACACTGTGGAGCATAACTATAGCACCACTATAATTTTCAAGAGTTTTGTAGTTGTAACTAATGATTTCTAAATGTTAATAATACCACGTGAAAAGGACTAGTAAAAAATTATAATTAATGGAAAAAATACAAAAATAACATTTATTTAACATGAAGTATGATAATAAATGAAATATTGCAATGGTGCATAACTATAGCACCAATGTATTTGGAATGTAATAATAAGGTTAAATGGCTATAAAGTGTTAAATTTCTAATTCAGTTTATTAAAGTGAGCAGTTTTAATAATGAGTGGGACCTCCTTTTTTATGTATTAATTCAAAAATACGATTGTTCATACTTGTAATGAATTTTTTCAAAGTTTTTTCACTAATTTGATTCCACGCTTCAATAACTGCTGTTTTTAGCTCCGAAATGTTCGAAAATTGTCGATTATTTCCATAAATATGCCGTACCATGATACCCCATGCAGGCCAATTCAATACATTGACATCAAACGTTTCATACCATGCTGTGGTTTGTCGGCTTTTATGGATTGGAGTATTATCTTGTTGATAAGTCCATGAAATGTTGACTGTTTGCATGAATAAAAGGCAATAAATGATTTTCGAGTATTCTAATATACTCCGCACTATTCATTCGTGTAGTTGGAAAAGCTAATCTGAGCTTGGCACAGGAGCAGAATGCACCCCACACGATAAGTGTCCCTCCACCGAAATTACGTTTCGAAAAGTATTTTTGTTCTTTACAAAGGTCCCTCCAATATGAATCAAATCCATCTGGACCGTCCAAATTGAATTTTTTTTCGTCATAGAAAATAACCTAAGTTAAATAAGGAATATTGAATATGAAGCTAAAATCTCGATTTATGAATGTCTAAACTTAACTTACATTATTCCAATTTCTGCTCATGTTTTCTTGTGCGTATTCAAGCCTGGCTATTTTGTGACGTTTCAGGAGTGTAGGTGCAGACATCATTTTTTGTCTTATAATGTTTGAATTATGTTTAAGGACACGTTGGACAGTCCAACGAGAAACGCCGAGATCACATTCCTTCACAATTTGTTTACAGCTTTTTAACGTATTGCTCGCAACTTTAGCAATTTGCCTTTCAGTACGAGGGTCTAACTTCTTCTTAGGTCCCCCTTTCTTATTTTTCCCATACTTAGTAGGATCGCGTAAAAAATTCAGTACAACTTTATGAGATCGCCCGAGTTTACGTGCGATTTCACGTATCCCCATTTTTTGCTCTCTGTACGCTGAAATTGCACCTTGCTCTTGTTCATTAAAGTAGCTGCCACGTGGCATTGTATTAATTAACTAAGAATTCCCGAGTTTACTAAAAAAATTTCAACAGAAACCCTTGAAGTGCGTTAAAAATGAACTGGTTCTATTGTTTTGCACCGATCGTCAAACGTTTATCGATTAAATCTTGACATATAAGTAGACAACTTCAATGAATTTCACCTAAAATCCATTATTTACAATGCTTTTTCATACCATATAATTGGTTGTTTCAAATTATTTTCTTACAGGTCGGAAATGTTAAAAATGTTAGTGGTGCTATAGTTATGCTCCGCAGTGTAGTATAGTATACTAACATGCATTATCCATTTATTTGGAGTCGTACTTACTTGTAACGCGTGTGTCGTTGCTTTCACCCGAAAGCAGTACCGCTTCATATGTCCTTTCTTCATGCACGCAGAGCACGCGTGCTTGTACTTCAGGCACGACCTGGAGATTTGCCCCTCCTCTCCGCAATTAAAGCACACGGCCCTGGTGTTCGGCCGCTTCCCATCGCCCGATTTCCGTTTCGATGGCTGCAGCCCTGAGGATCCCGGTACGGCGGTTGACATACACGCCACGGGCTGCGACGTTTTCATCGACAGGGTCTCGTCCGCCGTCGGCATCGAGCCCATTTGCCTCATTGCCACGTACAATTCATCGACGGTGGCATACTTGTTCGCGCGTATCGTGCGCTCGATGGCCTCGTCGCCGATACTCCCGATGACCGCGTCCCTCATGTACTTGTCTGGGATCTCGAGTTTCAGGGCCCGCAACTTCGCCAGTTTTGTGAAGCAATAATCGCCCAACTTTTGTCCGGGCATGGCGGCATAGTCAGCGGCCTCCTTCAATAAACGATTGAAGGGCACCGGCTTCTTGAACCAGGCCACCAGCGTCGACTTCAACGTTCCCCACGTCGTGTCCCGTCGCTGCTCCTCGTCGAACAACTGGCGGGCATGTCCGCGTAGCTGGCGTTCTATATTGCACATTACATCGTCATCGCACCAGCCAGCCAGTCGCGCGATGCGATCCACGTCCCGAACCCATTGCTTGATATCGCTTTCATCGTCCGACGGGTCGAACTCCGGCACCAGGCGCTCTTGCACGATCGCCAGCCGATACCGCTTCACCCTCAACTCCTCCTGGAGTTTCTCCACCGTTAGCCTCAATGCATTCATCGTCGAACTCTCCCTCGCGCGCGACCTTCGCGGTTTGGGAGGCGATCGCGATCGCGCTCGGGATGGGTCCCGTGAATAGTCGCGCCTGTGGTCCGGCGACCTGTCGCGCGAATATCGCCGCGTCCGACGGCTCCGGCTCTCTTCGCGTCGCGACCTTTCGCGAGAGTCCCGACGTCGCTCTATCGTTCGATCCCGCGAACGGCGAGTCGGTTCGCGCGAACTGTTCCGCGCATCCTTATCCGACCGGTCGTCCGTCGGACGCGACTCCTTCGGGGGCGTACATCGCAAGCCTCGCGAGCTATGTCGCGATTCTCCTCGCCGCGAATAGCACGATCCATAACGCGATCGGCGGTCGTGTCCTCCGATTTCACTCATTATAGATACAATGCCCGTACGGCTTATAAAAGTCTCGCACTTTAGTTCTCGGCACTTGCACTGTGTAACACGTGTCACGAGTACGACGCACGTACGGCTTACAAAAGTCTCGCACTTCAGTTTTTGACACTAGCACTACGTATTACGTGTTATTAACACTGGAAAAACCACGAATATTGGGGTCAGTGGCCAATACACTTGGTTATCCCACTTCTGATTTGTTATTTGTTAGAAATACGCAGGGTATTCGTATCTACGCTTTATTCGGGGTTTCCTTCCGGCGTCGGAAAAACGAATGTGCCTGTAGCCCTGGGCCCAGTCCCTCGCTTTGTCGTCAGCCTTCCCCCATCGGTAGGGGTGGGGGTGCTGACGGACGAAGGCCGGACGCGGTCCCTTATGAACGCCTCGGTATTGAGCGTCTTTTCCAACTCGATGGTTAGTCAAGGCTGCCTTTCCCTTGTCCCAAGAAAGTCCCCTTTAGAAGGGTGGCACGCTGGAATGTCCTTGAGGACCCTCCGTTTATGGCCCTGAGTAGAGGTAGGGATGATGGTCAAGGGGTAGTGTGACTCAGGAAGGGTGCGAGGTTCAGGATTAGTAAGGATTAGAAATCGTGATTAGAAGTAGGATGAGTAATAGTTGTGATATGGCTGAGTGGTGTTTGTATGGTCGCGTTGGTCATCCAACATTAATGTATTCCATTTTAAAGTTATGAATTTAGTGGGGAATAAAAAAAAGGCAAGACGAATGTGGACGTTTTAATATACGGCATGTGGTAATGTTACAAATAAATACGATTTTTTGCATCCTAATGGAAGGAGGGAAATTGAGATCCATCAGATTTCCATTGAGCGGTAACGTGCACGTTATTGTTTTTCCAACATTTCAATTATTTCGTTATTTAAAGTTAAGTCAAATACAGTGAGTGTAAAAAGTATTCGTACACTAGTCAATTTGAACAAAAACTTTGCAGAACTTTGTTTATTACAAAAGTATGTTAACAAAAACGTACATACATATTCTTAGAAATCTCTGGAACAAATGTCATTAACAACAAATTATTTATTTATATTTATTATGAAAATATTAACAAATTTCCAGAAATTGACGTGAAATATACGTGTAATAAGTATTCGTACACTTCTAATTTTATAACAGAAGCTGTAAATTTTAGTACATAAACGTAACAAAAATCAGTCTATTTGCTATTTTAGTATCTAGTGGGATTTCCTTTAAATTGTATAATCGCTTTAAGCCTTTGGCGGCATTGAATTTACTAACTTTTGGTTATAGTACTAGAAATTTTGTTCCATTCCTCTAAAAGTGCATTTTTTAAATCTTGTTTCGAAGAAATGTGATGGTCTCAAATTTTTTCTTCAAGATGACTCCAGAAGTGCTCTATCACATTTACGTCTGGAGACTGTGGAGGGATTTTTAATTGCTGCGGCACATTATATAGGATCCACTGACGTGTATTATAAGCATTATGCTTTGGATCATTATCTTGCAAAAATATATAATTGCCCTGTAACTGCATTTTATTTGCACTAACCTGAAAATGCTCTTTTAGAATATCGATGTACATTTTGTGATCCATGATACCATCGATAAAATGGAGGGATCCAACCCCGCTCGCACTCATAGAGCCTAACTGCCAAACTGTGACTGATCCTCCTCCATGCTTTACAGTTGGCTTCAAATTTCTTTTTTCGTACTCGGTATTTTTTTTCTGCCATACTGTACATCGTCCATCTGACCCAAATATGTTAAATTTACTCTCATCGGTAAATATAATACGGTTCCAGTGCTCCATAGGAACATTAACGTACTCTTTCGAGAATTGCAATCGTTTCTTTCTATTAATTTCATTTACGAAATATTTCTTACGAGCTACTCTGCCGTGATATCCTCTATCCCTTAAAAAATTACGCACTGTGCTACTGCATACATTAATGTCGAGATCAATTTTAAGTTTAGCTGTGATTTTCACCACACTTATCTTTGGATTTTGCTTTATTTTTCGAATTATCCATCGGCCGGTATACTCATTTATTATTCGTTTACGTCCGTTTCTTGGATTAGTTTTTACAGTTTTTCGATCGCCATATCTGTCAATGATTCCTTGAATCGTGGACCTCGGTCTATTTAAAACTTTAGAAATTTCACTCGGTGTTTTACACTTATTATGTAAATTTATAACAACTTTCCTTTCTTCTTCAGAGGTTTCCTTGCGTTTTCGTCCCATTTTACTGATAATTTCGTTGATAATGTTTGAATTCAGGATATTACCGATACCGACAGCGTCTCCAGACATGCTGATGCTAAGTATGTTTACATATCATGGATTATCTTGTAATCGTTCTATGTGGAATGTTACGAATCAAAGACTGTACGAATAATTATTACGCGTATATTTTAGGTCAATTTCTGGAAATTTGTTAACATTTACATAATAAATATAAATAAATAATTTGTTGTTAATGACATTTGTTCCAGAGATTTCTAAGAATATGTATGCATGTTTTTGTTAACATACATTTGTAATAAACAAAGTTCTGCAAAGTTTTTGTTCAAATTGACTAGTGTACGAATACTTTTTACACTCATTGTATATAACATTTGCCTCTCTGTAACAAATTGATACGGCTATTGAAAAACATAGCGGGAAAAGTCAGTATTGATCTATTTCTGTAGCAATTAATTCTCCTATTTAGATCATATCTTTAGAAAATATTTGTTACTGAAGATTGTTACAGCGTGCATGGTACTGGTTAAGAGTGGTTTTTCATTTGAATAAATTTTACTTATTTCAATTTCTAAATATTTATTTCTTAATTAACCCTTTACGAGTGAGAGTACTTTGAACAACATTATTCTAAAATATTTGTAAAATACGTTTTTAATGTGGTTTAGGTAGACATGCAATGTATAAGATTTCGTTTAATTTTTCCTTTCTAGAAAAGATAGGAAAAAAGTTTATTTGATCTTAATTCTTCTTAAGATTTCTATAAATCGTTTTAAAATGTAGGAGAATGCGTGATAAAATGTTGTAAGGACGAGCAATAACCACGAATAAAACACCAATATGATTACTGTATCTAATTATTTTTATTATTATTTCTTCTCGGCACGGCCGTCGTCAGGGAACTGAACTGTTCTCACTTCGCTGTACCAGAAGGATTCGGAGTGGGCACTATGGTCGTCATTAAGGAGGCTAACCTCCCTCCTCTAAGATGGAAACTAGGAAGGATCACGGCTTTACACCCAGGCGCTGACCAGATCACCAGAGTCGTTTCCATGCGGACAGCCGATGGAGTCATCAAGCGACCTGTGGCAAAAATTTGCATTTTGCCTACGGAGGATGAAAATTCATCCCCAAAGGATCAGCCTGGACCGAGAGTAAATCGTGAATTAAAAGACTCTGAGTCCGTGGAAGCCGAGCCTGCACGTGTATAAACTTTACTCAATGTTAAGTGTACTAAAACATTTAAATTTAGGTTGCAAGGTCATCAATAATTTGTAAATAGTAGCTTAGGATGACTTGCAATTACATTAGGTATAGATATTTGTTGAACTAGTATACGACCATTTTTGTTTGCTTCCATGTTTTTGTTATATGATAGTACTTCATATTCGTTGATATTTGTTTTGAATGACAGCCGTTCAAGGTGGGCCGCATGTTCGGTGAAACAAAATGCGCACATTCCGCTGACCGACTCGAGCGGTTTCCTGTTCTTTATGTTGCCAAATGCGGGATCGGTACTACGTTGCGAAGGTCTTCGAGTCTCCCGCATCTGGCAAATGTCAGTGCAAAAGAAAGGAATTTTGGTTTTTGAAAGAAACGCTACACTCGAGTTGACCAGCGAAGGGCTCTATTGTTCTGCGGGTGGCACGGTCATCGAGGCCAAATGTAGGCACCGACGACAACGGCCATCGCCGACGCGCGGAACAATATAGCCATAAAACAGATACAAATCAGACGCAACCTTTTGTTGCGTTGATAATCCGGAGTTCCGTTACTTCCTTGATAAATTAACGCGGCCTTCGACTTGGGGAGGAAACCTCGTCCACCCTCACCGGGGTGGCCTGGGACTTTCCTCCACTACCGAGGTGAGGGAGGAGTTTCCTGCCAAAATGGGGCAGGAAAATGGGTCCTCCTCTCCCAAGTCGATGGCCAATCAATACAGTCTAGATTCTACAGAGGAATCTGGAAAACACCCCCAAACCACCTCTTGGTGGGGACCTAAGCTGAGGAGGAAACGGACTCCGGACAGGACTGCACTCTTAGTTTGGTCTTTGAGAGACATGGTCTTTCAGTTTGTTTTTCGTGCGACGAACATTGAACACATTTTGTAAAGTAGAACGGGAGAACAGGTCCTCACATAGTTCATCGCGTTCAATAACACATGTCTACATATACAGTCCACTTTATCATTGTAAAGTAAAATAAAATTTCAATCCAACCACAACCATTTCGAACGCGAACATTGGTCCTTCGAGCCGGATTGTGAGATTGAAAATACACTCGATTGCAAAGAGTGTGATACGGGGATAGTCGCCGTATCGTTTGAACCATCAAGTTCGTGATCAAGAGAAGACAACTGCCAGGGTGGCAGTAAACCTACGAG